GCTGAGCGAAGGGAGCGAGCAGGATGGTAGAGGGTTAGGAGGTCACAGAGGTTGGGGGAGCAAGACTGTGGAGGGCTTTGAAGGTGAGGACCAGGATCTTGAACTGTATACTCTGTGTGATGGGACACCAGTGGAGTCGGGCGGGATGGGGGTGATAGGTCACCGAGCCTAGTGAGGGAGAGGACACAGGCTGCAGAGTTCTGGATGATCTGCAACCTATGGAGGGAGGAATTGGGGAGGCCGACAAGCAATGAGTTTGCATAGTCAAGACTCAATGTAATGAAAGCATATGTGAGGGTTTTGGTGGCCTGTGGTGTGAGACAGTGGTGGAGCCGGGCGATGTTGTGGAGGTGGGGGAAGGCAGAGCGGGTTATGGCATAGATGTGGGGTAGAAAGGATAGTTGAGGGTCAAACAAGATGCCAAGGACTGGCTTAGCAAGGTGGAGTGTGCAACCATGGATGGTGATGCTGTCAGCCCCTAAGGTGAGGAGCCGTGATGGAATAGAGAACAAAACAGGTGTTTCTTAACTTGGATAAAATAATAAATAAAAATAGTGACTTTCGTGTCAGGAGGATATCTTGAAACACTTCAATAGATAAACTGTAAAGTGTAATGACTGTGTATTTTGTAGACAAATACAGCAGCCAATTTGCACACAATTTTTTTTTGAGGATTAGTTCCCCCGGGAAAGTGATCCAACAATCGACCATCGACTGGGCTCTTACTTACAGCTAGGCAAAGAGAGGCGTGTGGAGTAAGGAAATTTGCCAAAGGTTTTGCCCCGCCCAGGAATTGAACCTGGGTCCTCTCGCTTGCGAGGCGAGTTCTCTAACCATTACACTTCAGGACTCCACATATTGTTACTATACCCTTATTGTTACCATGATATGCTCTTGATCGTACAGTTCATTGACTTATTTTGTAATCACTTGACACCCAAAAATATTGAGCGCAAACAATCTATCCTTTATATCACAAGCTGCTGTTCTTGTCACCTATTAATAATAATAATCCTTACATTTGATATAGGGCTTTTCACGTCTTCTAGAGTCTCAAAGCGCCTCACAGAATAGACTGTAAAGTGAATAGCACTTTACAGTCTCAATACCGTGATGTGATTGTGGTTCTTCACTTAGTTCTTCACTCACAAGCAATTTGTTTAGCACACGTAAACAATAAGCAATAACATTTGCAATGATCACAATCCTTTAGAGTCTCGAAACCAAACTGAAGAGCTCCACAGATGGAAATTCCCGTTTATTGGGGGCATTTATTGGAATGGAATGCACACTCTCATCTTGCTTAGCTAATTCTAGACAGTATTAGGCACAGGTTGGCAAGAGCCAAGCCTTGAGGACTCCAGAGTGTGCCTTGGGGTAAATGCTGGAGTCTAACCAGCTAAAACTGCATAGCTTGCCATTGATGTCACCGTCTGGCAAGCTTTCCCGTTGCTTGCCAGCTAGGACTACACTACCCGTCAGAGCTTTGGCTTGCAGGGTTAACAGTAGTGTAGTGGGAAGAATCTCTATCCCCAGTGACTGGTCTGTCCCTCCTAGTTCCGCCGATGAGCCAAGAAGGTCCTTCGGCCCATGCACACCACAGCGCTAGTTCAGCTCCAAGGAAACTCTCTTATCTCTCCTCCAATAAGGCGGTTTGATATAGTCAATTAGAATAAATGATTTCCATTGGTCGGTAATTAGAGGGTATGAATTTAGAATGGTTAGAAAGTGAGAGAAGGTGGAGATTAGGAGAAATGTTTAACATGGAGTTAGGATGGCCAAAGCTCTGCTAGGTGTGATGGTATAGACAGGATCCAGATTAGCTTTCAAGAGGGAGCGAGATAGACATCCAGAGAGGAACCATCTCCGGGGGGGGGCGGAAATGGGGAAACACGGATAAATAGAACTGAATGGATTCCTCTTTGAAAGAGCATCCCAAATGCGATGGGCCAAACAGCTGTCTTCGGTACTGTAAATGTCTACGGTTCCGTACTAGGGCAGAGAGGGGAACGTGCTGTACTCATCATTCCCTTGGTCAAGCTCAGACACTCAACTGCTCCTCCTGGGACTCAGTCCTGCGAGAGGCGGTTGTCAGCATCAAGCCTCGCCACCTGCTGGCAAGTCCCGGCATCACCTCAGTCTAGAGCTGCTTACTCCAGACTGAGAACATCATTCTTCCCACTCAGCTCCTGTTAACCCCGTTAGCCAAAGCCCTACCAGATAGGGTGGCCCTAGCCAGACAAGTAGCGGGAAAGCTAGCGATATCAATGGCAAAGCTGTGTGGTTTTAAACTGATTAGACTCCAGCACACTCTGGCGTCCCCAAGCCTTGGCGTTTGCCAATCTGCACCTGATACGCTCCGGAATTAGGTCAGCAAGGTGCGTCCCAACAGTGAGAGAGTGCAAGTTCTCCATTTGGTATTGGATATTCTTAAACGTGGTGATGGGTTTCCGCATGTGTCAGACCACCCGGCTGGCCAAGCAGTATCAACAGTGGGACGGGGGTGTTAGTGGAATTGGTGGGTTGGGGGAGGGGGGGGGTGCGCAGTGGAGTGGGGATGTCAGTAGAGCAGGGGTCAGTGCAGCTGGTGGGATGGGGGGCAGTGGAGCCGACGGCTTCAGTGGTCCGGGGGCTCACAGTAAGGATGGTGTTAATCTCACAGTGAGGTCTCCTCGGCTGTATTCACTGACAGCCTTGCCCTGCCCTGTCTTTGATGTGTTTGTTGTTGTTTCTCCTATAAATATCTGTAATGACTTTTATATTTTTACTTTATAACAGACTGTTTTTATGTAGTTTATGTAATTAAGTTGGGCCTGACTGGATTAGCACCCAGTGACTGGCTAGAGCAGGGCTTGGCTGGGAGTGAGTGTTAGTTTGGGCTGGGGGTGACAGGTTGGGCTGGGGTTGACAGGCTGGGCTGGGGGGTGACAGGCTGGGTGGGGGGTGACAGGCTGGGCTGGGGTGACAGGTTGGGCTGGGGGTGACAGGCTGGGCTGGGGTGACAGGCTGGGCTGGGGGTGACAGGTTGGGCTGGGGGTGACAGGCTGGGCTGGGGGTGACAGGCTGGGCTGGGGGTGACAGGCTGGGCTGGGGGTGACAGGCTGGGCTGGGGGTGACAGGCTGGGTTGTGGGTGACAGGCTGGGCTGGGGGTGCAGGCTGGGCTGGGGGTGACAGGCTGGGCTGGGGGTGACAGGCTGGGCTGGGGGGTGACAGGCTGGGCTGGGGGTGACAGGCTGGGCTGGGGTGACAGGCTGGGCTGGGGGTGACAGGCTGGGCTGGGGGGTGACAGGCTGGGCTGGGGGTGACAGGCTGGGCTGGGGGGTGACAGGCTGGGCTGGGGGTGACAGGCTGGGGGGGGTGACGGGCTGGGCTGGGGTGACAAGCTGGGCTGGGATGGGGGTGACAGGTTGGGTTGGGGGTGACAGGTTGGGCTGGGTGGGGTGACAGGCTGGGTTGGGGGTGACAGGCTGGGTGGGATGGGGTGACAGGTTGGGCTGGGGGGGGTGACAGGCTGGGGTGGGATGACAGGATGGGCTGGGGATGACAGGCTGGGGTGGGTTGACAGGGTGGGGCGGGGTGCCAGGCTGGGGTGGGGGTGACTGGTTGGGGGTGACAGGCTGGGGTTGGGGGTGCCAGGCTGGTTTGGGGTGCCAGGGTGGGGGTGACAGGCTGGGGTGGGGTGCCAGGGTGGGTGGGGTGACAGGGTGGGGGTGACAGGCTGGGGTGCGGAGCCAGGCTGGGGTGGGGGGGGGGGTGCCAGGCTGGGGTGGGGGTGCCAGGCTGGGGTGCGGAGCCAGGCTGGGGTGGGTGACAGGCTGGGGTGGGGTGACAGGGTGGGGCGGGGTGCCAGGCTGGGGTGGGGTGACTGGTTGGGGTGACAGGCTGGGGGTGGGGGTGACAGGCTGGTTTGGGGTGCCAGGGTGGGGTGACAGGGTGGGGTGGGGTGACAGAGTGGGGGTGCCAGGGTGGGGGTGCCAGGCTGGGGTGCGGAGCCAGGCTGGGGTGGGGTGACAGGCTGGGGTGGGGTGACAGGGTGGGGCGGGGTGCCAGGCTGGGTGGGGGTGACTGGTTGGGGTGACAGGCTGGGGGTGGGGGTGACAGGCTGGTTTGGGGTGCCAGGGTGGGGGTGACGGGTGGGGTGGGGTGACAGAGTGGGGGTGCAGGGTGGGGTGCCAGGCTGGGGTGCGGAGCCAGGCTGGGGTGGGGTGCCGGGGTGGGGTGCGGAGCCAGGCTGGGGTGGGGTGACAGGCTGGGGTGGGGTGCCGGGGGTGGGGTGCCGGGGTGGGTGGGGTGGGTGCCGGGCCGGGGGTGGGTGGGCTGAGAGGGAGGGACGGACAGACTGACAGAGTGACCTCGGGCTGAGTCACTCCACAAAGCGCAGTGAGCAGTAGCCATGAGGAGCTGCAGTTTGCTCACAGCCACTAAGTGCCAACTGCTGGGCACCAGCGCCGGGGTGTCGGTAAGTGCATCAGGACACGGCCTCACCGGGAGACACCGGGAGCTGCCGGTGGGCGTCATGTCTCGGGAGGAAACGGGTGATTACCGACAAACCATCGCGAGTCACTGCCCGTGTTTCACGCAGTTATTCTCCTGCCTCTGTGCGGGAAGTTGCAGAAGGTTTAATGTGTTTAATGTTCCGCGGAAGTTTGAAGTTTGTGAGATGTTTAATGACCATTATTTGGGTGTACAGTGGCTAACACCCCATACAGTGCTGGGGTGGGGGGGGTGGGGGGGTGGGGTGGGGTGTGTGTGGGGGTGGGGGGTGTGGGGTGGGTGTGTGTGGGGGTGGGGGGTGTGGGGTGGGTGTGGGGGTGGGGGGGGTGGGGGGGAGTGGGGTGGGTGTGGGGAGTGTGGGGGTCGGGGGGGGGGGGTTAAGGAGTTAGATCCTTTGGATGAGATGTTGACCCTTCGCCCCATTTGCCCTCTTCAGGTGGATGTTAAAGGTCCCATGGCTTATAGGAAAAGACACGGAAGTTTCTCTCCCCGGGAGTCCCGGCCAACAGTCCTCCCAAATAAAATTGGCCGCTCGCTCCACGGCTGTTTTTGGAACGCTGCTTAATTATGAGATCTCAAAAGAACCTGCAAGAAACCGCTGACTTGTGGACGGGTCTCGGAGGAGCAGACTGGGTCCATTCAGCTCCCGTTCACCCTCCAAGCCAAAGCCCTAGCAGGGAGGCAAGTCCTAGCTGCCCAAGCAGCGGGCAAGCTCGCCAGACAGTGCTGTCAACGAGAAGCTTTAGTTTTAGCTTGAAGTTGTTGGCCAGGACACAGGGAGAGAGGAACTCGCTTCTCTTTTCGAACAGCGCCATGAGATCTTTAACGTTGGTTAAACTCCCCGTTGAACACTCTGGAGTCTCCCCAAGCCTTGGCTCTTGCCAACCACCGCCTAGTATTCTCTGGGATGAGGTGAGAGATTGTGCATTCAGCCACAGGGAAACCAGACACGTGGGAGACCTCGGTAGTTTGGTTTGGAGACTGATGCACAGTGCTGGGTTTCCTCGCATGTCAGACACCTGTTGTACTGCTCCCCTATCGCGTTGAAATGTGTCAAAGTGCTTCACAGGGAAGTGTTGTCCAGTGAAGTGACTGTGTTTAGAGTCCTGTGTGAACACATTGCCCGATGACTACACTGCATTTTTCTTTCATGTACTAACTATTTCAGGAACGTGATGTATTAATATCCTCGGTATATGTTAAAAGATACATTTAGATGGTTCATTTCACAGACGTCTCCAGGAATTAGTCAGAGAAATGGTCGCAAGGACCTAAACTAGTCCTCAATCCCAATTGGAGCCGGGGAAGGGGGGGTGAACAGTGTGTAGTTTTGTGGTGGAGCGGGATTGAGTTCTAATCATGAATCCTGTTAAGAAATAATGCAAATTGGGGGCAGTTGTGTGACTGCTGATGTAAATGCTGAGGTATGGCACTATTATATTATTATTTATTATGTTGGTGGTGGTCTCTGGAGTTAGCAGCTGAAGCCCCCCCCACACTCACCTCATCGCTCTCCTCTGTCACAGAGTCTGGGCGTTAGTCTGGTCGTGGTCTCCTTGTGGATCTCCTTCAGCACCGAGTTCAGCGCCATCCGCAACGTGAACATAGAATACAACAAATACCCAGCCATTCACGACTTAGGTGAGTAACCACAGAGCACTGTAATATCACAGTGTCAGTCTGGCTCACTCACTCACACGCTCACCTCTGAGTCAGAAGATTGTGAGTTCAAACCCCACATCTCATGGGGGTTTTGAGCTCACAGTCTAAGATGATTCTTCAGCGCATTACTGTGGGTGTGCTGTGTTGTAGGAAGGGTCAGCCTTCGGATGAGACATTAAACCGAGGTCCCGTCTGCCTGTCCAGGTGGACTTTAAAGATCCCGTGGCACTGTTAGAAAAGAGAAGGGAGTTTCTGTTTTCCGATGTCCTGGTCAACAATCCCCCAGTTAAAATTTGGTCGCTCATTCCACAGCTATTGGACACATTCAACAAGAACAACAAAATTACATTTCGCCCACAAGTATACAGTCGATTCACTTTACAGTATAGTCTGTGAAACGCTTTGAGACGTCTAGAAGACATGAAAAGCGCTATGTCAAATGCAAGGATTATTAATATTATGACATTTGTTTAGCGCCTTTCACGTTGGGAGGACATCCCAAAGCGCTGGACAGACAGAGTTACGAACCCGAGCTGAGGGTCGGGGTGGGGGAAGGGTGAAGGCAGTGGGGGAAGCGGGGAGGGCCGGGGGGGAAGCGGGGAGGGCTGGGAGGGAAGCGGAGAGGGCAGGGGGGGAAGCGGGGAAATTGAAAGCACGGTCGAAGGGTCCAGGGAGGGTTTTTTAAGGATAGGAGTGGGGTGTAGGGATGGGTTCCAGGGAGCAGGTGGTGGGTTTCACACACATACATGAGAATTTCCATGGGTAGGTGGGATGCATCGAACTCTATCTGGTTTTGTTTTGCTGGCTAAAAAACGTATTGTCCCTGTGAATCCAAGGGGCCCCTCTCCACAGCCCTGACTGTGCCCTGATAACTGCAGTGGACTATGCTACAGGAAACAGTTTCCTCACAACTCGAACAGGCTGTTTGCTTCATCCAGGCTATCCAGAGTCACCGACTCTCCATTTCCCTTCCGCTGTGTCAGCCTGGCTCAGGCAACAGCACTCTCACCTCGGAGATGAAAGGTTGTGAGTTCAAGCCCCAGTTTGGGATTTTGACTTCAGGCTAAACCGACACTCCAGTGCAGTGCTGGGGGGAGCTGTATTGTGGGACTTTACAGTAAATCGTGCGAAGCGATTTGGAACGTCCTCCTAATGTGAGAGGCGCTGTACCAAACGTGATCCCTCTGCTATCCCGAGTCCTGGGTTAGGGCTCAGGATCGCAGGAGCTGTGGAGAAGTGGGTTGAGCGCGAGCGGCGCAGAGCAGGAAGTGAGTTATGCTAATCCAGCAGCTGCCTGCTGATAACCCTGAGCTGTCCGTGATAGGAAGTGCACCTCCCCCCCACTGCCGCAGGCCGGTTAGGCTGTTTATTCCTCACTCCCCACCTCCCCAGCCGAGGCCTCTGTCACTTGTCTCCACACCCTGTCACACTGTAATACTAGGGTTGCAGTGAAGCAGATCCTGGCCTCCCGGTGATCACAGCCTCTGGGCCAGTGTCTTAGATTATATAATAAAGAAATTAGATTCTATTTGAGGGGAAAATACAGGGTGGAGTGGGGGAAGGACAGACAGACATCTGTCCCACATTGCCCTGGCCGAGTCTCGCTGTGCCCAGTGTCTGGTGCGCAGTATATACAAGCCTGAGGCAAAATACTGCAGATGCTGGAAATCAGGAAATAAAACCGAAATGGCTGGGAATACTCAGCAGGTCAAGCAGCATCTATCGAGAGAGGAAAGCGAGTTAACGTTTCAGGTCAATGACTGACCTTTCGTCAGAACTCCTATGCAAACCTGTGCTGAGTTATTGAATTACACACACGCACAGAGCTGTGTGGGGGGAGAGGAGAGGTTGTGAACTGAATACCTTTAATGGAATAAAATTGATGCTGGAGTAAAATGACTCTCACATGTGGGGGGAGAGCGAGGGGTGTCAGCCAGGAGGTGAGCACTAGCAGAGACCTGTCTGTCTGTCTGTCTGTCTGGGTGGATGGGTGGCTATCTGTCTTGGGGAGATTACAGGTTAATCAGCCTGTCACAGCAAGCACGAGGCTTTCCTGAGTGAGTGTCCACTACTGTGAGACCATGGTGAGGGGGTGATAATAATAATCTTTGCATCCTTGCATTTGATATAGCGCCTTATCATGTCTCAAAGTGCTTCACAGAATACACTGTAAAGTGAATTGACTGTATTTTGTGGCAGCCAATTGCACGCAGCAGTGTTCCACAAACAGTCGTGGATTGAAGTGACCAATTTATTAGTGGTATTATTTTTTGAAGCAATTATTACCCCCGGAAAAGCGATCCGCCAATTTGGTTGGGGCTCTCACAAGCCAGCTTCCAGTCAGCTCATAGCACACATCTTGTGCATGTATAGAGGACTGTGTGAACAATGTGTGTAATTCTGTTGTGTTACAGGTGTGTAACACCTGTGTGGCTGTGTGTTACAGGTGTCTGACTGTGTGTTACAGATGTGTACAGGTGTCTGACTGTTGTAACAGGGGTGTGACTGCGTAACCGGTGTGTACAAGTGTGTGAATGTGTCACACCTGTGACTGTGTGTGACTGTGTTACAGGTGTGTACAGTGCATGACTGTGTGTTATAAACATGTGACTGTGTTGTATACAGGTGAGTGACTGTGTTGTATACAGGTGAGTAATTGTGTTGTACAGAGGTGTGTGACTTTGTGTTACAGGTGTGTACAGTTGTATCTCGGCCAGCGCATTCCTAATCCTGGTGGGGCTGCTGTGTGCGGTCGGTACCCTGAAGGAGTCGGAATATTTGCTTGGTATTGTGAGTATCGTGTGGGACAGAGCACTGTTCACCCTGACTGTGTGTCTATGCCCATCTCTCTCTCTCCCAGTGTGTGTGTGCATTTCTCCCCGTGTCTCTCTGGCTCACCGTGTCTCTCTCTCTCTGCTCATGTCTCCCTATCTACCTCTCCGTCTCTCTCGCTCCACATCTCTCTATCTATCTCTCCATCTCTCTCTCTCTCCCCTCATGTCTCTCTCTTTCTCCTTGTCTCTCTCTCTCTCTCTGTCTCTCTGTATCACACTGTTCCCGCCTCAGGCTTTGATCTGCCTGAATTGAGAGACTGTGCGATCTCCATTACTGTTAAACACAAACATCTCCTGTGTCACTGAGTGCTGGCAGTGAGTGGCAGAGGGCGACATGGCCGGGCTCAGTGACTCACTAACACAGCGTGCTAGGCAGTGGCAAACACCCACTGCCTCCGGCTCCTACTGCAGTGAAGCCAGTAGCCGCCAGGGGATGACAGAGGGCTGCAGTCTGTGTCCATGCTCCGAGCCTGACCCTGCCAGTCACCACTCACACAATGGTACAGTGCAGCAGTGTGATGCTGCCACTCTGAGATCACAGCCCGGGGCACGGTGCCAGCACCCATCCACACTCTGCTGCTGGCACCCCCGCACAGGGCGCCTCATGAACACATTTTATATTTTAGCTTCCAGAGATGCAGTGACTGGCCTTGCCCTGGGACAGAGGCTGCATCTCTCAAACTCAACAACATCAATTTACATTTACACGGCGCGTTTCACGTCGGGAAGACCTCTGAAGGCACTGGACAAACAAGGATTTGCACCCAAGCTGTGGGTTGCGATCAGGAGGGGTGGAGGACAGGGGTGGGGCGGGGTGGGGAGGGTGACCGAATGCGCGGTCAAAGAGGAAGCTCTTGAGATGGGCTTTGAAGGAGCTAAGGGAGGGGGCAAAGTCAAGAGAGTTCTAGAGAGTGGGGCAGAAAGACAGAAGGCCCTATTGCTGATGGTGGGGGAGGAAGTCATCCCACTCAGCTCCTGTTAACCAAAGCTCTAATGGATAGGGTGGACAAGCAGCAGGAAAGCTTTCCAGATAGCAATATCCATGGTAGGCTGTGCGGTTTTAGCTGGTTAGACTCCAGCAGTTACCCCAATCCACACTCCGGGCTCCCCAAGTCTTGGCTCTTACCAACCTGCACCTAATACTTTCCGGAATTGGGTAAACAGGGTGCGTCCCTCCAGGGAGAGAGCGCGCATTCCATTTCAATAATCTATCTGTGGGATTTCGATGTGTAGGTGGGATGCATTGAAATCTCAGCTTGGTTTGGATACGCTCAAGCATGGTGATGGGTTTCCACATGTGTTAGACACCTGTCTCTCATGTGAGAAACAAAACTGTCTCTCACTCACTTTCTCAACCTCTCGACCTCTCTGTTACTCTTGCACTCTTTGCCTCAGTTTACCTCGCTCCTTTTCTCACTCACTCTCTCTGTCTTTCTCACTCACACACTCTCTGACTCTATCTCTTACCTTCTTTCTCTCTCTCTCACTCTATCTCTGTCTTTCTCACTCACACACTCTGTCTCTCACTGACTTTCTCTGTCTCACTCTCTCGCACACTTTGTTACTCGCTCTCTCAAACTCTGCCTGTCTCTCACCCTCTCTGTTTCATTCTCTATCACAGAAACGTAATTCCCTATCTCTCTGTCCCACGTTCTCTCATACACACTCTCCCTGTCTCACACTCTCTGTCTCACTCCCTCACACAAACACACTCTCCCTGTCTCTCCCCCAGGTTTTCTTCTGTTTTGCTCTCCAGTTCTGTGGGGTAGTGCAGTTGATATATTGGAGATACACGTCTAAGGAGCTGGTAAGTTTCTGGGTGTAACAGTTCTGATCCTTGTGGTGGGACAGGGGGAAGGACAGAGGGGGTGGGAGAGTGGAGGGGCCTGGAGGCTGGAGGGGGTGGAGGGGGCTGGGGGAGAAGGAGGAGGGGGCTAGGCAGAGGGAGAAGGGGGCTGGGGGAGAGGGAGGAAGAGCTAGGGGAGACGGCGGAGGGGGCTGGGGGAGGATGGAAGGGGCTATGGGGGGGGGGAAGGGGCTGTGGGGGGAAGGGGCTGCAGGGGGAGGATGGTGATGGCTGTGGGGGAGGGCTGAGGGGGCTGGGGCTGGTAGGGGGAGTGTAGAGGGGGCTGGTAGAGTGGGGCGAAGAGGGCTGTGGGTGGCAGTACATTTCCTGTACACGGTTGGTGTCTCCACATTAAGGCAGTATAAAGGTGAGCATTGGCTATCTGGGGAATGTCTTAGGTCAACGATGTACTGTACATGGTGAGCTCTCTCTCTCTCCTCTATATCTCTCTTTTTGTGTCTCTCTCTCTCCGTCTCCCACCCTCTCTCTCTCTCTCTCTCTCTCTCTTTCTCTCTTCAGGTGGAGAATGCTGTTAAAGATGTCTATGATTTCCTTTATGAAGATTACATGAGGAACACGTCCAGCCCATCAAAACACCACTTGACATCACTTCACTCAACTGTAAGTACTGCCCTCCACCCCATCCACACACACACACACACACCGCGCACTCAATGATCCCTACTCCAGTGTCAGTCTGACGTCTCTCTGGTTTTCGCTCCAACACTTCAGACCATTCCAAATTATAATCAATTGTTACAGAGCCAGAGTTTGAAATCGATTTTGGATCCGTCTGGCGGAATCTGGCTAAATGTTCCTGAATTCAACCTGAATTCCTCAGATGAGATGTTAAGCCCAGGTCCTGTGCAGGTGGCCATTAAAATTCCTGCGACTCTATTTGAAAAGGGAACTAGGTTTCCCCACTGTCTTGGCCAACAGGCTAAGTGATTGACTGGTGGAGTATGATTTGTAAGGTGCTGCGGTAGTGAAGCAGGAGAGTGCTATTCTCTCTCTCCTCTCTCTCCTATCATCTCTCTCTGCTCCTGTAGTTTTCATGCTGCGGGAAAACCTCAGTGTTCAGCCTGTACAGTATCGTGGAGAATGAGACCTGCTTCACAGAAGGTGCGGCTTTCGTGGGTGAGCCTCAAAAGGTAAGGAATTGGTGTTCAATCCGGGGTACAGGTGGCACGGTGTGTCCGGAGTACAGGCGGCACGGTGTCCCGGGTACAGGCGGCACGGTGTCCGGGGTACAGACGGAGCGGATGGGAGCGCAATACCTTCTGACCCTATGTTTAACCCACCCTCCCCTCACCAGGACTGTCTGCGGGCGCTGGAGGAGCTGATCAACAGCCTCATGGTGATTCTCAGAAGCCTGACCCTGTGGATCGGGATCACCACGGTAACCACAGCTACTGTCAATGTCAGCCCAGCTCAGGCTCTCACACTCTTGCCTCTGAGTCAGAAGCTGGGGATTGAAGCCCTCTGTTAAGGACTTGGAACTCACATAGTCCCGGCCAGTGATCGCACTGAAAGCCCAAGACCGGTTGGAGACCCCTGGTCTCGGCTGACGCCCCAGTTCAGTGATGGAGGAGTGCCACATTGTCAGAGACAATAACCCTTGCATTTGATACAGCGCATTATCACATGGTTGAGTTATCTCAAAGTGCTTCGCAGAATATACTGTAAAGTGGATTGAATGTGTATTTTGTGGGCGAAACGCAAACAGCAACAACAATAATAACAAGATTACATTTGTATAGAGCCTTTCATGTCGGGAGGACGTCCCAAGGCGCTGAAAGGACATCCCAAGGACGTCCCAAGGCGTAAAACACCTGTGAGGCACTTTGAGATGTCCTCCTGATGTGAAAGGTACCAAATGTAAGGATCATTAATAATAATAATTGGCTAAATATCCTACAACTTGCTAACCAGCTGTGAACATGGGGCGGGGGGGAATCTCTCACACATACACACGGTGGGGGAGGTAGGGCGCTCAGTGATGAGAGCGTGAATATATCCAAATTGCCAGCCCCAATGACTGGCTGGCATTAACCACCAATTCTGAATAATACTCTTACTGTTCTGATTATGCTGATTGTACTCAGGTTATCATGATTATTACTCTGGTTGTAATGATGATGATTACTCTGGTGATGACTCCAGACTGGGTTGTGTATCTCTCCGCAGATCTATGGGATGATCCTGACCTCCTTCTTCTGTTTTGCTGCCTGTCTGAATGAGTCCTGGTACAAGAAAGGCAAGTACACACTGCCCAAAGCATAACTGCCCCCCCGGCTTTGACCACAGCCCCCCCACCCCCAGCACAGCACGACGCCAGCAAAGCCCTGAAAATCTCAGGTGGACGATGTGCCCATGGTCTCAGGCTGGAGGCTGGATCAAGATTTTCCCACTCGGCGTGTGTTTAAGTGTTAAAGTGATGGATACTGTACATTGTTGATGGGGAAACAGCACTGTACAGTTTGTGGAGCGGGTGGCGGGGGAGGGGAGGGCCATTACAGTGAAACCATTGTTTTTGTATATAATTACAATAAAAGCTGGAATCGTTTAAAGTAAGCCTGTGTAACTGACCTCACCAACACTGAGAGTTATACACAAACAGTGTGCCCTGACAGTGTTATACACACAGCAACAATAACAACTTGCAATTATATAGCGCCCTTCATGCAGGATAGCGTCCCAGAGCCCTTACCACCAGTCCTCACCTACCTGATAGCTGTTTACAGGCTGCTCTAAACAAGCTGGGATCCTCCTTGTGCAATTGTTCTAAACACATTTCTGACTTCTGAACCAATTTAACTCTTCAAGGTACACATACTATAATTTTCTCCTCACAATTTACCTAAATGAGTACCAACTTCCCCGTAACATATGTCACCCTTAGACATAAACTCTAGAGTTTAGCTGAATCTGATTAGCCTTATAAGTGTCTACAAACCATTTCAATAGGCACTGGCATGTGATAAACAACTTTCTCCTGATCACACAACCAATTTATTATCAAGATTGTCATTCCACTAAATAGCTAATAAACAAGCAATTCCAACCCACGCACAATAATATTTTAAGCAATAACATATTTCTGATTCCAACAGAGTGTCCGTAGTACTCCAGGGCACAGCCCAGACTGGCTCATCAGCAGGACTTGGAAGGGTAGACCAGTCACTAGGGATAAGGATTCTTCCTACTCTGCTCCTGTTAACCCTGCAATTCATAGCCCTTATTAACAGAATAGTCCTAGCTGGACAAGCAGTGAGAAAGCTTGCCAGACAATGCTTTCATTGGAAAGCTACATGGTTTTAACTGGTTAAACTTCAGCAATACCCCAACACACACGTCAATAAGGAAACTTTGTAAGGAAACTTTACTTTAATTATAAAGTAGTGTGCACACAATTTGGATGTTAAACAATTATTTCCTTTCTTATGGTTCCACAGTCAACGATTAGACAAAGAGCAGAGACCGACTACCACAAGAATGGGAATGATCAGGTTATTAGAGAATTCAGTATTGATCCTTTATCTATCCCTAGGAGTGCAGCAGGAAGTTGTCTGATCTGCATCTCACTAACACAGCTAAAACACCCTCAATTATACTCAAAATCTCAATCACATTTGCGCATGGGTTAGCAATGTTCCCACCACAGGAATAGTCCAAACCTGCAGATACATTAGAATATACAGCACAGAAACAGGGCGCGTTTCGCCCACAAATATACAGTCAATTCACTTTACAGTATATTCTGTGAAGCGCTTTTAGACGTCTAGAAGGCTTGAAAAGCGCTATATCAAATGCAAGGATTATTATTATTATGTTATTATATTCGGCCCAACTGGTCTATGCCGGTGTTTATGCTCCACATGAACCTCCTCCTGCCCTTCCTCAACTAAGCCTTCAAGCATAAACCTTCTATTCCTTTTTCCCTCATGTACCTATCTAGATTTCCCTTAAATACATTTATGCTATTTGCCTCAACAACTCCTTGTGGTTCAGGATGTTCCACATTCCCACTACTCTCTGTGTGAAGAAATTTCTTCTAACTTCCCTATTTGATCTATTTGGGACTATTTTATATTGATGGCCCCTGGTTTTGGTCTCCCCCACAAGTGGAAACACCTTCCCTACGTTTACCCTATCAAAACCTTTCATAATTTTAAAGACCTCTATCAGGTCACCCCTTACCCTCCTCTTTTCAAGAGAAAAGAGTCCCAAGCATGTTCAGCCTTTCCTGATAGATATAACCTCTCAGTTCTGGGATCATCCTTGTGAATCTCCTTTGCACCCTCTCCAGTGCCTCTACATCCCTTCTGTAATGTGGGGACCAGAACTGCACACAGTATTAGATGATAAGGGGGAGCAAGCCACATTCCTGTCCTGGTTCTATTGCTTTGTACAATAACAAGTGGTACGTAGCCACCCTATGTAATTCCAGTTTCTTATTTTTATCGCTTTACATGGTTGGCATTAACTCTTTCCTTACGGGATCCCCAAGCTTTGGCTCTTGCCAGTTTGCACCTAATACTTTGCAGAACTAGATAAGCAGGATGTGCGATTCCAGGGAAAAAGTGTGTATTCCATTCCAATACATGGGAATGGGTGACACCCAGGACACAGGTGGGAGATAGATTTGTGGTAAACAGAGAAGATGGCTGCATGAGGCAGAGGTCTTTCCCAAGGCGTCATTCCACATGGTGGGGGTAGGCTCAGATGCATTTTTATTGGAGCTTCTGGATCAAGCAGTTGTTATCCCAACAAGCCAGGTGGGTGACATGAGATGTGGATCCCTTCTGTCTCATGAGATGCTCTGCCTCATCGCTTCACTACACTGAAGGCAGATCTGATAAAGACTGATGAGGAGATTCTGAGGCAGCGATTTGGATGGCCTGATCACGCTGAGGGGCCAGGATTGGCTTGCAATGTGTCATAGAGGGCCTGACTGTGCTTGGGTTGGTTGTGGTCCATATGGGCAGCGCTCGCTGTGTCAGAATTGGCTATACTTGTGCTTGTATTGACTGAGCTGTGTGGTAAGGTGGGGGATGGGATTGACTTGTCCCACACATTGGCTGTGGGCATTGGGCAACTTGGTGTGGGCTGGGCAGGGCTGTGGGCAGAGCCAGGGCAGGGGTTGTGGGCAGAGCCAGGGCAGGGGTTGTGGGCAGGGGATTGCAGTGACTCAGGATCGAGTGTCACCATTGGCTGCCTCAAAGCACCCAACTAAGGTGTGAAGAGGCGGGCTCTGATTGGCTGGGCTTGGGTTGAGTGTGATTGCACTGATGATAAGGGAGTGACATTTGTGGGGCACTGCTGTGCGCAATTGGCTGCCGCGTTTCGCCCCCAAAATATACAGTCATTTCACTTTACAGCATATTCTGTGAAGCGCTTTAAGGCGTCTCGAAGACGTGATAAGGCGCTGTATCAAATGCGAGGATTATTGTTATTATTATTGGCTTGGGGCGGGAAGAGCTGGGATTGGCTGAGGTGGGAGGAGCTGTGATTGGCTGGGGGGGGACGGGAGGAGCTGCGATTGGCTGAGGGCGGGAGGAGCTGCGATTGGCTGGGGGGAAAGGAGCTGTGATTGGCTGGGAGGGCGAGAAGAGCTGCGGTTGGTTGAGGGCGGGAGGAGCTATGATTGGCTGGGGCGCGGGAGGAGCTATGATTGGCTGGGGGGCGGGAGGAGCTGCGATTGGTTGAGGGCGGGAGGAGCTATGATTGGCTGGGGCGCGGGAGGAGCTGTGATTGGTTGAGGGCGGGGGAGCTGTGATTGGTTGAGGGCGGGAGGAGCTGTGATTGGCTGGGGGCGGGGCTGGTTTTGGCGGGATGGTCGCTGCGCGCGGCGTCGCCAGCAGCAGTTGGTGTCGCGAGCGGCCGGAGTCAGTCAGTCAGTCAGTCAGTGAGGAGACCGCTGCACAGCCAGAACTTCAGCCACAGCCACACAGCGCCTCAGACACCACACACCCAGAGCTACAGCCATGGGAATTCAGGGCGGCATGAAGTGCATCAAATACCTGCTCTTCGTCTTCAACTTCCTCTTCTGGGTAAGTGGCCGCTCACAGCGCCCCGACACCCGCCTCACCCCGACACCCGCCTCACCCCGACACCCGCCTCACCCCGACACCCGCCTCACAGCGCCCCGACACCCGCCTCACCCCGACACCGGCCTCACCCCGACACCCGCCTCACAGCGCCCCGACACCCGCCTCACCCCGACACCCGCCTCACCCCGACACCCGCCTCACAGCGCCCCGACACCGGCCTCACCCCGACACCCGCCTCACCCCGACACCCGCCTCACCCCGACAGCCCGAGCCCTCGCTCTGACATTTAACAGTGTCTCCCCCTCTCTCTATAACAGTCTCTCTCTCTGACACTGTAACAGTCTCTCCCTCTCTCTCTGACACTATAACAGTCTCTCTCTCTCTCTCTGTCACTGTAACAGTCTCTCCCTCTCTCTCTGACACTATAACAGTCTCTCCCTCTCTCTCTGTCACTGTAACAGTCTCTCCCTCTCTCTCTATAACAGTCTCTCTCTCTCTCTCTGACACTGTAACAGTCTCTCTCTCTGACACTGTAACAGTCTCTCCCTCTCTCTCTGACACTATAACAGTCTCTCCCCCTCTCTCTATAACAGTCTCTCTCTCTCTGACACTATAACAGTCTCTCCCTCTCTCTCTGACACTATAACAGTCTCTCTCTCTGACACTATAACAGTCTCTCTCTCTCTGACACTATAAAAGTCTCTCTCTCTCTGACACTATAACAGTCTCTCTCTCTCTGACACTATAACAGTCTCTCCCTCTCTCTCTGACACTATAATAGTCTCTCCCTCTCTCTGACACAAAACCAGTCTCTCCCTCTCTCTGACACTATAACAGTCTCTCTCGCTCTGTCACGCAGGTTAGTGTCTGGTTCCAGTGGAGTAATAGCTTCTCTCCCTGTTTCCTGACACAGAGCAGCTTGAGGGTTTATAAATAATAATAATCCTTGCATTTGATATAGCGCCTTATCACGTCTTTGAGACATCTCAAAGCGCTTCACAGATTATACTGTAAAGTGAATTAACTGTATAATTGTGGGCGGAACACAACAGTCAGTTGTGCATATTGGCTTACTGTTAGCCCCTGTTTCTCTTGTTGTTGAGATCCAGCGATTTACAGCAATGCTCAAGCAGCTCAGCAAAGGAAATGAGGATTTACGAGCACAGGGTGGGGGGGCCATACTAGGGGTGTTTCTCTTGCAATGTGGAGAGTTTTAGGAATCTGGGTAGAAAGTGAACCAGAACTGGTAAATCCCCTTAGCTTCAACAAAGTTGATTGGAAATGATTCCCCTTTAATAAGGATTTACTAGAAATGTGCATGTGCCCCTGACCCTGGCAAAATGGGCTGGGAGGGGCTTGTACCTTGGGTGCTTGCCTGAATCACTCTGTTGTTAGCCCAGCCTTCGCTCTTCACCTTCTCCCTGTTCTAAGCAGCTTGGTGCTGCACTAGCACTGAGATAGCATGCTCGCCCTTTACTGAGCTACAATCCAGCTCTGGTTCCTGATCAACAATCCTCCAGATAAAATTAGACATTTAACTTGTAGCTGTTTATTCACATTGCAATGCACAAATTGTCTGCCATGTTAAGTACAGTGACCGCAATTTACAGTAAATCTTATGAACTGCTTTGAGACATCCTTGCTGTTATGTTATGTCAAATATAAGGATTATTTATTTAAAACTCCCTCTGCCCTGTCCACTCAGCAATGGCATAGGTTAGAAACAGTAAAGCTCCCCCTACCCTATCTGTCCACACTCCCAGGTCAGCAACATACTGGAAATAATATAGTGTTTGTGCTGTTATCTAACTGTAGTGTAAAGTCTGTCCAGTGGGTGTGGATCTGAACCAAGCTTTAGTTTGAGCTGCTGTGGAAGTTGGAGTTGTGTTAATCTCTGGGATGCTCATGCTCAGGTGTCAGTCACTCTCACTTTTACCTGTGCATCAGAAGTCTGAATGTCCAATATTTGATACTTTGAACTCACAATCTAGACTGGCACCCCAGGGCAGTATTGGCGGAGCTCCAGTGCTGCTTTGTCGGTGGTGCTGTGCTTCGGATGAGACGTTAATCCTTGCTCCCAACTGTCTGTTCAGGTGGACTTTAAAGATCTTGTGACACTATTGAAAAAGAAGTGTTAATTTCTCACAATCCTGGCCACCAATCCTCCAGATAAATTTTGTCTAAATAAATACTGCACTTGGCAGTAATAACTCTAAAGCATTTTGTTACATTTCAACCAAATGGGGTAATATTTAAGGTTCAAGGGATTTTTTTTTTTTGCAATTAGCGGTTTGGAGTGGGCTAGTGTGGGCTGGGTGAGCAGTGGGTAACGTGTGTTTTTCTCCCCTGGTAGCTTGCAGGAGGAGTGGTTCTGGGCGTAGCTCTCTGGCTTCGACATGACCACCAGACAACTAGCGTTCTGGAGCTGCATCTCGAGAACCGGGCTGCCCCCACCACCTTCTATGTAGGTAAGAACCCAGGACAAACATACACCCACTCCCGGTGTCACCACCCACCCCCCCCCCCCCCCGCTTTACACAGCTGGCGTGGAAAATGGAAGAATGCGCTTGAGACATTTACACACCACAAATGGTTGTGTTGTGAAGTGAAAGAATGTCTGAAACGCTCACCTGAACACATTCGGTACCTTTATAACCATTGGGTCCAGTATTCCATGATGGAACAGCTCTGTTGGCTTCAGGATTGATTCCAAAATAATGTTAATGCTGATGTGAGGGAGCCAGACCATGGCTATTAAAATAAAACCTTTCAAGGTGACTTATGTGAAGAGCAAAGCAGGTTGTTTAGACAGACTCAATCTCAAGCCCCAGACTTTGTTGTCGTATACTCTATATAAAGTAGTTTCCTCCATTACCTGGGAGCCCCAGCTGGGGTCTGGTTGTTTGGGAAGATAAATATGAAAGGCAGAAAGATCAACCCGGATGTTGTCGGAAATGTTTACGTAAAAAAGCCATGTTCCCCACTGCAAATCCTTTGCTAGAAGTGAAGTACTCCAAGACACTGCCCTCCGTGAAGGGCAGTATTTAAATGCCATTCATTGTTTTGGCGACGAGACAGATGATGGTGTGTTGAGACAAAAAGATCTAGCAATCCTTTGCCTTTACATCCAGAGGAATAGAGTACAGAAGTAGGAAAGTAATGTTAAATTATTTAAAACCTCAGTTAGGCAACATTTAGAATTTTTTTTGGTCATTCACGTATCCGACAAATGTGGAAACCCATCACCATGCTTAGGAGTATTCATGCCAAATTGAGAATTCCACACATCCCACCTACACATGTAAATCCCAGTGATAGATTGTTAGAATGAAATTTGCACTCTGTCCCTGAATCCTGCTCACCTAATTCCGGAAATTATTACTTTCTAATTACGGAAAATGCTCCTCCCATGGTCTCAGCTGACAACAGCCTGTAACATGGGCTATTCAGGAGACTCAGCTACCCCCGATCTGTCCCCTTCAGGTACCAAGGCACTGAGACTCCACTCCTCCCATGCTCTCTACTCATTCCTCGCAAGAGCCAAGGCTTGGGGACCCCAGAGTGTGCGTTGGGGTACTGGTGAAGTCTAACCAGCTAAAACCGCATAGCTTGCCATTGACAATGCTGTCCGGCAAGCTTTCCCGCTGCTTGTCCAGAGATTCCAGAGCTGTTCATTGGAATGGAATGTGCACTTTCTTTCTAGTGTGCAGCTGACTGGAAAGAGAGCGAACTGGATAGAGCATCAGTCACAGAAAGTGCCACCAACCATCCACTGGGCTGTGGTCTGACCCCACCTGGATTACTGGGTATAGTCCTGGTTACTGTGTAAACTTGTTTTCTCCATTATCTGGAAGTCTCCCAGCCTTGGCATTGGCAAGAGTACAGAGTAGGAAAAATAGATTGACAGTGGGAAGAAATGACCTGAGTAATGAAGAGAGGCTCAGGGAAGGCTCCGTTCAGGGGAGATGTTTTTAGAATCCCAAAAGGTGTAGGTCACGTGAACCTTAATAATATCTGTAACTTGTTAACTATCTGTACAAGGTGGACTCGGTCAGGGGTATGGGATGGTCAGTCCCATGGAGGCAGATTGTTAGCGCATTCAAGAGAGCGAACTGTAGGGGTATTTAGTGAAGAAATTGATTGAGAGATAGTCTTTGATCACAATTATTTATGATTTGCATTTTGTAATAAGCCTTTTCATAAGCTCCTTATCACAAATGTTTCTTCAAGCATTTCACATTTTAATTGCTGACAAGTGAAGTGACTGTTTTGACTAAAAACAAAGTGAGATTTGCCTTTAATAGGGATTTCAAAGTGGGAAAGAGGAGCCGAGGTGGAGTGCCTGAAGGATCTTGGCGAGGAGCTCTGATTGTGTTGAGGCCTCTTAGGGGAAGGGGTGGAGGCTGTTGAGATGCCTTTCTCAAACTCTTTAAGACATTGCTACTTCCAAATAAAAGGCCTCTAGCCCTAGGCTTCCTGCTGCAGTGTTAACAAAATGCTCCACAAGAGCCTTCTTCCTGAACAGGATGCAGGATGTCAGGGGAACAGCGAGGTCACAGTCCCAGACTTTGGCACACAAATAGGCCGGAAGGGCTCAGGAAGGACACTGCGATTTGTCCTGACCTATCTGGGATTGATCTCAGCTGCCAACAGGATACAGCCTGTAACATGGGCTATTCAGGGGTCTCAGCTACCCTCATTCGGTCCCCATCAGGTAGCCAAGGCACTGAGACTCCACTCCTCCCATGGTCTCTACTCATTCCTCGCTCCCTTTATCTGTTCATTAGCTCCTGTGCGTTGAGCCACCACCCCCACTCCTAGAAATAAATAACCCCATTCTAGGATCTTGGCTTTTGCCAACTCTCTGGAATAAGGTAAGCAGGGATGCGTCCATCCAGGGACAGCGTGCTATTTCCATTCCAGGCGCACAAAAATATCCATTTGTAAATAGCAGCACATGTTACTTGCGTGGGTATTCAGGAGGGATGTGGGTTGAAGGGCTTTCTTCATCCAAGACCACTCAAAATCTCAAATGGAATGGAATTATGGGCTGGAGTTTACAAGCTGATGGAGTCCAACGAACAATCCCTTAGTTTGGTCAGTGGGTGAGGAGGGACTGGGGTTAGGAAATCTCAGGATTGTCAGAATTTCAGGGGGAGGTTGTTGTTGTTGTTTGGAATTCCTCACCACAAATGGCTATTGAGGCTGGATTAATAAAATCATTTAAAAGGGAACTGGATAAGCACCTCAAATGTCAGTGCTCAAATGTACTGAGGTCCTTATCCTACGAGAGAGAGCTGTAAAAATAGATGATTTAGATGAATAGGAAGCAATGACTCGAGCACAATGGGCTAAAAGGCTTTGTACTATGCAAGAAAAGTGGAGTTTCTATCTTTTGGTCCTTTGGATCAAATGTTGAACTGAGGTCCTGTCAGCCTCTTCAAGAGAGGCTAAAGATCCCAGGACAGTGTTGGGAAAGAGAAGAGTTTCCCCTAGTATCCTGGCCAACAATTCTCCAGATAAATTAATCATTCACTTCATAGCTGTGCGCAAATTAGCTGCTTTGTTCACAAAGGCACTCACACTACTGCGGAATTCCTATTAAAACACTTTGAAACATTTCATAATTATAGGTGTTCTATCAAGCGCAAGGATTAATGTAAAGGAGAACTGCTGTGCTGGGGGCGGTGAGGAATGTCCTGTTTACAGCGCTCAGAGCAGGGCTGTTTTCATTGCTCACTGCTCTCATCAAAGCACAAGCGGAGACCCATCCCCTCTGTGTGTTTGAGGTTGTGTGGAGCTGTCTCCAGCTTCTGTGAGTGCTGTTCTGTTCCCCTCTGTTGCCAGCAATTAATTCATAACAGACAAAAGGGAATTGAGCTGAGAGCTGATCACGCAAACCACTGGTGTTTGCAGCATCGCAATGCAGGGCCATGAATTCACCATTCACACCCCCCACCCACCCACCCCCTCTCTTGCCCTCCCCCCCTCCTCACTTGCTCTCTCTCTCCCTCCCTGCTTCATTGTTTTTCTCTCCTCATTGACTTTCCTCTTTTATCGGGGTAGAGGGGGAAGGTAATTAGGGTATGCGTATAGCTGAACTGACTCTGGGAAGACAGGCTAGGCAACGAATGGTTGAAATCAAGGCTCTGGCAGTTCCGAACCCGTGTGGGTCTGTAGTACTCCAAGGCTCGGCTGATGTCAAACCAACCAGCCTGGCTCACTGGGGTTGGGGATTCTTCCCACTCAGCTCCCATTAACCCTGCAAGCTAAAGCCCTAACAGTGGACAAGTAGCTTGCCAGATAGTGCTCTCAATGGCACACTACTTGGCTCTAGCTAGTAGTTACTCCAACACATATATTAGGCACAGGTTGGTGGGAGACCACAAGCTTGGCCTCCCACCAACTGTGCCTAATACTCAACAACAACAACTTGCATTTATATATTGCACTTCATGTGAGGTAGAGTCTCAGAGCGTTACTCCCTGGAAATGAGTAGACAGAGAAGCTTCCTCCAGGGAGAGGGTGCACATTCCATTCCAGACACAGGGAAATTTCCATGTGTAAGTGGGATATAGGAATATCTAACTGGTTTGGATACTCTTAAGCACAGTGATGAGTTTCTGTGTGTGTCAGATAGCCGGCCGACCAACATAAATCTCTGAATCTCTTTGAGATGGACTTAAAAGTGCTTTTCTTTCTATGAAAAGCGCTCTTAAGTCCAGTTTTTTGTGTGTCAGATTGATCTTGGCATCGCTCAATGCTTGCTTATTATGGTACAATGCAAAACAATAATATTACCAGTTTAAATTCCCCCACTCATTCCCTCTTGAGACCTCCCGAAATCCCACCCATTCACTGAGACGCTCTGAGATGTTTTGATGTTCTGGCGATAACAGTTGCAAGGATTATTATTCCCTAAAGGTCTCAGAAAAAGATCGGCTCCAGCCACCAGTGAGGGCTTATCATGGGCTCAGAGGCTTGTGAATCTCCCCATTCCCTCCCTATCCAAACAGCCAGCTTCATTCAGACACTGGCTCCGCTGGGAGTTGTTACGGGAAACATTGGATTGCATCACTGGCTCCTCGTGCACCTTTCTGTCTCTGCTCCTTCCCCCCCAGTTGCATACACATTTAGATATGGACAGGAAATTATATTAAGTGGAAAGTATTTACTCTGTGCTGTGTCTGAGCAAGGGAGCCGTGCTGAGAGAGGAAAATAGTGTGTGAGTGAAGGCAGCCCTGTATCTGAGCCCTGCTCAGCACAACACTGGTGGTGGGTGGGGACTTGGTGGGGAGGGACTTTTCCTGGGTCAGGCTGCCAATTCAGGCCTCCCAAAGGTCCTGTGCTCCTTCACAAACATTCTTAGCCATTTCAATATGTTAGAATTTTTAAAATTTGTTGTGGCCCTCACCCCCTCCCCGTTTCCTCCCCCCCGCCCTCACAAGGCACCCACCAACCCCCGTTTTAGCGTATTACGGGTCACTTGCCAACTAGAAAGCACGCAGATAGCTGCCTGGCTGTTTGTGCGTGGTTTGGCTTCCTTCACTGCTTCCTTCATTATTTGATCTTCAGGTTAATGCTGTGCTTTTGATGTAGAGCACAATAACGTCACAGCAAGTCACAGGGTACTGTTTTCAAGTATATCTGTAGGCACATATCTGGTCCACTAGACTCTGCACTGCATTAGTAATAAACTTTGCATTTGATATAGGACACCCAAACTATCAAAGCAAGTCATAGGGAATTACTGTCCATCCATTACATGTTCTTCGTACTCCGATTACTCCAGTCCTTGTGAAACTCTACTGGCTCCCTGTCACAAAGCGGATCGACTTCAGGATCCTCACTCTAGTGTTTTAATCCCTCCATTCCTTGGCACCTCCCTGTCTCTCTAACCTCTCTCCCCACAGCAGTATACGCTGACTCTGCTCTACTGGGTCCAGCCTCCTCCGCGTCCCCCAAATCCTCCGCTCCACCATTGGTGGCCATGCCTTCAGCCACTACGCCCCAAAACTTTGGAACTCCCTCATTCAACCCCTTCGCCTCGCCCCCTCCTTCCCCATCCTCAGGTCGCATCTGAAGACCTTCCTTTTCGACCAAGCCCACGGTCACTTTCCCTCTCTCCCTGGCTCAACCTTGGGCTCCACCATTGTTAAGCGCTCTGAGACACCACCCGGACTGGAGAGTGCTATATAAGTGCAAATTGTTGTTCTCCTGCGCTTCCATTCCCTCTCCTGTGTGACTGAAACCAGCAGCCTCAGTCAGAGCCAGCTCCCCGCCACTTCCGCCTGGGGCCCCAGGACTGTGCATCCTGCTCTCTCAGCCCCACCCTCAGCTCCCAGGTTGTATTGTCACAGGATTTTCAGGACAAATGAGTAGAGGCTGACTTACTTCCCCTTACGTTTACTGGCTGTGCACTGGGTCTCCACTCAACAGACAGCCTTTCAGAGATATCTGAAACTCGGCGAGAGAGCCTTGAGAATGTGGAATTAACTACCCAAAAAAGAAGTGGAGAATTTGGGATTAAGGCGTATAGAGCATTGTTTTTGGTCAACTGGGTGTCTGACACATGTGGAAACCCATTACTGTGTTTAAGAGTGAGACTCGAGTTTCACATATGCATTGAAGTTTCCGTTGCTATGGAGTCTCCCAAGAGTGACGCATCCTGTTCACGGAATGCCGGAAAATATTTAGAACAGGTTAGCGAGAGCCAAGGCTTTGGGTTCTGGCGCCTGGTATTTTCACGTTAGTTGTTGGAAGTATAATAAATTCAGCTGTGTGTTGGCTGACTTGCTGAGTAGGCGTTCGTTCGTTCCTGAAATAACTTGCTTGGAATCATTAAAGAAAGCAGCCCTAGCTGGGCTCAGAGCACAGCGTGCTTCACTGCCAATCGAGCCTGCAAGCCAGGGCACACATGGAATTAGTGAATCATTGGCTCCACCAAACTTAGCCACAGAGGCTGGTGTGGCTGTAGTCCTACACAGAGCAAATCCTGACACACCATTACAGTTACCTCACAAATACATTCGGGAGAGACCCTGTGCTCTGGCTTTCTGCTGGCTCATTGCAGCTCCTCCAGTTCTCCCCAGCCTCTGGGATTATCTGGAATTTCCTGTCTTCTGGCTAACGTCCAAACACCAGGTGTTGGAATCGCACCAAGATATCAGTTTGGCTCCGTTCGTAGCTCTTGCCCATAAATCAGCCCTTGAGCATCAACTTAAACTGAGCTCGAGTCCAGTGCTGGGGGAAGCGCTGCAGGAAACTCACAGATCAATAGAACCATAAGGTATTGATAGATATCTTATAGATATCTGTAAAAGCAGACAGAGCTTTTGTTTAAGGTCTCATCTGAAGACGAACAATGCAGTGACGTATAACGTGAATCTGTTATCTTCTGTTATAGAGATGAGCAACTGAGGCAGCCTGACACCCAAGGGCTGTCACTGAGGGGCTAGTAGCTGGTAGCTAGCCCTGGACAGTACTGAGATTGCTTGTGTTTTGATTGTGCCTGTGACTCTGAGATATTGTGTCCCGTTACAAAAGGTTTATTGTGCTCCCCCGCATCCAAACACATGTCTATTGTGTCCTCCACACACCCTGCCGTGGCGTGACAGAACTTGGTGACTGCTCCCTTCTTCTCTGTGCAGTGGTGACATTCTCTCCACTCGCACAGTCCGTGCCTTGTCGCAGTCTCTCCCTCTACCACCATTGTTGGAATTCTAATGCTCAAAGTCCTTTAAACTCCCAATACTGAATCATTTTTTACAGGATCCGAGGTGGATTCCAAGTCTTAGTGGAGTCCAGTAACATAGTGGTTAGCGCACTCGGCTCACAAGCGACAAGACTTGGGTTCGATTTCCAGGCAGGGTGACAACGTAGACAAGTTTCCTTACTCCACGCAGTAAGAAGGAACCTGGTGTTTAATCGATTCGTGGATCGTTTTCCTGGAATAATAGTAGTCACTAAATCCACAGCTGTTTGTGGGACATTGCTGTGCGCAATTGGCTGCTGTGTTTCACCCATAAAATACAAAGTCAATCCACTTTCCAATATGAAGTGTAGTGCTTTGACACGTCTCAATGACGTGTTAAGGCGCTGTTTCAAATATAAGGATTATTATTATATTACATTAGAGACCACCTGCCTCTGAGTGCCAGGAATGTGGGTGGTAAATGCCATTAAAGAGATAATAATATTTCTTGCATTTGGTAGAGCGCCTTATGTTGTTGAGACATCTCGAGGCGCTTCACAAGATATATTGTAAATTGGTGTGCCTGTATGTTTTGTGGTTGGACCGAGCCAGCCAATTTGTGGTTGTTTTTCTCTTCATTGCAATATTTAGTGGGGGGGGGTTCCCCATCTCTCAAGCCTTATCTATCGAAACTACATTGTTTCCTGCCTCTGCACACATTAACCACTGTCTAAGTAGGGTTACATAATGTAGCCTGAACTGGCCGTTCGCTCTCCCTTTCCGAGTTTCAGCCCGTGACGCCTCATAGCAGATCCCTTGATTTCCTGAGGTGTGTCCCAGAGCGTGTGGGATCTGCTGTAACCTTGTTCTCTCCTCCCGCAGGAGTCTACATCCTGGTTGGTGTGGGAGCGGTGATGATGATAGTGGGATTTCTCGGATGCTATGGAGCCATTCAAGAATCCCAGTGCATGCTGGGCACGGTAAGAACAAAACTGCGTGACTCTGCATTGTACCCTGTGTCACCACACCAGCTGCACTGGCACACTTGTCACTGTGCCAGCCTGCTCCTCCCTCCTCAACCCTTCCAGCCTCTATTTCTATCACAGTTCTCTCTCCAGGAACCTGCATTCTCCATTTACATTCCATCTGCCTTCCCTGTGTCTTTCTCCGAGTTCATCCCCTCCCACTTTTATATTCACCTCCTCGTCCCAAATTTGTCCCCAGCTCATAGGAACAGGAGTGTGCACTCGGCCCATCGAGCCTGTCCCAACACAAGATCATGACAGACCCACAACTCCATTCCCACTCCCGCCCTCTCTCCATATCCCCGATACCGTGTCTATCAAACATTTATCTATTTGCCTTTTAAATTCTTCAAGTGACTCTGCCTCCAGTGCCCTCTGGGAGAGTGAATTCCACAGTCACACCACCCTCTGTGAAAAATGTTCCCTTACTTCACTTTTAAACGGTTTAGCCTCAAGTTTAAAACAATGACCTCTATTCCTTAATTCTCTCGTTTTAGCAACTAAAACAGATGATCGTTATTCAGCTTGACAAACGCTTCAGAATTTTAAACACCTCGATCAGGTCACCACTCGAACTTCCCGAACTCGAGAGAATTCAATTCAAACTTTTCCATCCTTTCATCCTAATTTAGGCCCTTGACACGAGGAATCATTCTAGTAAATCCACATTGCACACTCTCTGAGGCCAATATATCCTTCCTACGGTTTGGTACTCAAAACGGCACAGAAAACTCCAAATGGGGTCTGACCAGTGTTTTGTACAAGCTGTAACCCCACTTGTTGACTTTTGCATTCCAGCCCCTTGTGATCAATGCATTAGCCTTTTTGATAAACTCTGCACTTTTTTTGTAATGATCTATGAGGCTGAACGCCTGCTTTGCTCATTTCCCCCGGCTACTTAGCTCATCATTTGTGGCATTTCCCTGATCTAGATCCGCTCCCGTGTTTCCCTCCATCATTCACTTCAATTCTAATCGATTCTATTTTGTAATATGAAGAATGCTGTATATATTCGGGTTGTTATTGTGCCCATCCTCCCATTGTCTCCTTGCAAGTCAAAAATGTAACAGCAGTAAGATTGCATTGGGAGTGAGCCGAACCAGTGAAGTACATTCTCTCGTGTACGTGCTGAGTGACAGTGGGTCTGGCTCATTTTTACCCTCTGCCTCCATTATCTGTGGGTTTTATAGTGCCGCATAGCATCAAATCAGCTTGAAGCCCTCCACAGATAATTACTGAACAGTCAGTACACTAGGCAGGAATTACACTTTGAGAATGTTCACAGATGAGCTGTAAAACTGCAAGGTCTTTGGTCCTGTCGAGTATAGTGACTGTGTGTTTGTAGGTGAACCCATCAGCCATTTTATCCACTGTAAAATCCTGTAATCTGGGGGATTGTTGTTTTGGACACTGGGAGAGAGAATGGATCAATTTCAAGATCCTCAAACTCATCTTCAAATCCCTTCATGCCCTGGCACCTCCCTACCTCTCCAACCTGATTACTTCCCAACCTACTACCCGCTGCCACCACTCGACTGGCTCCAGCCTCCTACTTGTCCCTCGTGCCCTCCGTTTCACCATCGGTGGCTGAGCTTTCAGCCATTAAGCTCCGAAACTGGAACGCTCTTCCTCGATCCCTCCACCTTGCTCACTCCTTCCCCCTTCCTCTTCGATTATGCCTACAGTCACCCCTCCCTCCCTGGCTCGGCATTGTGCTCCTCTCTGAGACGCTACCCTGCGTGAGGGGCACTATATAAATGCAGGTTATTGTTGTGACCTTTTTGATAAAGATTAAAAGTTGTCTAAAATGTAATGCTGCTGCTGTTATACCCAGGCCAGAAGTGCAGTGAGCCTTAGAGTAAAGGGGTGGCTGTGGGCATACTCCTATAAAAACTGTTCATCATCCCTCTTCCAGTTAATCTAATGTAGTGACTGTGTGCCTTATCTTGCAGTTCTTCATCTGCCTGATTATCCTGTTTGCCTGTGAAGTGGCTGCTGGCATCTGGGGATTTGTGTACAGAGAAGAGGTACGCTTGCCTCACTTCCCCACACACACACACACACCCTGTCCCGCACTCATTCACCTCCTCTGCAGGGACTGGGGGTAGATGTTGGTATGGCTTTTTTAGACGGTGTGGAGTGGGGACTTAGTGTGGCTCATGTTGGGGGGGGTGTGGGGGGGCAGTGTGTCTGTTGTGGGGGGAAGGGGGTCAGTTAATGCTCTGGGATATTCCGGTTGTTGGGACAGAGGGTAGATTCAGAGTTGGAAGGGTTGACTCTGATTGATGCTCTGCTCCTTTCTCAGATCTCGGACCAGGTGAAGGATTTCTACGACTCCTCGCTGACCACGTATAAGACCTCGATGCTGTTGTCAGACCGCCGAGCCCGGGCCAAGGCCGTGCTGCTCACCATGCACGAAGCGGTGAGTGCACAGACCAAGACGAGGGACGGGAATGCGGGGAGTGGGAGGGGGGGGGCAATCATGTTTGTGGTTCATGTTGGAAGGCTTTCAGCCTCTTTGCCCCCCACACTCTGGAACTCCATCCCACAGTCCCTTTGCCTCGCTTCCTCCCTCGCCTCCTTCAAAGTCTCGAGATCCTCCTCTTCGATCGTGCCTTCGGTCGCCCTCCCACCTCTCTGCCTTTCCTCACCCCTACCCCACCCCTCCACCATGCTCGGGTCCTGATCCCTGATTGTTCAGCGCCTTGGGACGTCCTCCCGAAGTGAAAGGCGCACTATAAATTTAATTTTGTTGTTGAAGGTCGGGTCAGTGGATGTCAAGCGTTTGTGGGGTGAGGGGGGAAGTCGCTGGGTATCTTGGGTGGGGGTTGTGTCATGGGTGTTTGTGGGGGGTCTCGGGGTGGGGGGGGTGAGTGTCTCGGTTGTTTTGTGGGATTGTGGGGGTCTCTGTTGTGAGGCTGGGCTGCTGTTAACTCTAACCCTCGCTGTGGCCCTTTTAGCTGGACTGCTGTGATACCAGTGTGTTCCGGTCAGACGCCTGCCCCAAGAGAGATCCCACCACATTGAGTATGGTGAGTGAATACTTCAGTCCATCAGCTCAGGCACTTTGCCATCCTCTCAGGAAGGATTTACCGGCTGTTCTGTACGGCTGAAAGCGCTGGGGCTGAGCTCGGCTGCTTTCCCCGCACTGCTCGAGGGCGCCCTCTGGTGTCAGGCTGGCAGAATCCTGGGAGCAGGTAGGAAGGCCCTTGTGGAGCACAACTTGTGGAGTCCCGTAGCGTAGTGGTTAGAGCGCTCGCTTCACAAGCAAGGCGACCCGGGTTCGATTCCCAGGCTGGACGAGACCTTAGGCAAGTCTCCTTGCTCCTCACGTCTCTGTTTCCCCAGCAGCAAGTAGGAACCCAGTTGGGAGCAATTGCCGGATTGCTCTCTGGGGGATAATAATTCCTCAAAAATAAGTTTGTCCACTCAATCCATGACTGTTTGAGGGACATTGCGGTGCGCAATTGACTACTGCGTTTCACGCGCAAAATACACTTTACAGTATATTCTGTGAAGCGCTTTGAGAAATGATAATGCACTGTATCAAATACAAGGATTATTATTAATACCTTACTTCACATGTGGCTTTCTTCACATAATTCCTCTAAAATACTCCCAATCAACTCTGCTCCATTAGCCACCTGGCATTTCATTCCACATCCTGACATAGAGGAAGATAAGCTTCCTACCTTTTCTTTCACACTCACGTATAATCCTACATTCAAACTCTCTTGTCCTCGCATCACCTACTCACCATTTATTCTCCAAGCCTTCCATTCTCTTCGCATCCTCCTGATGTGAAAGGCACTTTTTGTTGTCATCTTAAACACATAAATCACATGGCCTCTTTCTCCATTATGTCCGTGCCACTGGAGCCCTTTCCTTTAACCCTGCACTCTCTCCATTGTGTTTATTGTTGTGAGGTGTGTCACTCAGTGTTGTGAGATTGTGTGTGTGTCACTGGGGTGTTGTGAGGTGTGTGTGTGTCACTCTGGTTTTCCCGCTTTACCCACAGGATTGTCATAGGAAGATCAACGAGCTTTTCTTTGGGAAGCTGTACATCATTGGGATCGCTGCCATCGTCGTCGCAATCATCATGGTAGGAACTTTAGGACCTATCCCACATCCCTGACTGGGTGTAGATGGGGGATGGCCGCCTAGACTATGGGGGGGTAGGGGAGGTGGGGGTAGTTGCCAGGTGGTGTGTGTGGGGAGTTGCCAAGCTGTTGGGTGGAGACTGCATGGCAGTGGTGGGGTGTGGGTGGGGGCATAGACAGGGGTATGTCTCTCACTCACGGTGGGGGCTTTCTTGTTGCAGATTTTCGAGATGATTTTCAGCATGGTCCTGTGCTGTGGGATCCGGAGCAGCAGTGTGTACTAACCTCACTGCCTGCCGCTGCCCTCAACTGGCTCCCAGCACAGCAGCAAAAGCAGCTTTGTTGTGGAACAGCCCGACCCACTTATAAAATAACCCCTCCCCTCCCAACTAACCTCAATGATGGTGCTTCTCACAATGTTTTGTATACCCCCCCACCTCGCCCAACCCCCAACCCCCGACCTCACCAACACTGACAGTCGATGTAACAGCAACTGTTTAACCAAAGGACAGTGTGCGGGGAAAGGGAAATGGATCGCATTGCCCACCCCCACCCTATGCTGGTTTTTGACGCCTCCTCATCTCCTGAACGGGCATCAGTTGCTGCCCAGGTGTCACAGTGAAGCCTGGTGTGAGTTACCAGCTCAATTCAGATTTGAAGCCATTCTTCAGTGAGGGAGATGGGGGTGGGGGGGCGCGCGGAGGAAACTGCCAGTGGGGTGGGGGGAGTGGAGGGGAATGTCTTTCTGAGATTTTTTTTATATAATTGAACAATGCTGTGTTGGGGAGCACGCTGACACAGTTCCAGAGCTGATTTACTGATGATGATATAATGCTGTCTGTCTCGCTGGCCTGGCCAGTGCTTATCATGTGTATAATAATGAAATGTAACAGTAGCCTGCTGATGCCAGGCCAGTAACCAGTTAATGCACCGCCCCTGCCCCCTGTGCCACCCTGTAAGGTGGTGTGTCATCGCCCGCTGGCATTCCTCTAGGCTGCATTTATATAGCCCCCTTCACGCGGGGCAGTGTCTCGGCTCTGCCACTGTTAAGTGCTCTGAGACGCCGCCCCGCGTAAAGGGCGCTATATAAACGCAAGTTGTTGTCTCTGTGCAAGCAACAACATCTTCCTGGGTTTAGTTCAAACCTACCAGGGTGGGCTACGCTTCCTCCTGCCCTGTGCACAAGCCCAGCCAGAGCTGGTTACACTCACAGCCCGCAGCTCACCATACAGTGGACTGACTGCACACATGTTATCCAGACAGCAGTCTGCGCTGAGCTTGGGGGAGATGAGCGTTGTGTGGTCACTTGCGGACGGGGACGGGGGTGATTCCTAGCCTGATGAAGCTCCGATCACCCTGCTCCAACATGCTGCCTCGTTCCAGCAGCGCTAATGAAGGCTTCTGTATTTGGAGCTGTGTGCGCGCTGGTGCCTGCTTTCAACTGTCTCTGAAGTGCTTGTTATGTGAATATGTAACAATAAAGACCACTTTCTTTAACACAGCTTTGCCCCGCACTGAGTCCCTTGTGTGTGTGTGTGTGTGTGCGTGCGCGTGCTCACTCATGTCATCAGCTGTAATATGAAGATCCAAGTTTCATGCCATCGAGACCCTCATTCACGAATTCATTACATCTTGGTTCCACTACGCTAAGTAGCCTGTGATTTGTGGGCAAAACGTGGCATGGAGTAGATTTGTTTGTGTTTTGTGAAATTAAATATATTGCTTATAAAATGAGAAACAAACAGATTAAAAACCTATATTTCACTTTAACAAAAATCAACAAAATCTGGAATCAATTGTCACTATTTACACTTAAAAAAATGTAAAAAAAATTAATATTTCATTTCACTGCAATTAAGATTCAAGCATGTTATCGTCAACAGTACATAGTCTTCCCCCCCCCCCATCTCCAAGCTGGCCAGAGCTCCAGGTCCCGTCAGCCTTTTCAGATGGATGTTAAAGATCCCATAGCACTATATGAAAAGAGAAGAGTTTCTCCCGCTGTCGTGGCCAACAACCCCCCAGATAAAATTGCTTAGCTACTCCATGGCTGTTTGTGGCAACAAAGTTTTTGAAACAAACTGGATGAACATTTGAAGCAAATCAATACAAAAGGGTACAGGGAATGGGATTAGAGTAGAGAGCTCCAGTGTGGAAGCGAGCACCAGCACAGACACGATGGGGAATGGCCTCTTGTGTTGCAATTTCCATGGTTGCCATAGATTAGCAATTTCTGACCTTTACCGTGTCGAAGCTGCAATCACATGAGGTTCATTTCCTGTGGTCGAGGGAAACCATTCCCCCGTTTCCTCTGTATGTAACCAGCCCTCTGATACCTGGGCTTTCGAATGCTCGGAGCTGGTGCTCATTGCTGCAAGTGCTCCTTGTGTCTGCATTGATCCGGAACAAACCCAGAACTGATTTGCTGTGAGACATATTCTCTGGCGTTGCTGTGCTGCTGTGATCGGAGGCATTCTGTGGCGGAGAGTCCAGTGCCGTGATGGGAATCTCGAGACGTCACCTCAGCACACATCACACACGCCTCACACATCAGTGGATCGCACGTCACTATGCAAGTTAACCAACAGGGGCCGCTGATTCTCATTCAGCAAATGCCTGCAAGATACAACACAGAATACGCTGCTCAGCTGATACACTCACAATCAATGGTTTTCACTTGAGCCAGACTATTTTCCAGTGTTCAGTGAGTCAGTCACACAAGAGGCCACACACCTAGGGACAGGTTAGAGACCTGGGTTTACACAGAGCAATCTTGCAGCATAGTGCTTCACTCCAAATAGCTCTTAATAGTCGTTCAAAAGGAATTGGATAAATACTTGGGGGAATGGGGTTAGATAAGAGAACGCCTGTGGGGAGCGAGCACCAGCACAGACACGATCGGGAGAGCAGGGAATGAGATTAGAGTAAAGAGCTTCAGTTGGGGAGCGAGCACCAGCACAGACATGAGGGAGAGAAAGCAGGGAATGGGATTAGAGCAGAGAGCTCCAGTCCTGTGTGGAGCCACAAGGGTGTGTGTTTATATGAGTAAAGTGCGCCCTGGCATGTGGACGAGGAGTGCTGTCTCCCACTTACTTGTGTCTCTCCTCCAAACGACTGTTGGTCCGTGTCAGATATTGATTTTTCACCGTAATGGGAACATCAGGCACATACCACGCAGCAATGTACTTAACACACAAAGCCACGTTCTGAGGGGACATGAGCAGAGACAGACTAGGTCACTGAGCAGCGACAACCCAAACCAGGCTACATTGACACACACACCTACACCGACACTGACACACACACACCTACACTGACACACACACCAACAATGCCACTCGACTACACTGACACACACCAACACTGACGCGACGCACACCAACACCGACATTGACACACACCGACACTGACAGTGACACACACCGACACTGACAGTGACACACACTGACACTGACAGTGACACACACTGACACTGACAGTGACACACTGACACTAACTTACACTGACACTGACAGTGACACACACTGACACTGACTCACACTGACAGTGACACACACTGACACTGACCCACACCGATACTGAGTGACCCACACCGATACCGACAGTGACACACACCGACACCGACATTGACACACTCTGACACTGACACACACCGACACTGACACACACCTACACTGACACACAATGTACAAATTCCCAATGTGAGGAATGGACACACATTCCCGGTGTGGGGATGAGGGAGCATAACCAACCTCAAATAAGACGAGGAACGCCAAGCGAGCTGCCAGAATGTGCCAGAACTGCACTGTGTAACCATAATCCTGGGAGTTCCTGTAATCCCGATACCTGCAGGACATACAAAGTGAGAGCGCAGCAACATCAACAACAGCAACACCAATAACAGCAACAACAACAGAACAACAATTCTCCCAGAGCAGCACACGTCCCAGCGTTCTCTCTCCCTCTTGCCAGGTCCCCGTCTAATTTACTGATGGCTGCTAATCCAGTTCCCTGTGGGATGCGTCTGTTGACCAGGCCTCAGTAACCAGACGTAGGAATGAATTCCAGCCACTGACAAGCCTCAAAATGAAGAGATTCCCTCTAACCTCTCCCTGATTTGTCTGCTAACAGACCTAAGCCAAAGTCACTCACCACTAAAGACATTGTTTGCCCTCTGTCCCCTGCTGACACTCACTGTCAAGGCTCAGACATGGCAAAGTAGCAACAGCAACAACAACTTCCATTTATACAGCGCTCTTCATGCAGGTATTGTTTCGGAGTGCTTACTAGAGGCAGATCCTGATGCCAAGCTGTGGGGGGTGACCATAAGCATGATTGAAGAGGAAGATCTTCAGTCATGATTTGAAGAGGCAAGGTGGAGAGATCGAGGCATGGAGTTCCGGAGTCTGGGGCGTAGTGGCTGAAAGCACGGACACTGATGGTAGGGTAGAGGGGATAAGGGACAAGCAGGAAGCCAGAGCCCGCCAAGCAGAGGCGGTGGAGTGGGGAGAAAGCAGATTGGAGAGGTTGGGAGGTGCCAGGGGGTGAAGGGATTTGTAGATGAGTGTGAGGATCTTGAAAACGATCCGTTCTGTGCAAGTGTAGCCTGGTGAGGACTGGGGTGATGGGATTACAGGTGATGAGTTTAATGTGGGTGAACATACGTGTGGCAGGGTTTTGAATTAATTAGATTTTATGAATGGTGGAGCTGGAGAGACCGGTGAGCAGGGCATTGGAATATCCAGCCAGGCTGTGCTGTCATCAGCAGTGCCCTGGAGTATTGTAGATCCACATGGCTCAGGAACTGGACTAGAGACCGACATAGATGTTGGGCTCGATTATGACAGCCCACTGCCGGGAATGTCCTGCCCTGTCCTACCTGCAGTACGTGATCTCCAGCTCGGAGTTGGTGATCCTCGGCTGTGTTTTGTTGTCCATCTTGTTCAAGTAGAACACAGACAGGCTGTTGTTAATGTAGCCCGTCAGACAGCTGCAAACACACCACACCAAGCACAGGTCAATACAGAACAGCACTAAAGCAGGATAGAGCAAGTGAGCGAAGGAGGGAATGAGGGAGAAGGTGAGTGAGGAAGGAAGCGAGTGAAGGATGAAGCAAACTGGGGGGAGGGAGAGGAGAAGCGAGGGAGGGAAGGAGCGGGGGGCAGACACGGAGGGAAGGGGGGAGAGAGAGAGAAGCTGTGTACATGAAGGGTTGGTGTCTGGTTGCTGGGACACTTACTCTTCTGTGCTGTGTCCTCTTGCACACGGCCCATACTGATACTTGTAAACGAGGCGAGGGATGAAATCGGATGTGATGGAGATCACCAGCCCGTTGCCAATCACAGCCAGAACGCCGATGGCCTCCAGCACTGGCAGCCAGATCCCTGCAGGACAGAGCAGCTCATCACTGCCCGTTCCCCCCATCACGATCTATCTCCCCTTCTCACTACCTGTTTCCCTGTCATTGCCCGTCTCCCCATCACTGTCTATCTCCCCGTCACTGCCCGTCTCTCCCCATCACTGCCCGTCTCCCCCCGTCACTGCCCGTCTATCCCCGTCACTGCCCGTCTACCCCCGCCCCCGGCACTGCCCGTCTACCCCCCGTCACTGCCCGTCTACCCCCGTCACTGCCCGTCTACCCCCGTCACTGCCCGTCTAGCCCCGTCATGCCCTACCACCTCCCTACCTCTCCAACCTGCTTACTTCCCACTCCACAACCCGCTGCCTCCACTTGGCTAGCTCTGGCCTCCTGTTTGTCCCTTGTGTCCACCGTTCCACTATCGGCATTTGTAATTTCAGCCACTACCCCGCAGCTCCATGACCCAATCCCTCACTTTAATAATATAAAAATGGGGCTCAGGGTGGGGGGGGGGGCGGGGTCAGGGCGGGCTGGATCAGGGTGGTGGGGGCGTCAGGGTGCCACTCACCGATGTCGTTAGCTTTGCGTGGCACGGCCCGTTTCTGCAGCACCAGCATCTTGCGAGCGTCCAGCCTGATCTCCAGCAGGTTGTTGATCAAAGCCAGTAATGGAGCGAGCGGGAATGCCGCCACGAAGATGGTGGTGAAACCGTACTGGATCACTGTCACCGAGAGAGTGAAACTGTCAGACATGCCAACAGGCAGCAAGATGGGAGGCACGACAGGCGGTGAAACAGGAGGAAAGTCAAACGGAGAGACAGGCAGCAGGAAGGGGGAGGCAGTGAAAGACAGCGAGGTTGACAAGCCGAGAGACAGGGGGATGACAGGCCGAGAGACGGGGGGGTGACAGGCCGAGAGACGGGGGGGTGATAGGCCGAAAGACAGCGGGGGTGACAGGCGGAGAAACGGGGGGGTGACAGTCGGAGAGACGGGGGGTGACAGGCCGAGAGATGGAGAGACAGACAGTGGGACTGGACACACCCATTTCCAGGAACTCTTTGAACAGGCTGAAGGAGCCGACTGTGTTCAGGCTGTAGTTCTGCAGCCAGTGAGCCATCGTGGGGTCCGTGTTGCTCTCGTCACTCGTCACTCGCCGATGATTCCACTTACGTTTGAAGGATCTGCCGGTCAGAGAGGCAGTCTGTCACTGACACTCGACAATCAGGTGATTCGGAGGTGACACGTTACATGGGACAGACAGCGACAGCCACAGTAGTGATCCTGAGAGGCCAAGAGAGACTGAACTCCCAAGTGCAATATCTCAATGCAGTGAGAGCTTTACTCTGTCTAATCTGTTGCTGACCTGGGAGTGTGGACGGAGAATGTAGAGGGAGCTTTTCTCTGTCTCTAACCTGTACTGTGGCTGGCCTGGCAGTGGGGAGGGTGTAAATGGGTGACTTACGGGATGCAGTACTCCAGGGTGCTGCTCAAGATCTGCTTCAGAAACATGATCATGGCCATCTGGATGAAGAGGTCGGTCATACAGCCACTGGGGTGACACTAAAGTAAAAACACACACAGTCAGGCATCTCCGTGCACCGGGCGGTGGGGTGGGGGGAGAGTGAGTGACGGACAGAGCGCGAGTAACGGACAGAGCGCGAGTGACGGACAGAGAGCGAGTGCAGCTGAGAGCTCACCTCCTCAAGTCTCCACTTGCTGGCTATTCTCACATAGTTGTTGGGATGCCCGTTAATCCTGAAAAATAAACACACGTCATCACACGCACTGCACCACGCACCAGGCTCCTGATAATCCACGTTTGACAGCCATATGTGAAAATTAACATGTCGCTCAAAATTGTGGTTCTGTTTCCCATGCCCCCACACCCCCCATCCCACACCCACCCACCGGGCCCACGACACTGCCCCCATCCACTCCCCACCCACTAGCCTGCCCGGTGCGGGTTGCGGACTCACCGGCCCAGGAAGAAAGCAACGTAGACGATGGAGGAGAACATGGTGAAGAACTGGAAAGTGAACATTTTCACTGTGAAGTTGTTCTCTCGCGCCAGCTCCGTCCGTGGCTTCTCTGTAACACACAGAGGAGAGAATGATCCCCCCCCTCACAGAGCCGAGACTCACCCCCCTCCCCACACACACACACACACAGCACTGCAACCCCCCACACAGACACACAGCCCTCTCCCCCCTCATACACACACAAACCCCTTCCCCCCACACACAGTACTGCAACCCCCCCTACATACAGACACACAGCCCCCTTCCCTCACACACACACAGCCTTCTCCTTCCTCACACACACTAACAGCCTTCTCCCCCTCACACAAACTCACACACACACAAAGAGCTGAGACCGCCCCACCCCCGACCCGTGTACACAGGCGTTGTTGAGGTGTTGCCATGTATGTTGCCGCTGTGAGTGATGGAATCATACCTAAATCACACAGCTTCAGAGCCACAAAGTGGTTCACCTGTAACACAGTAATAACATCGCTCAGTGTGTGCGCACCTGTGATTGTGTGTGTGTGTGTGTGTGCATGTGACCAGGTTTGTGTGACTGTGTATGTCTGAGAATGTGTATGTTGTCTGTGTATAACGATGTCTCTGTGTGTATGACTTAAACGCTCCGAGAGGCTCCCCGTGTGAACGGCGCTATATAAGTTTGTTGTGTGTGTGTGTGTGTGTGTGAGAATGTGCGTGTGTATCTGTCTGTGCATGGGTGAGTCTGTATGTGTGGGTGAGTATGAGTGTGTGTGTGTCCGTGTTTGGGTGGAGGGGGGAGAGGAGGTCCCACCTTGGTCATGATGATGATGGTGAGGAAGTGAAGCAGCGCCCCGATCATCACGGCTCCGGTGTTGGCGTGGTCACGCAGGAACTCCAGCCCGGAATTGGTGAAAAAGATGGTGACGACCACACGGCTGATCACAATGGCCAACGCGATGCCGATCATCAGTATGATCTGTGACATGCAGTAACGTAGCTCATGCTGGGAAGATACTGATCGGCTTGTACACTGACACGTTCGTACGCTGACACATGTGAGCGGCGAGGCGGGGTTGGGGGGGGGTGGGGGGGACAGTGTCCTGATCTCTCGCTGGCTGGAGCACTCACCATGAGACAGCTGAGCAGCAGGACCAGGCTGGTGCGAGTGTACGAGTGCCGGTACCGCCGCAGTGCAGTCTCGGGGTTGTAGATCTGCCGCAGAGCCAAATCCTCCTGATACAACATAATCCCCATCACCCTGGGCTCAGCATTGCACACACCTATTACACACTACTGTATAACACTGTCACACACTATAACCCTATCACAGACTATAGACCAGTCACACACTGTAGCACAGTCACGCACTCCTCTATAACGAGAGCCAAGAGAAAATTGAAAACTCTTAGAGAAAGAAACACACTCACTGATACAGAGAGAGAGAGACACATTCACTGACACAAAGACAGAGACACTCACTGTCATACAGAGAGAGACACTCACTGACACAGAGAGAGACACTCACTGACACAGAGAGAGACACTCATTGACACAAAAAGAGAGACACTCACTGACACACAGAGAGACACTGACACACAGAGAGACACTCACTGACCCACAGAGAGACACTCACTGACACACACAGAGAGATATACACACATTAACAAAGACACACTCTCACAAATGCCCCATCACTCTCCCCCACCCCCCCACCCCAATCGACCTCCACCCCCGACCGACCCCCTCCCCCGCCACTCCCTGACCGATCCTCTGCACCCCAGGCTCACTCCTCTCTCCTCAGTCACATTCCAACTCTTCTTATTGTAACGCTCTGCGACCCCTGCCTTCCACCAACTCGCCTGCTCTCACATGGTTAAGTCAGTTAAACCGGTTACCTCATCCTCGTCCCAGTGGTACAAGTTCCATTGGTGGACTATGCTGGCTCGCGACCGCTTCCAAACCTCCATGAAGATAGTGGCTGGTGATGGAGAACATTGACAGAGTTAGTGTTCACAGGTGTAACCAGCAGCCACACTCACTGTGACACACACCGTGGTGCTGTAGCACGTTTCATGGAGTATTTACAGGATTTACTGTAAAGTGCAGTGACTTCACATTAGTATAATTGTGGGTGAAGCGTGGCAACACAATTGCTCACAGCAATGTCCCTCAAACAGAGATGGAATGAATGACCAATTTTATTTGAGGGACTGTTGGTCAGGACATCGTGAGAGAGAAATTCTCTTTCTTTTCGGATAGTGATGAGGAATCTTTAACATCCACTTGAACAGGAAACCTCGGTTTAACACTGATGACATGATAAGATGCTACATCAATTGTAAAATTCATTGGGGGGTGGTGGGGGGGGAGTGTGGAGGTGGAGGGAGACATGGGGGTTGGTTACCTACCCCAGATGGCCATAAACATGGCAAAGAAGACGGTTATTTCATGGTCGAACAGTTCTGTGACCTGTCAGAGGAGAACAAGACTGGTTAGTTAGTGTAACTAGCCCCACTCTGCACCAGTTATTTAGCACTTAACGTAGAGCCAGATTAAGGGTTCTGGGGCTGTAAAATAGATCACTTTTGGGGGCCCTGTATAATGTGCAGCAATGCCTTATTGTGCTCGACAGACACATGTTGCTATTTAATTTGAGATTTTATTTTAATATAGTTAAAAGTACTTATAGGTGAACATAACAAGACATTCTTAAAGTATGTAAAGGTGTAACTAATCGCTCTACACACTGGTTAGTTAGTGTAACTAGTCGGTGTGCATTGCACTGAGCCAGGCTGTGTGCAAGGTGGGACGGGGTGCGTGGGGGGTGGGCTGTACCTTGGCATGTGTGCAGGTCTCGGAGAGTTTCCACAGCGGGCATCGCTGGTCACACAGCGGGCACATGATGGTGGTGTTAGCATTACAGATCTCCTTACTGAGACAGAGAGTCACACACACATACACACACACACACAGATTGAGACAGAGAGAGATAGATAGAAAAAGAGGGTGAGACAGACACACACACACACAGACAGGAGAGACGGATGGTTAAATTGTGGCCATGTTATTGTGTAGTGATGTCCCTTTACATTAAAAAGACAAGTTTTACTATTTGAGACTTTTCTGGAAGACGGATTGGGTAAATTCACCACTGCCCACCTTGCCCCCCCCCCCCCCCCCCCCACGCACTCACCGCTGGAACCCTCGGCCCTCAACTCTGATCCCTCAACCCTGACCACGCAATCTGACCTCTAATCTTCAACCTTGTCCCCTCAACACTTGCGCCTCACCCTGACCCCTCAATCCTGAACCCTCATCATGAACCCCTTGCTTGCCAGGCCTGTACCTAATTTGATTGTTGAAGAAGACGAAGGCACACAGAAACATGAGAACTCCAAAGGCAGCAGCCGGAATCAGCATGGTGGTGTACCAGCCCAACCAGGCAAAGTACAGAGCTACTCGCTCCCCAAAATACTGCCTGTAACAACACAGCACACAGCACTGTCACCATCACAACAACAACAAATTACATTTGTACAGCGGGAGGAAGTCCCAAGGCACTGGACAGTCATGGATTTGCACCCAACCTGGGACTTGGGATCAGGAGGGATGGAGGGCAGGAAGCGTGGGGTTAGAAGGGTGACCGAAGGCGCGGTAAAAGAGGAAGATCTTGAGATGGGCCTTGAAGGAGGCAAAGTAGGGGGTGATGTGGAGGAACTGTGGTATGGAGATCCAAAAGGTGGGAGCAGAGGCTGAAGGCCCGGTGGCCAATGGTGGGTGGGCCGGGCGGGTGACATGGAGCATGCTACAGCCTGCTGAGCAGAGGGAGCAGCAGGTCGGCATGGGATTAGCAGGTCACAGAGGTAGGGAGCAGGAGGGCGGTGGAGGGCTTTGAAAGCGAGGACGAGAATTTTAAACTCTCTCCTCTGGGGGATGGGAAGCCAGTGGAGTCAAGTGAGAATGGGGATGATAGGGTCATGGAGCTTTGGGCGAGAGAGGACATGAGCTGCAGAGTTCGGGATGATCTTCAGCTTGTGGAGGGAAGAGTTTGGGAAGGCCGACAAGCAGGAAGTTAGTGTAGTCGAGCCTAGATGTAATAAATGTGTGGATGAGGGTCTCAGGAGCTTGAGCGGAGAAGCAATAGCGGAGACGGGCGATGTTTGGAGGAGATGGCAGGCAGAGCAAGTCAGTTCATGGATGTGGGGTTTGAAGGACAAGATGCCAAAGTTTCCTACTGACTCAGTGAGATGGTAGTGTGCATCCATGAATGGTGATGTTGTCAGTGCCTGAGGTGTGGAGGCGCTGACCGGATCCAAGCAGGAGGGTCTTAGTCCTTGTTGACATTCAATTGGAGAAAGTTAGCTCTCATTAGGACTTGTGCCAGGCAGATGGTCCATTAGGACAGCAGTGGTCCTGGAGTCGAGGATGGAGGCAGATAGATAGAGTTGGGTGTCATCCGGATACATGTGGATCAATGCCATGACATCACCTAGTGCGAGCATGTAGACATTGAAGAGGATGGGATCGAGGACAGAACCCTGAGGAATGCCATTCAAGACGGTGCAGGGGCTGGAGGAGAAGCCCTTCATGGACATGAAGTGAATACGATGGACCAGACGAAGGCAGCACCATGAAATTGAGCTGAGAGGAGACGCCATGGAGAAGGATAGAATGGTCAACAGAGTCGAAGGTGGCGGAGAGGTCAAGGAAGATGAGGAGACAGAGGGAGCCCTGGTCATAGGTGGACCAAATGTTGCTTGTAACTTTGACCAAGGCTGTCTCTATGCTGTGGGCAGCATGAAAACCCGATTGGAGGGGTTCATACAAGGAGTGGCAGGACAGGAAGAAGCAAAGCTGGGAAGCAACAGCTCATTCCAGGACCTCGGAAAGAAAGGGAGATTGGACATTAGGCAGTAATTGGAGAGCAGGAAGCTCATCCAGGGAAGCTTTTTTGAGGATGGGGGTGATGAGGCAGTGGAAATGGTGCCAGAGGACAAAGAGAGGAGCACAACCATCACCATCACCTCCAATTGCTCCAAACTGTGCAATTATTTTGTGCACACACTCACACGGGGACTCGCAGACTCACCTGATCTCATTCACCGGCTGCTTGTGAAACAGACGGCCCCAGCGGGCCCAGCCATCCCATAATTTCTTCTCTCTCTCCGGGAGATTTTCCTACCACAGTGAGCAAGAGTCACAAATACAGCTGGAGTGGGGTCGGGGTTGGCAGGGTCGATGCGGGCGGAGCGGAGTCGGTGCGGGCAGGGCGGGGTCAGTGATGCCGTCGTCAGCGTGGGGCATGGTAGGATCAGTGAAGTGGCAGGGTCAGCATAGGGAGGGGGCCGCGCTGGGCGGCGCGATCACAGCCCGGGGTTGGGTCAAACTACATCCGCAGTCTCTGCGAAGGAGAGAGAGCACGAGAGTTCATGCGGAGGATGGAACGATGGAGCTACCTGGCACTGTTAAGCCAAGGTTTGGTAGGTGCTCAAGCAATGATTTACGTCTTGTAGTGTGACAATTGCCCGGTTAATTAGGGCAGAGACTCCCAACTGTCTCTGACCAAACAGTCACCTCCTTTGACCCATCAGTGATGCAATAATAATAATTCTTACATTTGATATGGTGCCTTATCACGTCTTTGAGACTTCTCAAAGCGCTTCACAGACTATACTGTAAAGTGCATTGACTGTATATTTTCGTGGGCGAAACGCGGCAGCTAACTGCACACAGCAGCGTCCCCACAAACAGTAGTGGATTGAAGTGACCAATTTATTATTATTATTATTATTATTACAGCCGATGTGGGGTCAAGATAAACTGATGGATTGTTGATTTTAACTTTTAACCCCACTCGTTATCATAAAATCAACAGGTATTTAGGGGAAGAACATGACTGACACGGGACAAATGAGTTCTCTTCGATACCTGTCTCTCTGCACGTAGAAGTTAGACTTTTGGGGTATAAAAGGGGTTTTAGTCGGTTTCTCTGAGAAGCAGTTTTGACCAACTCCCAGTTGCCCGCTGCTCTCCCAGGGATAGGTAACTGATCACTACTGTCCTCGGAAACCCGTTTGCTACCATTATCGTATCTTGCGATAGTCGGTTGTTGCTCATTGTACAATCATTGACTGTTCAACGAAAATAAAGGAAACAATTGCTTAACATCCAAATCCAATTTCGTATTTATTATTTAATGATGAAACAAAGAAATAATTCATTATTTCACTATTAATTAAATAATAAATACAAAGTTTCCTTACGGGGTTAGGTTAGAGCTGGGATCGGGGCTCTGTTGATGGTGCCATCGTTGTGAGAATTGTCGCTCACCTCGTGTAGCGGAAACGCTGCCACGAACGTCTTATCTTCCAACAAAGACCTCAGCACGTGGCATTCTAACAGAGAGAGAGAGAGAGAGATTGTGTGTTACCCCAGAGGGAGAGAGAGAGATTGTGTCAACCCAAAGGTGAAAGAGAGAGAGAGTGTGTCACCCCAGAGAGAATGTATGACCCCGAATATGAGAGAATGTGTCACCCCAAAGGTGAAAGTGAGAAAGCCACACACACACAGGGTGATACTCACTGCAGTCACGGTCAGCGTAACAGTTTGTTGTCCTCAGGATGAAATCAACAATTCGAATTCTGTAAAGAGACGTTTAGAAAGTTAACCCTTTGTGTGCTACCAGTGATTGGAGGGAACATGCCAACGCCCAAAAAACTATCAGTGGCTAATGGGGGTCTCCATCCTTCTCCATCTCTCTCGCACACTTAATCCGTCTCTCTCCCTCGCTCTCTCTCTCCCCCACCCATCTCTTTCTGTCCCTCTGTGTGTGTGTGTGTGCGGGTGTGTGTGTGTGTCTCTCTCACTCTCTCTCGCTATGCACTCTTTATTAACAAAACACAAAATACCGCAGGTATTGGAAATCTGAAAACAAAAACAGAAGTCCCTGGGAACACTCAGCAGGTCAGGCAGCATCTATGGAGAAAGGAAAGTGAGTCAACGTTTCGGGTCCACGACCCTTCATCAGAACTGGGCTATGTTGGGAGGGAGAAGCTTTTAAGGGCTAACAGAGAGGGGAAGGCAGGGCAAGGAAGACAAAGAAGAAAATGGGGTAAGAAGACAGGTTATGATGGATTAAAGAGGTGTTAATACTGCAGAACAAAAGGTGGGGGTGGGAGGAAGATTGCAACACAATAGTAATGGTCACAGAAGAGAGGGAGGGGGAAGGTGAGCTGCTATGGTCTGAAATTGTTGAAATCAATATTGAGACCAGAGGGCTGTAAGGTTCCTAGCAGATAAATGAGGTGCTGTTCCTCGAGCTTGTGCTGTGGCTAATTGGAACAGCGTAGGAGACCGTGGATGGAGAGGTCAGAGTGCGAGTGGGAGGGAGAGTTGAAATGGCAAGAAACAGGAAGCTCAGGGTTGTGCTTGCGGATAGAACGGAGGCGTTCGGCAAATCGGTCACCCAATCTGTGTTTCGTCTCCCCATTGTAGAGGAGACCACATCGTGAGCAGCAAATGCAGTAAACTACACTCTTATTGCTCTTTGTACAGGGTGTGTGTGGGCGCTGTGTGTGTATACAGGATGTGTGCTGAGTGCATACAGGGTGTGTGCTGGAGGCTGTGTGTGTACACAGATACCTGGTACACCGGGTTGGCTCATTCTTGTCCCTGCACAGCTCAGTATTGGCCAGGAGCCGTGTGTATTTCTGGAAGATCTCGTCCCCAGCGTGAATCCCGAAGAACAGCCTCTGCTTGTCACTCTTTTCCTGGAAACAATCACAATGAGAGTAAAAACTTACTGCCATTTCACACACTCAACATTAACTCAACTGATCAAGAAACATAGTCCAGCTTCCTGTTTGTCTTGTTTAATGCTGCCTCACACTATTTAGACACAATAAGTGATGACTAACTAACATCCATTAACTCTTGTGGTTCTTAAGCTTAGATCCTATATGCAGCAGCTTGTCTTTATCTGTATTAAACTTCATTTCACAGTTATCAGCCCATGTACATCCCCGTCACACTCTCTGTGTAGGACCTTTGCTGCCTCCTCTGGTTCCACACTCCCCCCCCCCCCCAACTTAGTGCCACATGTATATGTGACTATCTCACATTGGGTCTGTGAATCCAGGTCATTAATATATGCTATCACCACTACGACAACTTGCACTTATATCGCAACCCTCCACAGGATAGGGTCCCGGAGTGCTTGATGGGGGGGGGGGTGGGGAATATGAAAAGCAGGACAGACCTTTGAGGCACCTGCCTACGTTGTACCCCCAGCCTGCACCCCTTGGACCAGCGGTAACCCTTTATCAGCAACCTTTCACTCCGTCAAAAGCCTTTTGTAAATGAAAGTGGAGGGTGTCCATTTGTCCAGTGCCCCCGGTCCAAGTTGTCCACTGCGTCCATCCCCCCACCCCCGCATACAATGGTTCGACCCACATCTAGGAACAGAATGTGCTGCCATCTTGGATTCCCCCGGCATCTGCGGTCCGTTGTTCCCAAACCATAACAACTGGCGCTTCGGAACAACGATTTGCGCAGGAACACCGGGAGAGGGGAGTGACGAGAAGGAAGTGAGGCCCAAACACTGTGCCAGTCACGGGCGGGGGAGGGGTGGCACAAGCCGCCCTCAGAAATGAAGGGGAGAATGCGATGTTGCAGCAGGTTCTGTGTGAAACCTATCACATCTCTCAGGGAATGTTGCATTTTTCACCGGCAGCAGTTGGAATCGAACGCGAACAGATGCCGGCCAATCTTGGTGCAAGCCACTCACCGTCACTACAAAGCCCTTCTGCCTCAGCAGCTCCAGGTATCGATTCCGCACATCGGCCTTCCCAGTCCGCTTTGCCACAAGAACATAGTAATAGACGAGCTGTAACACAAGAACATCCCACTGACAACCAGCTTGGAGCCACCACGAGTGTGGACGGACAGTGTAGTGGGAGCTTGATTCTGTCTCTAACCCTGTCAACCTTGTCCCCTTCCTCGGGTTGCACGGTCAATGCTGAACAACAGATGTACGTGAAACGTAGAGTTTGGAATCAAAGTTTATAGGTGATCAGTCTACACAATGCAAGGGAGGCAGGTGGATTATCTGACTGTTCTGCTCCAACGATTACTGAAAAAACCTCATTCTTGTATCCTGAACTATCTTAAAACTAGTTATCTACAGAACCATGAGAGCCTCATGATCTCATTCCTACAAGACCCCAAGTTATCAATGTTGGCTTTTTGCCAAGGCCATCTTTATCTTTTCCTTAAGCCTCCGTAACTAAGTCTCTCTACACATTCTCTTTCACACATTCCTCTGGTGCCTATCATGAATGAGCTGGTCAATAAAATGGTTTAATTTATTTAGCATGGCCTTCTCCGTGTTCGTCTGTGCCGATACATCTGACATATCCACACTATTTTGTTCTCTATTTCAAAGGTAGCTAGTCTTCTCTCTGAGTCGTTTGTCACATCTGTCTCAGCAAACCCGTGCTGTTCCTGAGTGAGGGAGTGAGTTACCTTGTCCTCGTTGCCCAACAGTGGTGCTGAGTGCCCATGGACTAGGTCCGTCAGTTCATGCTGCAAGTAAAGAGTCAGACAGTGGAGGTCAGACACACATCACATCAGCCTCACATCCCTCAGTAACTGCCGCACATATAGCACTCACAGGATGACAGTGTGCTGTTGCTGTGAGTGAGAAGCTCAGGGAGCCTGGGCACAGGTCCGGCCCCCACCAGTCACGGCCTGGAGCCACTTTCTGCCCCGCGCATGCCTCACCCCGCCACCCCTCTCCATGCTCCAAACTCTGCAGTAGTTTATAAAATCTTTAAATGCTGTCTATCCTCTGGGTCTTTGAATACTGCTACTAATATGATAACCCTTACATTTGATACAGCGCCTTATCACGTCTTCGAAGCATCTCAAAATGCATCTCAGAATACAACAACAACTTGCACTTATATAACCCCCCCCCCCCCACGAGGGTAGTGACTCAGAGCGCTTAACAGTGGCGGAGCCTGACTTCAAGCTGGGGGGAGGGGGAGGTGGCTGTAAGCACGGCCGAAGAGGAAAGTTTTCAGACGGGACTTGAAAGAGGGGAGAGAGGGGGCAAGGCGGAGGGATTGAGGGAGAGTGCTTCAGAGTTTTGGGGCGTAGTGGCTGAAAGCACGACCTCCGATGATGGGGCGGAGGGTGCGCGGGACGAGTAGGAGGCCGGTTCCGGTCAAGTGGAGGCGCCGGGTGGTGGGTTGAGGAGTGAGGAGTGATGAGAGGTTATAGACTGCGAAGTGTACTGACTGTCTATATTGTGGGTGGAATTCAGTAATTCTGCACAAGTTGCACAGGTTGTCATCCTGGCTTCAGTCACTCACTCTTGCTATGATTCAGAAGGATTGGGTTCAAGTTCAGACTTTGAGCGCATATTCTAGACTTGCTGGGGGAATGCTGCATTGTCAGAGGTATGCTGAGCCGGGCCTGCGTGCTGAGTCTGTGCTGTGTGGGGCTGGGTTGCTGACAGCAAGAGCAGGTTACGGTGATACACACACTGACTTCTCTCTCTGTGACTGACGCAGAGGACAGAGGCAGTCTGAGCTTTGCAGAGGTGGGTGGGAGGAGGAAGGGTAAAAATATTCCTGGGCTTTACTGCCTGCCGCGCCCCTTCCCAGATGTGTCAGATAGGACAGAACATGGCAGGCAGTTGAGATCAGAGGCTGTGTTATAGGGTGGGAGGGGGTTTGCAGCCAGTCTGAGGCTGCGACTTATTTTATCATCAGATGTAAGACGAGACAGATGACCTGGGTGTCAGATGGGATCATGGGGAGAGGTCAATGCTGACCAAATAGATTAGATGGGATGAGGGGACGGGAATAAGTGGGGACAGCCACACGTTTGCCCACAAAATACACAGTCACTACAGTTTACAGTAAATCCTATGAAGCATTTTGAGATATCCTTGCCATGTAAAAGGCACTGAACCAAAAGTAAGCATGGGGGGAGACTATTCCCCATCGTGTGTGCTGGTGCTCGCTCCCCCACTGGAGCGCTATACCGTAACCCCATTCCCAGTGTCACCGAGCAGTGAGCGTGTTGGATGCTTATTCCGTCTTTAGATCAGAGGTTTTTTATTTCCTGTCAAAACTTTGATAAATCAGCTTCTTTTCAGCATTTTTCACAACCTCCTCCCCAACCACCGGGGGGGAATAACCCAGACTGAGTCTGAGGCAGCAGCAGTGTGGGCGGGTGGGAGGGAGAGCGCTAAGTCTTGTGCTCCTACAGCCCCCTCCCGTCCACTCACAGCCCCTCACACCCACACACACAAGCCCCCTCCCACACATACACGACCGCCACCACACACACATACACGTACCCCCTCTCCCCCCCCACACCACCCCCCCCCCACACACACACATGCACCTCCCCCCACACACACACAGACCCCCCCCACCACACACACACAGACCCCCACCCCCACCACACACACACATGCACCTCCCCACCCCACACACACATACACACAGAACCCCCCACCACATACACACATGGCCACCTCCTCCCCCCCCACACATGCGGGCGCCCACTCCCTCCCTCCCCCACCCACACACACACACACAAACACAGCTGCCCCCCCCAACCCATCGTCACCCACACACACACATGGCCGCCCCCCACCCACCCATCCATGGTCGACCCCCCCCCACCCCCCAGAATGTGATCACAATGATTGTGTCAGATTCCCTGATCACAGCCATCATCTCCGCCACCAGCTGTTTTTCTCACTGTGGGAAAGTTCCCGTCCCAGCTTTTATCTGAAGTGAGATTCAGTTCCCTCTTGACCACCTGACCATTCGAAGCAGAGAAATTTACACTCAGAAGGCAACCATTTGGCTTATGGTGTCTGTGCCACTCCCTCAAGATCAACAACAACAACAACCACTTGCACTTATATAGCGCCCTCCACACAGGGTAGCATCTCAGAGCGCTTAACAATGGCAGAGCCTGACTCCGAGCTAGTGGGAGGTGGCCGTAAGGACAGTCGAAGAGGAAAGTCAGGCAGGACTTTAAAGCGGGGAGAGAGGGACAAGGTGGAGGGGTTCCAGAGTTTTGGGGCGCGACCTCTGATGGCAAGGGACGAGCAGGAGGCCAGTGCCAGTCAAGCAGAGGCTCCATCTTAAACTCTGGTCCACGCCTTTATCACCTCAAGGCTGGACTATGGGAACTCTCTCCTCGCCGGCCTTCCCGGCACCTCCCTCCACACTGCAGGTCATTCAGAACTCTGCAGCTCGTGTACTGTCCCGCACCAGGCTTTGCGATCACATCACTCCCACCCTCGCTCGCCTCCACTGGCTCCCCATCCCCCAGAGGATCGAATTCAAGATCCTCATCCTCACCTACAAGGCCATTCACGGCCTTGCTCCCTCCTACCTCTCCAACCTACTATCCCCCTACCTACCTGCCCGTACCCTCCGTTCCTCTGGCTCCGGTCTGCTCCACATCCCCCGCCCCAACCGCCCTACCATCGGTGGCCGGGCCTTCAGCCTCTCAGCCCCCAGGCTCTGGAACTCCATCCCCCAGTGCCTTCGCCGCCTCCTCCCTTTCCTCCTTCAGGGCCGGTCTCAAGACCTTTCTCTTTGACCGTGCCTTCAGCTCCCCTCTCGACTCTCTACCCCCTCCTCGCTCCCTCCCTTCCCTCCCTCACCCTGACCATTTCCCCCTCCTCGCTCCCTCCCTTCCCTCCCTCACCCTGACCATTTCCCCCTCCTCGCTCCCTCCCTTCCCTCCCCTCACCCTGACCATTTCCCCCCTGCTCGGGTCCTGACCCAACTGTCCAGCGCCTTGGGATGTCCTTCCGACGTGAAAGGCGCTCTATAAATGGAATCTTGTTGTTGTTGTTGTAAAGTGCATCAAATAATATATTGTAACGTATCAGTTATCTCAGTTATATATTCAATCAGAATTCGTTAATTGTGCAGAGTAAATGACTTAATATATTGGACAAACAACGCAGAGCGAGGAGGCGCGTGTGTGCAGCTCTCTCCCTGACCCCCTGTGTCTGTGTGTTTGTGACTGTGTGTGTGAATGTGCGGGTGGGAATGAGTGTGTGTATGCGACTGTGTGTGAGTGCGTACATGTGAATGAGCGTATGTGAGTGTGAATGAGTTTGTATGAATGTGCGTATATGTGAATGAATGTGTGTGTGTGTGTGTGTGACTCCTTGTGTGTGTGACTCTTTGTGTGTGAATGAGTGTGTGTGACTGTGTGTGTGTGACTCTTTGTGTGTGAATGAGTGTGTGTGACTGTGTGTGTGTGTGTGAATGAGTGTGTGTGACTGTGTGTGTGTGTGAATGAGTGTGTGTGACTGTGTGTGTGTATGTGAATGAGTGTGTGCGACTGTGTGTGTGACTCTGTGTGTGTGTGAGTGATTGTGTGTGACTCTGTGTGAGTGACTGTATGTGTGAATGTGAGTGACTGTGTGTGTGTGTGTGACTGTGTGTGTGAGTGATTGTGTGTGAGTGTGTGACTGTTTGTGTGACTCTCAGTATGTGTGACTCTCTGTGTGAGTGACTGTGTGTGTGTGACTGTGTGTGTGACTCTGTGTGTGTGACTCTGTGTGTGTGACTGTGTGAGTGTGTGTGTGACTGTGTGTGTGTGTGACTCTCTGTGTGTGTGAGTGTGTGAGTGACTGTGTGTGTGTGTGAGTGACTGTGTGTGTGAGTGTGTGAGTGACTGTGTGTGTGTGTGTGAGTGACTGTGTGTGTGTGTGAGTGACTGTGTGAGTGTGTGTGACTCTCTGTGTGAGTGACTGTGTGTGTGTGTGTGAGTGACTGTGTGTGTGAGTGTGACTCTCTGTGTGAGTGACTGTGTGTGTGTGTGTGTGTGTGTGAGTGACTGTGTGAGTGTGTGTGACTCTCTGTGTGAGTGACTGTGTGTGTGACTGTGTGTGAGTGACTGTGTGAGTGTGTGTGACTCTCTGTGTGAGTGACTGTGTGTGTGTGTGAGTGACTGTGTGTGTGTGTGAGTGACTGTGTGAGTGTGTGTGACTGTGTGTGAGTGACTGTGTGAGTGTGTGTGACTGTGTGTGAGTGACTGTGTGAGTGTGTGTGACTGTGTGTGTGAGTGACTGTGTGAGTGTGTGTGTGTGACTGTGTGTAGACCTGGTCCCCACCTGCTCCATGGCCGCTGCGCTCCGCCGCTCTCACTGTTCAGGTGCGGTTGAAGTCCACTCGCGGAGCGCACTTCCGCGTCTGAAATCCTCGGGTCGCCTCCCGTCTCTCACTGTCTCCTATATACCTCCCTCCCGGTTTGCTTTACACTCTCTCTCTCTCTGTCTCTCTCTGTCTGTCTGTCTCTCTGATGCTCTACTATACACCATATATATATATATATATAATCTATGTCCCTGTGGGTCTGGGCGCTGCTCAGGTGTCAGATGTTCGGCTCAGGTAGCGATCAGGGAGGCGCTTCCAGCAATCGCGTCACTGCCTCTCCTTGTGTGCACACAGCCCCTGGTGTGTGTGTACACAGCCCCTGGTGTGTGTGCACACAGCCCCTGGTGTGTGTGTGTACACAGCCCTTGGTGTGTGTGCACACAGCCCCTGGGTGTGCGCACAGCACAGCCCCTGAAGTGCACACAGCACAGCCCCTGGGTGTGCACACAGCACAGCCCCTGGGTGTGCACACAGCACAGCCCCTGGGTGTGCACACAGCACAGCCCCTGGGTGTGCACACAGCACAGCCCCTGGGTGTGCACACAGCACAGCCCCTGGGTCTGCACACAGCACAGCCCCTGGGTCTGCACACAGCACAGCCCCTGGGTCTGCACACAGCACAGCCCCTGGGTCTGCACACAGCACAGCCCCTGGGTCTGCACACAGCACAGCCCCTGGGTCTGCACACAGCACAGCCCCTGGGTCTGCACACAGCACAGCCCCTGGGTGTGCACACAGCACAGCCCCTGGGTGTGCACACAGCACAGCCCCTGGGTGTGCACACAGCACAGCCCCTGGGTGTGCACACAGCACAGCCCCTGGGTGTGCACACAGCACAGCCCCTGGGTGTGCACACAGCACAGCCCCTGGGTGTGCACACAGCACAGCCCCTGGGTCTGCACACAGCACAGCCCCTGGGTCTGCACACAGCACAGCCCCTGGGTGTGCACACAGCACAGCCCCTGGGTGTGCACACAGCACAGCCCCTGAGTCTGCACACAGCACAGCCCCTGGGTCTGCACACAGCACAGCCCCTGGGTCTGCACACAGCACAGCCCCTGGGTGTGCACACAGCACAGCCCCTGGGTCTGCACACAGCACAGCACAGCTCGCAGAGAAACTGCAGACAGGTAAGTGTCACTTACCCTCCCCACCTCCCATGTCATCCACACAGCTCTGTTCCTGCCATTCTCGTTGCCTATTTGTGCACCTGCAAATTTCTGGATTAAATGTAGAATTTACAGTTAATCCAAAGGGGGGAGTGGGTGGTCTCGGTTGTCCGGTTCCTGAGTCAGGCAGATTCGCTGTATTCCAGGGCACAGCCGGCCCGGCTCATCGCCAGGACCTGGAAGGGCAGACCAGTCACTGGGGGTAGGGAATACCTCCCACTCAGATCCAGTTAACCCTGCAAGCCAAAGCCTTAACGGGAAGGGTGGTGTGAGCTGGACAAGCAGCGGGAAAGCTTGCCAGACCGCGATATCAATGGCAAAGCTACGCAGCTTTAGCTGGTTAGACTTCAGCAGTTACCCCGATGCACACTCTGGGGTCCCCAAGCCTTGATTCTTCGGACACCCTCCCGACCTGAAAGGCGCTGCCCCGCAGGAAGACGCTATATAAACGCAAGTCGTCGTCATTGTATTGCTCTCTGAAATTAGATTAAACAGGCTGTGTCCCTCCAGAGAGAGAGAGAGAGAGAGGGTACACCTTCCACTCCAACAGTGGATCTCTGCATGTGTAGGTGGGATGCATGTAGGGTTGCCACCTCCCAGACCCAATTTTGCTTATCCTATCCCATGTTTTCACCATGTTGACTTTTGTATCCCTCTTCATTGGTGCCCAATTTCCGATTCCAGTTTCTTTATAACATAGAGACTATTTTAAACTACTTACAACACTTGAAAAATACTTTCAGACTTGGTCATCATCCCATATCTTAAGTCTACAGCTTGAATTTGTATCCGATTTTGCTGCTGCTAGCAAGTTTTTTTTTATGTTTAATAGTCACGTAACTTGTCCCCTCAGGTCTTTCCCACTTTCACTGCTCGGGTGCAAGAGGAAGCGCCTTGCCTGATTGAAACCGAATGTATTGGTCGCGGAATATGCAGCACAGACAATTTGAAACTCACTGAAAAGCAACTACCCGTGTTCTGACCAAATGTTTCAGTCAAGCAAGTTTCTTCATGGTTCATTCACACGTTATCAGTACCTGCCGCCCAGCCACATTCCTGCCACTGAAATGTGAATGATGGTGGGAGACAGGCACTTACATGTATGTTTATGCAGTAAGTACAGCGTGTGACAGACACTGACACTGACACTAACCCCGCAGCGCACACTCCCATGCCCCCCACCAAATTGTCCTCTTTGGCACCTATTCCTCACGGGAAGACACCATATAAACGCACCTCGTTGTTGTTACCTCCCTCCCTTGCGAGAGTGCCGATCTCTGTGGCTGACAAGTCAAACAGGTCTGGCAGAGAGGGATAGAGAGAGGCAAGCAGCAGCAAGCTAGTCCCATATAACATATCTCAGAGTGACTCACTGCCCAGAGTCCTCACCCCTGCTCCCTCCTGGGGATTGCCTCCCTCTCACCCCATCCATCCATGGTGACCACAGAGCTGTGGAGACACAGGAGAGACACACTGACCGTGTATTAATACTATGTAATATAGGGTGACCAAAATGTCATAACTACCATGATGCCATGATATTAAAAGTCATGATATCTAAAAAACACAAAAATATCATAAGTCTTTAAAGACTTATTAGACATTGTAATGGTCTCATGACTTTTTGATCATCCTGTATATATAATAATGAAATAAGATAATAATCCTTTTTATTGATTTGTTGGGAGGATGTCTCAATGCGCTTCATGAGATTTATTGCAAAGTGTAGTGACTGTATTTTATGGATGATCAAGGCTGCCAATTTGCACACAAAACATCCCACAAACAGCCGTGGAGGAAGTGACCTATTCTATTTTGGGGATTGTTGGCTAAGAGACTGAGAGAGAGAAACTCTCTTCTCTTTTTGAATAGTGTCATGAGATCTTTAACGTCCACCTGAACAGGTAAACAGGACCTCAGTTTTAACGCCTCATGCACTGGAGTGTCAACTTAGACTACATGAGTTCAAATTCCCGAAGTGGGGCTTGAACTCACAAAATTCTGACTCAGAGGCGAGAGCACTACCACTGAACCAGGCTGACCCACAAATCGCCTCTGATGTCTCTAAGCCCACACAAGTGCATTGGGGTACGGCTGGAGTCTAACCAGCTAAAACCGCATAGCTTACCGTTGAGAGTCCTACAAGCTTCCCACTGCTTGACCAGCTATCAACCCGCTGAGCTGGCTTGCAGGGTTGACAGGAGCTGAATGGGAAGAGATTTTAAACTTGTATACTGTAAACTGATATTCCAGTGTGGTGCTGGGGGAGTGCTGCATTGTCAGAGGTGCTGTCCTTCTGAAGAAATGTTAAACTGAAATCCCAGCAGGTGGACTTTAAAGATTCCATGACACTACTCGAAAGAGAAGGGAGTTTCACCCAGTGTCCTGGCAAACAATCCCTCAGATCATGGCTGTTTGTGAGGCATCGTGTTTCCTTACTCCACACGACTCTGTTTACCTAGCAGTAAGTAAAAACCTGGTTGTTAGTCGATTGGCAGATCGCTTTTCCAGGGGTAATAATCCCTTCAAAACAATAAATATTTTGTTAAAAAAAATAATAATTTGGTCACTCAATCCATGACTGTTTATGGGACACAACTGTGTACAATTGGCTGCCACTTTTTGCCCACAAAATACACAGTCAATACACTTTATGGTATATTCTGTGAAGCAGTTTAAGACGTCTTGCTATGTGCTATATCAAATGCAAGGATTATTATTATTAGAATATCTTGATTAATTGTTTCAAATACAAGAATTGTTTATTTATTAGCTGGTATGACTCTAGCTGTTTGTGACTCGCCCCAATGGGGAGGGGGTGGTGGGAGGTGTGGGGGGGGTGGTCTCAGTACATCTCCACAGTTGTGGTAACAGCAGGAGAACGACACAATAATAATAAACAGAGTGAGGTGTGGTCAATAAAGTAATAACGATACAGAAACAAGTTATATTTTATGGCATCTTTATCATCGTAACCGCTTCACAAGTTACCTCTGCCCCCGACACCAATTGCTCTTAGGAAAACACCAGTCAGTGTACACACAGCGAGGCACACAGGGAGCCCTGCAGTGACTGGCCCTGTGTATTTGTTGGCCAGGACACCAAGAAAAATTCCCTGCTCTTTTCCGATAATGTCACAGAATCTTTGAGGTTCACCTGAACAGGCAGCTGGGAGTTTGTTTTAACAGTTCATCTGAAAAGAGACACCCCAGTGTTGCATGGTGATGGGTTTCCCCATGAGTCAGAAACCCGGCTGATCACAGTGATGGGTTTCCATGTGTGTCAGACAATCGGCTGATCACAGTGATGGGTTTCCATGTGTGTCAGACAATCGGCTGATCACAGTGATGGGTTTCCATGTGTGTCAGACACCCGGCTGATCACAATGATGGGTTTCCAGTCCTCTGGTGGTGGAGGTCAGGTTGTTATGACTCATTCAATAAACAGCTGAATGCTACAATGAGAAAAAGATAGGATGGGTATCAGTGAAGGATGAGATCAAATGGGTGAAGGGACATAACTGTCTGAACCACTTCTGTGATACTGTCAGCCTGGCTCAGTTGTAGCACTCTGAGTCAGAAGGTTACAGAAGTCAGAAAGGGACTTGGATGACGCTCCAGTCCAATGCTGGGGTAGAGTTACACTATCAGAGATGCAGTCCTTTGGATGAAACTAAAGGTGGATGTTAAAGATCTCGCGATTGTGTCCTGGCCAGCAATCCTACAGATAAGTGGGAGGAAGAATGAGAAGAGGCAATATAAGTTAGATGCTACAATCTTAAACGGGGTGCACGAGCAGAGACCTGGGGGCTCACGTAAGCAAATCTTAGAAGTTGACAGGACAGATAAATAGAGCTGTTAAAAAAGCACGCAGGATTCTTGGCTTTATAAAAAGGGACATAGAATACAAAAGGAGGATATGATGAACCTTTATAAAACCCTCATACATGTCCTCATTACATCGAGGCTCGACTATGCAAACTCATTGTTTGTCGGCCTCCCCAACTCCTCCCTCCACAGGTTGCAGATCATCCAGAACTCTGCTGCCCGTGTCCTCTCCCGCACTAGGCTCTGCAACCCTATCACCCCCATGGGAGTCCTGTAGCTCAGTGGTTAGAGCACTCGCTTTGCAAGTGAGAGACCTGAGTTCAATTCCAGGCAGAGGGCGAAACCTTGGGCAAGTTTCCTTACTCCACACAGAGCCTAATAATAATCCCTCCAAAACCAAAAACAATAATAAATTGGTCATTTTCAATCCACGACTGTTTGTGGGACATTGCTGTGCGCATTTGGCTGCCGCGTTCGCCCACAAATATACAGTCAATTCACTTTACAGTGTGTTCTGTGAAGCGCTTTGGGAAGTCGTCCCGACGTGAAAAGTGCTATATCAAATGCAAGGATTATTATTATTATTATTATTATTATCCTTGCCCAACTCCACTGGCTTCCCAACACACAGAGGATGCAGTTCAAGATCCTGGTCCTCACCTTCAAAGCCCTCCACGCTCTTGCTTCCCGCTACCTCTCCGACTCCTAACCCCCTACCATCTTGTTCGCTCCCTCTGCTCAATGGGCTCCGGCCTGCTTCACGTCCCCCGCCTTGCTTGCCCCACTATTGATGGGCAGGCTTTCCGCCCCTCTGCCCCCATCCTCTGGAACTCCATCTCATAGTCCCTCCACCTCACCCCCTCCCTTGTCACCTTCAAGACAACAACAACAACAAGATTACATTTGTATAGTGCCTTTCACATCGGGAGGACGTCCCAAGGCGCTGGACAGTGTACAGCATTTCAGACCCGAGCTGGGGTCGGGGGGAGGGGAGATGGGAGGGGAGGGGAAGGGGGGTGACCAATGGCATGGTTGAAGAGGAGGGTTTTGAGGCGGGACTTGAAGGAGGGGGCAAGGCGGAGTGATTGGGGTATGGAATTCCAGAGGTTGGAGCAGAGTGGCTAAAGGCTCTCCCGCCAATGGTGGGGAGGATGGGTCGGGAGATGTGGAGCAGGCCGGAGGCGGCTGAGCAGAGGGAGCGGGCGGATTGGTATGGGGTTAGGTCACGGAGGTAGGGTGGGGCGAGGCTGTGGAGTGCTTTGTAGGTGAGGACCAGGATCTTGAACTGGATCCACTGAAGGATAGGGAGCCAATGGAGTCGGGCGAGAATGGGGGAGATGAGGTCCCGGAGTTTGGTGTGGGAGAGGCCTCAGCTAGAATACGGTGTTCAATTCTGGGCACAAACTTCAGGAAGGATGTCAAGGCCTTGGAGAAGGTACAAAGGAGATTTACCAGGAATGGTATCAGGAATGAGGAACTTGAGTTATGTGGAGAGATTAGAGTAGCTAGGATTGTTCTCCTTGGAGCAGAGAAAGTTAAGGGGAGATTTAATAAAGGTATTCAAAATTATGAAGGGATTTTGATAGAGTGAATGAAAGGGTTTCCACTGGTAGGTGGGTCGGTAACCAGAGGACAGATTTAAGATAGTTGTCAAAAGAACAAGAGGGGAGATGAGTTTTTTCACACAGCGAGTTGTTCAGATCTGGAATGCACTGCCTGAAAGGGTGGTGGAAGCAGATTTGATAACAACTTTCAAGAGAGAAGTGGATAGATATTTGGGGATGACAAATTTGCAAGGCTGTGGGGAGAAAGCGGGTGAGTGGGATTAATTTGGATAGCTCTTTCAAAGAGCCGACACAGGCACAGGCCAAAACACTTCCTTCTTGTGCTGTATAATTCTGATTCAATGATAAGATTGGTTTGGCATTGCTGCCAAACCACTGGGCAGGAATTATCTGTGCAGCCCCTTGATGTGGTAAGCTGTTATAAAACAACTCTCACAATGTATCAGCACCAGCTCAGGGTCATGATTGCAACTAATAATTTTTCTTAGCTTAAAATAAGAGTGGTGTCTGAGGAGGCTGAGTGAAAGTGAAACACCCTGAGGCAAGGCCGATGGGATCAGAGTCCCCTGTATAGAGAAGTTACTGATTGAGCCACACTAGGACTAAATAGTAAAACACAAATAACCTTAGACTTGAGAGATTCAAAACAACATTATATGACCACACTCTCAGGTCCATGACAGCACAAATTCGAGAAAGAGGAAGCTCCCTCTAGGGCTGGTTTCACTGAAGCTACGAAGATTGAGGGGTGACCTATTCAAGGTCACGACAGGGTAATTCAAGGTCAAATTGGCCATCCAGTCAGTAACAAGAGGCACAAATTTAGGATCATCACAGAAAGGAATTAAAGGGGAGTTTGAAAGTTTATGTTTACACAGAGGATGGTAGGAATGTGAAATTGACAGCCACGAATCCAAGTTGAGGTACTCTTGTCAATTCTATAAACGACTGGAACAAGGTTAACAGGGAGATGACACTAGAACTGGTCACTGGACTAATTTAAAAAACAGCTTGATGCAGTGATGGAGGGAGGGTGGGTGTGGGAGGGATGAGATAAGATGGGCTGAAGGGCCTTCGTTTCTGCCACAAAATATACAGTCAATTCACTTTACAGTATATTTCGTTAAGCACTTTGAGACGTCTCAAAGACGTAATAAGGCGCTATATCAAATGCAAGATTATTATTATTATTCATTCAGACCCATCTTATGATCCACAGACCCATGTTGCGCTCCCTCATGGGTGCTGACTGGAGCTGAAGCCCAGCACAATTCAGATCTCAGGAAGTGGGAATAATTACAGGAAGGAATGAGGTTTATAGAATAACAGAAATATCCCAGACATTAGCACAGCACAACCTTCTAACCCAGTGGTGAACAAAGTGAACTAACAGCTTGTAACTAGCGTGAGTGGACATCTCAGCTGTGGTTTTGGATTTAACGCGCATCACAAATGGAGCACAGTATAAATGTCACAATAATCAGCGTTTATTAAGCAGGTACATTCTAGCCTCACTGCAGTTCAGTGGCTTTTGTTTTCCATCCACCTCCCCACAGACTGTGGAAAGACATTAAAAGAACTCTCCCCCAAAAAGCATCATTCAGTTGGAAGGGATAAAGCCAGGCAGTCGTGTTCCTGTACAGTGTAACCACAGCTGTCAGTGTGAGTGAAGACAAACCCTCTACAAACCTTCTGTCTCTCAGAGACTCTAACTCGGGCCTCGGCTTCTTAGACTAATGGATTTACAATGTAAAAGATTGGCAGGCTGGGGAGTTTAGTTCTCCTCGTCGTTTTCAGCTGTTTTTATCCGAATGTTCTTTCGGTTCCTCTTCTTCGCGCTGTGAAATGCTGCTGGCTCCCGGAACGTCTCCCCTTTGGCCACCTGCTGGCCTCCCCTCCCCGCCTCACCCACTTTCCCCTCGTCCGCTTCGCCGGATTGTAGATGTGTGAGCCCCACCTGCCCAGCCTCCCTGGGTTCCAGCTCGGCTCGGTGTGGCCTCTTCCTGAGGGCGCTGGGCTGCCTGCCTGCCTCAGTCCTGCCCGCTGTCCTCTCCCGCTCGGCAGGCGGGCTGCCCCCCACGCTGGCTGGTTTGCTGAACAGGATTTTGCTGGCTGCTCGCTCGGCCTGGGCATGGCTGAGAGCGGGGCTAACGATGCTGCTCTCCCTCTGCCTCTTCAAGCTCTCCATCAGCTCCAGCGCCACCGCTGTGTTCTTCTTGTTACTGGTCTCTGCCACGTCCTCCAGGCTGTACCTGGTCCAGCGCTCAGGGTGCACCAGGTAGTCGGGCAGGGTCCGGGCTTGCTGTGAGCCGCTGCCCTGCCGGGTAGGCCTGGTCTGATTGGAGGTGATTCTATTTCCTGCCAGACACTCGCCAATCACTTTCCGCTGGGGTTCAGGGGTGAGGGGACGTGTGAACTCGCCGTCAGTGGTGTCCTCATTCCCTGGGGAGGACGGCTCTCGTTTCATCGCATGCTCTAACCCACTGAATATGTTCTGGCTGCGGGAAGAGAATGTGGAGCTGGTGCCTCGGAGCTGGAAGAGCTGGGAGGGTGGAGTGCGGCCCACGGCAGCCAATGAGTGGTGGGTGGTGTAGTCACATGGGGTCTCAACTGGTGAGCACACATCGGCCTCAGAATCGCTGAGGGGCGAGAGAGAATCGAAGGACGGCAGACTGGGTTCAGGGTCGGTGTCACTCAGGGACTCAGTGTCGTCCAGGAACCGGTTTGTGTCCTCGGTGTCTGTGAGAAGATCCGAGGAAACACCGCTGCTCTGTTCATCAGCCATTCCACCACCTCACAAAGAGGTGTCTTGCTCAGAAGGTAAGGCGTTAAACAGAGCCTTCCAGATATCCAGTGACTGCACAGCCTGGTCAGAAAAAGGCAAAGATCGGCGTATTATAATCACATTCAACACAGGGCATTAACTGTTGCTGAGTCTTCACACGATTCAGAAATGAACAATCTGAGCCGTGCAAACTGGATCTCTCCGGTAACTGGGACACCCACTCAACACCATCCACTACACCATGAGAAATCCCGTTAGAAATTAAACTCAACTAATTCAGGGCAACTGGAAATCAGTGCACCAGTGATTTCTGTAATCTGTAACCAGTGCTATTCATCCTCTACAACACAGAGGTCATACAATGTCAGTGTATTATTCATAGAGGTACTTGTCAGTGGGTGCCCTGGGCCAGTGCGTGCCCCGAGCCAGTGTTGGCGTGCGCTGTGTCAGCGTGTGTCCATGCACTGCGCTCCGTTGGGCTCGCCTTCAATACATACTTTGCTTTGAGAACTGGTTCAGTGTCTCTCCTTCTGGGTCTGTCAAAGCTACCAGTGTCCTAAGCTCACTCACCCTGTTGAGGACAAGAGACGCGAGTTTGTGACTGTACCGTGCTGCCTGTTGTCCCCCCCACTCCCTTGCCCCACACACAGATGCCTATTCACAGATGAACCACTCAGAGATTCAATAAGCAACACATGAAACCCAGACTGCAACTGGGTTTCCATTCCTCCCTGTGTAGACTGTGACTGAGTTTGGCTCCAAGTGCCAATGCTTCCTATTTATCAAAGCAAGCCCATCGGAGTGGAGTCCTGTAGCTCAGTGGTTAGAGCACTCGCTTCGCAAGCGAGAGACCTGAGTTCAATTCCAGGCAGGTCAGGGCGAAACCTTGGGCAAGTTTCCTTACTCCAAACAGAGCCTAATAATAATCCCTCCAAAACCAAAAACAATAATAAATTGGTCATTTTCAATCTACGACTGTTTGTGGGACATTGCTGTGCGCAATTGGCTGCCGCGTTCGCCCACAAATATACAGTCAATTCACTTTACAGTGCGTTCTGTGAAGCGCTTTGGGACGTCCTCCCGACGTGAAACGCGCTATATCAAATGCAAGGATTATTATTATTATTATTATTATTATCGAGCCCGCGGCAGGCACACACTCAGTTTAATCTGAGTGACACTGCCACCCTGTGGCTGGAACAAGGTACTGGAACACTAACTGCACTCAAAAGGGAATGAAACAGGAGCGTACTGGCAAAGATATGGGAGAGAAAATGGCAGGAAGTAAACAAAAAATGGTGACAAACACCAGTTCAGACACCAGTGATGATTTTTTCCTGCAGCTGCCATTTGAATAAACACAGAATATACTTTTGGGGGGGGGGGGGGTCAGCCAAATGCGGAAACCCATCACCGTGCTTAAAAGTCTCCAATCCAGACTGAGAATTCCACATTCAGTGAACTCCTGATATATCATCACTCCAAGGGAAAAAAAACTCAGTGACTCTGCAATGAATACATCAGCATGAGTTTTCCAGGGCCACTGGGGGGAAGCTGTGGCCAGGAGGATCTGCACCAACACACACTGTGCAGGGCGAGCAGTTATCAGTGTGACAGAGCGCAAGTGGCCCCAGCCGCACAACATTCAGTTAATTTATTAAAACCAGTTTAATTAAAAAGAATGTTAGAAAGCAGCTCAATCTGTCAATCTGTACTCACAAATTCATTGAGAACCGCTGCTTAATTTCAATCTTATACAATTGGATGAGTATCAGCTTAGCTCTGTTGGTATGATTCCACATGAGGCTTGAGCTCACAGCTGAGAGTGCAGGTAGTTAAGAACTGGTCCAATATCACCGTGAGGTATGGGAGCAGCCTGAGAATGTACCCCACTTTCCTGAGTGACTAAAACCTCCTTATCACCTCGACATACCTCCATCACACCAGTTCTAGCCAAGCTCCACTGGCTCCCCATCACCGAACAGGTCAATTTCAAGATCCTCACACTCATTTGCAAATCCCTTCATGCCCTGGCACCTCCCTACCTCTCCGACCTGCTTACCCGAAACGCATAGCCTCCGCTTGACTGGCTCCGGCCTTCTGCATGTCCCCCGTTCCCTCCATTCTACCATTAGAAACTCTGAAACACTCTTCCTATCCCTCAGCTTTGCCCCTTCCTTCCCCATTTTCAGATCGAGTCGGAAGACCCTCCTATTCAACCATGCGTATGGTCATCTCCACCCCCCCACCCCCAGCTTGGGAGTCATGCCCCGCCACTGTCAAGCGCTCGGGGACGCTACCCCGCTTGAAGGGTGCTATGTAAACACAAGTAGTTTTGTGGGCAAAATATTTTGAATGAAGTGATCTGATGAGTGCCTCACCAGATGTCAGCATAATAATTATTATTATCATCATCACTATAATGTAAATCTCTGGGTGCCACGTGTTGACAACCCATCACCATGACAATCAGTGTTGCCGCTGATGGATCCCCCGCCCGATCGGACCAGTTCTTTTTTTTACTGCACCTGAAAATATTGGGGGCGTGTGTCTAATTTGGGGGTTGGGGGGCGGCGGTTATCGTCATTTGTGCAGGTATCACATCTGGGAGGGAACACTGACTGCACTTGGGGCGCAGCGCTGAGGATCCCGGGATCAGCGGAGGCTGAAGAGCAACGAAGCGGGGAGTGGGTTGATGGACAGGCGGATGGTCCAATGGGAGCGCGGGGTGGGTTGATCAGCCAGACGGACGGGTTGATGGACAGGCAGGCGGTCCAATGGGAGCGGGCTACACATTGATGGACAGGCTGGCAGACCAATGGGAGCGGGCTACACATTGATGGGCAGGCTGGCGATCCAATGGGAGCGCGGGAACGGGGCGGGGGCGGGTTGACAGACGCGTATCGGGGCTTTGAACCCTCAAATGGAAATGCCCAAAGTGGGCCCGTCTCCCGCCCCCTCCGCCCCGACTCTTCACTCAAGTGTACGGTTTGGTTTATGAATGGTGTCCGCCCCCCCCCGGCGAGTCGCGCATGCGCTCTACAGTAAGAGCCTGAAAATCCCATGTTTATTGGGGCTCCTTTTGAGCGGGTTAGGTACCAGAATAACGGGCTCCTCTGGGGGAATGGTATTTGGTTGTCTTTGGGGGGTTACAAACGTATTTTAATTCCCCCCCCCCCCCCACCCAACAACACCCCTTCCCCCCGATGGCAATCACGCTGCATCAAGCAGCAAAGGGAGAGGGAGAGAGGCGCGGGGGCCGGGGGCGCGCCCGCGGATGTCAGGCCTAAAGCCGAGTCACTCACAGGTTCCTGGTGGTGCTCAGGACGCTGTTTAACTCGGACAGGAAGGCGCTGCTGCGTGCGCTGAGCTGCTGCAGCGGCTCCGAGCCCATACTCCCATCGCCTCCCCGGCTGTGAGGCGGCGCTGACCGTCTCCTCGCACCGTCCGCTTCCCGCCGCCGCGCGCTGCACGCCGGGATCTACAGCCCTGCCGTGGAGCGGCGGGAACTACAATTCCCAGCATGCCTCACCACGAGGTGGGGGGGGGGGTAACTCAGACGCCACTGTGTCTGATGGTGGATTCGAGCATCGCCTCATAGGGCGCTGCGGTGGAGGAATGTCCCGCCCTCTCCCGTTGACTCCGCGCCAATTGAAGAACGGAGCAGCTCGTGGCTGGTGTTGATTGGGCGGCGCACACGTCAGTCAGGGGGAGTGGCAACGTGTAGAGGCGGGGCCTGAGAGTGAGTGACAGACATACACACTGGGCACCCACTGCCAGACACACACACACTGGGCACCCACTGCCACACACACACACTGAGCACCCACTGCCACACACACACACTGACCACCCACTGCCAGACACACACACTGGGCACCCACTGCCAGACACACACACACTGGGCACCCACTGCCACACACACACACTGACCACCCACTGCCACACACACACACTGGGCACCCACTGCCACACACACACACTGACCACCCACTGCCACACACACACACTGGGCACCCACTGCCAGACACACACACACTGGGCACCCACTGCCACACACACACACTGACCACCCACTGCCACACACACACACTGACCACCCACTGCCAGACACACACACACTGGGCACCCACTGCCACACACACACACACACACTGACCACCCACTGCCAGACACATACACTGAGCACCCACTGCCAGACACACATACACTGAGCACCCACTGCCAGACACACACACTGAGCACCCACTGCCAGAGACTCATACACACTGAGCACCCACTGCCAGAGACTCATACACACTGAGCACCCACTGCCAGGCACACATACACTAAGCACCCACTCTGACACATACACTGAGCACCCACTGCCTGACACACATATACTGAGTATCCACTGCAGACACACACCGAGCACCCACTGCCAGAGAGACACCCACTGAGCACCCACTACCAGAGAGACACCCACTGGGCACCCACTGCCAGAGAGACACCCACTGAGCACCCACTGCCAGAGAGACACCCACTGAGCACCCACTGCCAGAGAGACACCCACTGGGCACCCACTGCCAGAGAGACACCCACTGGGCACCCACTGCCAGAGAGACACCCACTGGGCACCCACTGCCAGAGAGACACCCACTGAGCACCCACTGCCAGAGAGACACCCACTGAGCACCCACTGCCAGAGAGACACCCACTGGGCACCCACTGCCAGAGAGACACCCACTGGGCACCCACTGCCAGAGAGACACCCACTGAGCACCCACTGCCAGAGAGACACCCACTGGACACCCACTGCCAGAGAGACACCCACTGAGCACCCACTACCAGAGAGACACCCACTGGGCACCCACTGCCAGAGAGACACCCACTGAGCACCCACTGCCAGAGAGACACCCACTGAGCACCCACTGCCAGAGAGACACCCACTGGACACCCACTGCCAGAGAGACACCCACTGAGCACCCACTGCCAGAGAGAGACCCACTGAGCACCCACTGCCAGAGAGAGACACCCACTGAGCACCCACTGCCAGAGAGAGACACACTGAGCACCCACTGCCAGAGAGAGACACCCACTGAGCACCCACTGCCAGAGAGACACCCACTGGACACCCACTGCCAGAGAGACACCCACTGGACACCCACTACCACACACACAGACACACACAATGCACCCAGCGGCCGGGTTGGGTGGGTGGGTGGGGGTGAGTGACAGACACACGCACACCCAATCCCCAGGGTGGGTGGGAGGGAGGGAGGGAGGGAGCCCGATGCGCCCCCCAAGGCCACCCCGGCGACTGACAGCGGGTGCGCCGCAAGTTCTCCGCCTCGGGGCTCGGACGGCGAGTGTCAGCTCTCAGTGACATTTGCGGGTGTCGGGGGGAGATGTCAGTCCCGGGGAAAGGCACCGGAGTGGCTTTTGCCATCGGGATCGCCCACCTGAACATGACCCTCTATTCCACCTTCTTCTGGATCCAAACCGGAGTGATGCCCGTGAGTCCCCACTCGGTGCTCTTATTAACGTGTACGTTGAGTGTCGGTGGCGAGTGCTGCATCGCCGAGTGCACACACACACACACACACACACACAGAGAGCAATGTTCAGCGTTATGCAATGCTGAGATCGTCTCTTTTCAGGAGAGCACTCGCCCGCAATACACTGTGTTTTTGTCAGATGTCAAAATGATTAATAATAATAATAATAATAATAATCCTTGCGTTTGATAGAGCGCTTTTCAGACGTCCCAAAGCGCTTCAAAGAACACACTGCAAAGTGAATTGACTGTATATTTGTGGGCGAACGCGGCAGCCAATTGCGCACAGCGATGTCCCACAAACAGTCGGGGATTGAAAATGACCAATTTATTATTGTTTTTGGTTTTGGAGGGATTATTATTAGGCTCTGTGTGGAGTAAGGAAACTTGCCCGAGGTTTGGCCTCTGCCTGGAATTGAACTCAGGTCTCTCACTTGCAAAGCGAGTGCTCTAACCACTGAGCTACAAGACCAACTCGTTACTCTCCTGGGGAGGTGGGGGTGGGGGGAGGAGAATGGCTGAAATGACTCCAAAGTGTCACAGACTTGGCAATGGGATGTCTGAATTGAACCAACACTCTGTGATGGTCTCGGGTCCAGTTCCTGAGCCACAGTGCTCCAGGATACCGCTGAACGCCCCAAGCCTTGACTCTTGCCAACCTGCACCTAATGCTTACCTTCCCGAATTAGGTAAGTAGGATTCATCCCCTCAATGGATCAAAAAATCTGACAAGTGTTAATAAACTGAGGAACAGGCTTGATGAGCTATAGAACCGCAACCCTCATCTCTGGAATTCCCTCCGTGCCCACTCCTCCTCAATTTTTCAGCCTCTGGTGACGCTGCCCTTGCCTCTTGACCTCCTAGCTTTATTCCCAGTTATTCGGAACTCATCAGCTCGTGTCCTCGCCTGCACCAATCTTAGTGAACCCATCCTCACCAGGCTCCACTGGCTCTCCATCACTGAACGGATTGATTTCAAGATCCTCACACTTGTCTTCAAATCCCTTCATACCCTGGCACCTCCCTACCTCTCTGACCTGTTTACTCCCCAACCTGCTGCCTCCGCTCGGCAGGCTCTGGCTTCCTGCTTGTCCGTTGTTCCCTCATTGGTGGCCATGCCTTCAGCCACTACCCACTGAAACTCTGGAACAACAGCAACAACTTGCACTTATATAGTGCCCTCCATGCAGGGTAGCATCTGAGAGTGCTTAACAACAGTGGGACTCCGAGCCGGGGTGGAGGGTGGAGGTGGCCGTAAGCAAGGTCGAAGAGGAAGGTCTTCAGGTGGGACTTGAAAAGGGGAGAGAGGGGGCAAAGCGGAGGGTTTGAGGGAGAGTGTTTCAGAGTTTCGGGGCACAGTGGCTGAAATGTAGCTTTATGCAGCTTGAACCCACAATCTTCTCAATCAGAGGCAGCTTTTTCTCCCCGCCATTTAGTCAGTATTTTCCAAATCCCTACTGCTCTCCCCACTCAGTGTCTCTCCCTCCCCCCCTACACCTCATCATCATCTTTAACACTCACTACGTGAATGGCCCTTATCCCTTATGACATTCCAATACGGCAGCTGCACTGTATTTGTGTTCTAACTGCACCCATAAGAAAATAAGAATTAGGAGCAGGAGTCGGCCTTTCGGCTCCTCGAGCCTTACCCGCCATTCGATAAGATCATGGCTGATCTTCAGACCTAACTCTAATAACCTGCCCTATCCCATATCCCCTAATCCCTCTATTTTTAAAAAATCTATCAGTCTCAGCCTTGAAGATCTTCAAGAACTGAGCATCTACAGCCTTCTGGGGTTCACTACCGTCCGAGTGAAGAAATGTTTCCTTAACTCTGTTCTGAAAGGCTGACCCTTAATTTTAAGACTGTGACCCCTGGTTATAGATTCATGATATATCTTGATTTGTGGCGATGCCAAGTGGTAGCGTTGTTAATTAAGTAGTTTAACGTGAATTTTGGGCAGGGATGTATAGACAAATTAGAGCATGATAGAATCACTGTTCCTTTTCGATTGCCCCTCTAGGCGCTGACGTCAGCTGGTGGCATGTGTCTCTCTGCAGGAGGTCAGACTCCCAGTTTGAATGGAGACAGTGACATAGTAATAATAAGTGTTGTGTTACTCGTTGGTGCAGTAATCCCCTCTCTGCTTAAAATCTTTGTATTAAAATCACATGGGGAAAAGGCTGACTCCATTGATAGCACTCTCACCTCTGATGCAGAAGGTTGTGGGTTCAAAGTCATACATTGGGACTTTGAGCTCATGTTTGGCTGACATTCCAATACGGCAACTTCTGCTTCCAGCCTTCTCACTAATGCCCTCTCCTATTCACCCAGAGTGGGGGGAGGGGGAAACGAGAGGGCCCCAATGTTCGGGGGGTGACAAGGCCCCTCTGCCTGTCCATTCCCCCCCTGCCCACTTGCGAACACCGGTTCTAACGCTGCCTTTTATTTGCAGTACTTGTCACGGAGGCTGGGGATGGACACAGTGGTGTTCGGGTACCTACAGACAGCCTTTGCTGTTATCCAGCTCCTGGGAGGGCCCGTCTTCGGCAGGTAACCATGAGATGACTGTTACTCCGGGCATAGTGCTCCGGTACGGGGTGGGGATAAGACTGGCAAGAGGAAACATTGACACAATGTTAAATCTCCACCAGCTATTGTTGGGTAAATGATCAACAGCAACAACAACAAAATTACATTTATAGAACGCCTTTCACATCGGGAGGACATCCCAAAGCGCTGGCATCTAGCAGTGCTCCCCTCCCCCAATCGTTGCTCCTCTCCCTCCTCCACGCCCCATCCACTGTCCCACCTGCTGCCTCTCCCACTGCCCCTCCTGGAACTCCTCCCGCCGCCCCACCCTCCACCCCGTCTGCTGCCCCATCTGCGGCCCCTCCCTCTACCCCCTCCCCTACTCAGAGATTGGTTATAGGAATATTTCTTTGTATAGAAGGTGGTTTGGGACATCCTCCCGACGTGAAAGGCTCTCTATAAATGTAATTTTGTTGTTATTGTTGTGGTTGGAATGTAGAATTTCCTGCCAGAAATCGTGTTTGACTGAATGGATCGGAGAGATTCTTGAAGAAGAGAAATATGGAGTCCTGTAGCTCAGTGGTTAGAGCACTCGCTTTGCAAGTGAGAGACCTGAGTTCAATTCCAGGCAGAGGGCGAAACCTTGGGCAAGTTTCCTTACTCCACACAGAGCCTAATAATAATCCCTCCAAAAACCCAAAACAATAATAAATTGGTCATTTTCAATCTATGACTGTTTGTGGGACATTGCTGTGTGCAATTGGCTGCCGCGTTCGCCCACAAATATAGTCAATTCACTTTACAGTGTGTTCTGTGAAGCGCTTTGGGACGTCCTCCCGACGTGAAAAGCGCTATATCAAATGCAAGGATTATTATTATTATTATATCTTGGTAAAGCTATTTGGCAGATACCAAGATCCCACAGATAGTCGGGGTTGGATAAGCAATTGGTATGCACAATTGTTGGTCAACAGAAAGTCCCAACATATTTTGAATACTGTCACAAGATCCTTAACACCCCTTTAAAATAGTCATCCCCCAGCCTGCACTCTCACACCAAATCACGCTCATCGGGTGGCTTATCACCAGTGTCTGTTTGTGTGTGTGGAGGGGGTGGGGAGGGGGAGGGGGCACGGCCAGGAATGTCCCCATGGCGGAGTGGGGGGACAAGTTGGGGGACAGAGAGGAGAGGGATTGTCCAGGCCATGCAATGATGAGGCTTTGTTTCCACTCTAGGTTTGGGGATTTGTTTGGGGGCCGAGCTGCCCTGTCTCTGGCGTACATCTCCTCCGGGCTCACCTACCTGCTGATGGGACTCTCGACCAACATCCCTCTCCTCTTCCTCTCCCGAATTCCCTCTGTTTTTATGCATGGAATACAAGGTACAAGTCTGCACACCCGCTCACCCAGGCACTTATATTACATATTATTAAATAGGAATCCCTATAAATAAATAACTTACATAATTGCATTACATAAATTATTATTAATAGTATTTTTTAACAATAAATAGGTTTACATTCAAGTTGTTTTCTGCTCTACACTTATATTCACAACATCATCATTCACATTGTTCTACCACTGTAACCTGACCTGTCGAGCAACCATTCACCCCCCCTGTCCAATAAATCTCTCCCCCCTCCCTCAGCCTGATTTTGTTGCCGGGCTGGCACTGATTCTGTGCTGTCATCCTGTAGCTGTTCAGATGGTGGTGACTGACCTGTCGGCTGAGTCGGAGCGGGCGAGCTCCCTGGGGAAGCTGGGCCTCTCGTATGGGGTGGGCATGATTGTTGGCTCCCTGACCGGTGGCATCCTCATCTCTAGGTTTGGGTATGTACTGAATGAAGGGCATTACTGGGTGGGGGCGGAGAGGTTGGGAGTGCCGGGTGTGGGGTCTCGCAATGTTTGGGTGGTGACAGTTCTGTGGAGTCTGGGAATGCGGGAGTGGGGAGGGGTATGTCGGAGTTCTTCAGGGAGGGGGTCTGGGTGTGTAGGTGGGGTGTTCTGGGTGCGTAGGGGGGTTGACAATCCTGTAGGGGTCTAGGAGTGGGGGGGGGCTCTCGCAGTATGTGGTGTGGGGATGTCCCCTGGTGACATACTGTGACCTCAGGTGATTATTATGGGATGTGAGGCGGGGCCAGGTGGACCGGTCTGTTAGGTTCTTTCTACTGTAATTGGATCCTCGCCATTAACCAATAAAGGTCTGAACACAGAGTTGTACAATCAAGATAGTTTATTCACCAATGGAACAGAAATATTCTACCAGATAAGCAGTCTTGCCTGATGACCAGCACTCGGCTCAGCAACCTGTAGTTCTTTGTCTTCGCTCTCCTGAGCCCAAGCCGCTTAGCGATATACTCACAAACTTATGGTGACCCCGGACCATGCTCCCGGACTGACTATCTCCCTCTTGAGTCGTCCTGCTCTTCTAACTGTTCTCACCTAGAGTTATACCCTTTCTCCAAGTGTCCTTCCTAGGGCTCCTCTACCCACTTCTGATCTGTCACATACTCATGTTAATCAATCATTTGGTTTGGTGCCTGCCTGACTGAGACTCCACATGGCCCTTTGTCCTGTCTAAGATAGGAGATTGATCAGTTTAGGGCTGTATCTGGTGCTTGTTATTTTGTTATTATCAATTAGTATATTTCTTTTAAGTGACTGTTATTTCTTATCAGTATCCCGGGATGGTACCAAAGTCCTCTAGTTTAAACAACCTGCTCATTAGTTGCCATTCTTGAGGGTTGCCTTTTGTCGCTTGGCAGGCCCTGTCAGAATCTAGCGACTTATTGCTAAGTCGAGATCCTGTGTCGACCAGTACCTTGGACTGTTACCTCTGTGGGCTTGTTGTTATTTACTGATAAGTGATGAACCCCTGCCCTTTTCCAAGGCTGTCTTATTATTCCTTAAGAAACAGAGAAAACTAGATGTGTTCTATCCCATGACGGTCAGTACTTTCTCCATTCCTCATTTGTTTAATGGTTCATTATTATTAGACTACAACTTCTCTAATCTAACAGGTCTGAACTGACTGTTCAGTATGCGATAATCCTGAATAAAACCCCACATTCCAGGCTCTCACTTGCACGGCTTTCCATCATCTGTTTCACATTCCCTTCCCTTCCCCTGAGCTCCCTTAGACCTTATTCACGCCTTCGTGTATTTGCTTCTGAGGACACTTCCTGCTCGCTGTATGTGTGCTATTTGCATGTGTGCATAACATGCAGAAAGCAGGTCCTCTCACTTTCGAGGTGAGTGCTCTAACGACTAAGCAACAGGATACCATGTATACTGGTCAGCTAAACACGATTTCACCAATCTACAGCATTACAAGTATTAATCATAATCCTTGCATTTGAAATAGTGCCTTATCTTGAGATGTCTCAAGAGCATCACAGAATATGCTGTAGAATATTCTGTGAATATAAGTGAATTGACTATATTTTTGTAACTGTATTTTTTGTATTGTATATGTTTCATGCTAGCAACACCTAACAATAGTAAGTGAGATGTCTCAACGACGTGATAAAGGGCTATATCAAATGCAAGGATTCTTATTACTATAATATATATACATCAACAACAATAAAATTACATTTATAGAGCGCCTTTCACGTTGGGAGGACGTCCTAAAGCGCTGGCATCTAGAGGATGTCGGGTGTCGGGACTCGAGCATGGAGGAGTGGTGTAGGGGTGAGGGAAGGCAGAGAGGTGGGAGGGAGACCAAAGGCACGGTTGAAGAGAAGGGTCTTGAGACCAGCCTGGAAGGAGGCAAGGGAGGAAGTGAGGCAAAGGGACATTGGGATGGAGTTCCAGAGTGTGGGGGCAGAGAGGCTGAAAGCCTTCCAACATGAACCACACACATGATTCTCCCCCCCTCCCACTCCCAGGTTGGTAGGGAGTCAGCAGGTCAGAGAGGTAGGAGGGGGTGAGGCCATGGATGGCCTTAAAGGTCAGGACGAGGATCTTGAACTCGATCCTCTGGGGGATGGGGAGCCAGTGGAGTCGGGCGAGGGTGGGAGTGGTGGGGTTGCGGAGCCTGGTGCATCAGAGTACACGAGCTGCAGAGTTTTGGATGATCTGCAGCTTGTGAAGGGAAGCGTTGGGAAGGCCGATGAGGAGGGAGTTCCCGTGATCAAGCCTTGAGCTGTCAAATGCATGGGTGAGGGTTTCAGCAGTCTGAGGGAGGCGGAAGATGACTAAGGGCGGAGTCCAAGAGAAAGGTCTTCAGACTGACCTTGAAGGAGGTGAGGGAAGGGACAAGGTGAGGGGACTCCAACGGGTTCCTGGAGGAGTGAACACGGTTTAATGAACACGAGGGCTAACGGCGATCTGTCTCTGTCTCTACTTACAGTTGATCAACAGCAGAGGGCAGCAAAGGCCAGGAGTGGCTAATGTAAGCCTCGCTGTGCCCAGAGCCACCCGCCTGGGGGCAGTCAGCAGGACCTTCGGGGTAACCTCCCCAAGCAGCAGCTCATGGGTCCACAACTTGGGGGAGAAAGGCTGGGGGTGGGGCTCAGTGCTGTGGGGTGGTGGGGGTGGGGGGGCTGTGTGTTTTGGGGGTTTCTGCTTGGGGTGGCGGGGAGGGAGAATCCACGTGGCTTTGCACACCCTGTGGCTTGTTCTCTTTCGCGATGAGGTTGTTAATGGTGACAGTTGGGCTGTCATCTGGTGACCGAGGCGCTGCTCTGTGAATGAACATCTTTCACACACGTCACACACACTGGCCTGACCTCACTCCCCGCTTCTCTGCTCTCAGAAGGACAATGGCTGTTCTTTCAGCACACTCTCACTTTCCCTTTTAGTATCCGTGTGGGTGGCTGTCTCTGTGTGTCTTTAACCCCCATCCCCCACCCCCTACCCCCCTCCCACCAAGACCCCAGCTCTCAAGCTTTTGCTAACAGTGTGAGCTCTGAGAGAAGAATCAGTGGGAAGTGAATGTTTGCTCACGTCAGTGCTCTGTGGCTGACGTCCTGCCGCACCACCCCAGGCATTAGCTAATAATAAATCCTTGCTTTTGACAGAGTGTCTGTAACGTCTCAAAACGCTTTACGCATTGCTGCCTAGTGTAGTGACTATTTGCAGGCTTGCCTCAGTAACCTGCCTGTAATGGAGTTTGCTCTCTGCTGATGGAGACTGCATATTGCAGAGTGAGACTGTGGGTCAAATATGACGTGTGCTGTAAGGCTCAGTCTCCTGATCTGAAGGATGTCTCTATTGGCTGAGTGTGTGGGTGAGTTTCCAAGAGCCTATTACACCATCTGCTGGGTCAGAGCAGTGCGAGTGCTGCTTCCGCACCTTTCATCCTCCAATTACTCATCTGTCAGGGTCAAGTGTGGGATCAGGCTTAGCTTGCTTAGGTTCAAGGGGCATCTTTTGGAGGCTGTGTATAAATGTCAAACATTTCAGCGACAGTGTGTGTGCCACCATGATCTGGTTACACCCTGCACATTAACCCCACTTGGCAGCACAGTCGCCACAGCTTTATTCCTCAACTGGCTTTGGAATGATTCCATTATCCAGCTGCATTAGCCGCTTGTGGGAATGAACTCCAAACCCTGACGACACTCTTAAGTGTGAGCTTCCTTCTCCAACAACAGCAGCTTAAACTTATCTAGCACCCTTCACATAGGATAATGTGTTACAAAGATGGGGGGTCAGACACAAAGCAAGTGGGGAACGGGGAGCTTAAGGTCAGACAAAGAGACGGGTTTTACGGCAGGACATAAAGTCTGGTAGAGATGGGGTGAGACAGATGGACAGAGCTAGGGACTTCTAGAGGTTATGGGCGCAGAATCTGAACTCAGGCCCTGATGGTGGCTCTCTCCCCATTGTGTCTGTGCTGGTGCTCGCTCCCCACTGGAGCTCTCTATCTACTCCCATTCCCTGTTCGCTCCCCATTTGTGTCCATGCTGGTGTTCGCTCCCCACTAGAGGCAATACAGGCTGAGGAAGAGATGAATCTCTCAGGCTGTGGAGTATTGGAGTTTGGGAGTACTGATATCCCAGTACTGGGAGTACTGTGTTATGTCCGGGTTTGTCTCTGGTAAAGATGCAGGAGAGTATGAGGTGGGCCCAGACCCAAGGTGAGGCATTGTCTATAACTAGTCAGGGCTGAGGTGCCAGGCGCTGACTCACCGTTAATCCACATTAGGCATCACTCATTCTGTGAGTGTGTGGGGTTGGGGTGAGCGTGTGGGGTTGGGGTGAGCGTGCGGGGTTGGGGAGAGCGTGCGGGGTTGGGGAGAGCGTGCGGGGTTGGGGAGAGCGTGCGGGGTTGGGGAGAGCGTGCGGGGTTGGGGAGAGCTTGCGGGGTTGGGGAGAGCGTGCGGGGTTGGGGAGAGCGTGCGTGGTTGGGGAGAGCGTGCGGGGTTGGGGAGAGCGTGCGGGGTTGGGGGAGCGCGTGCGGGGTAGGGGAGAGCGTGTGAGTTAGGTGTGAATGTGTGGAGTAGGTGTGTGGGGTAGGTTTGTGGGGATGTGTGGGGTAGGTGTGTGGGGTAGGTGTGAGTGTGGGGTCTTCAGGAGAGTATAAGTAAAACAAAGTGGGTCTGGCCCGAAGGCACACATTGTGTGATCGCCACCACGCTGTCGGTGTGTAAACACAGCTTGTCAGTAAGTGTGGAGGATGAGAGCCCTCAACATGCTCACAGCTGCCTCCGCACGTCCTGACACACCCAGACCCCGATGCTGCTGTCTCTATGGTAACTTTATCTCAAAACATTAACTCTGGTACAAAGAGCTTCAGGGGTTAACCGAGAAGGGAGCGGCCATGGGAGAGGTTACAGGAGAGGAGGAGAGAAAACTCCTTGGAGAATTAGGAGAGTGAGAGGGGTAAGGGAGAGGTTACAGCAGAGGGAGCGGAGTGAGCTGGCTCCTGCTGTGCCCGGCAATGGAATGACAGAATGGAGACCACCTTGCCGGGGTTCTCAGTGGAGTAGGTGTGTGGGGATGTGTGGTGTAGGTGTGTGGGGATGATGAAAGACCAGCCAGCCTGACGCAGCAGCTTGGAGAGGCAGTTACCCTAACAAACACTCTGGAGTCCACAAATCTTCGCTTTTTTTGCCAACCTGAGTCCCTAACACCTACCCCACACTGAGATTAGTGAGCGGAGGGTGTCGCTCTGGGATGGCAAATGGGCCCTTGGATTAATGTCTCATCTGAAGGATGATTCCTTCAAGAATGCAGCTCCCCCAGAAGTGCATTGGTCTGCGTAGACTGAGCTCAAAGTTCCAACGTGGGGCTTAAACCCATGACCTGTTGCCTTACAACAACAACAACAACAAGATTCCATTTATAAAGCGCCTTTCACGTCAGGAGGACGTCCCAAGGCGCTGCACAGTTGGGTCACGACCCGAGCAGGGGGGAAATGGTCAGGGTGAGGGGAGGGAAGGGAGGGAGCGAGGAGGGGGGAAATGGTCAGGGTGAGGGGAGGGAAGGGAGGGAGCGAGGAGGGGGGAAATGGTCAGGGTGAGGGGAGGGAAGGGAGGGAGCGAGGAGGGGGGAAATGGTCAGGGTGAGGGGAGGGAAGGGAGGGAGCGAGGAGCGGGGAAATGGTCAGGGTGAGGGGAGGGAAGGGAGGGAGCGAGGAGGGGGGAAATGGTCAGGGTGAGGGGAGGGAAGGGAGGGAGCAAGGAGGGGGGAAATGGTCAGGGTGAGGGGAGGGAAGGGAGGGAGCGAGGAGGGGAAGAGAGTCGAGAGGGGAGCTGAAGGCTCGGTCAAAGAGAAAGGTTTTGAGACCGGCCTTGAAGGAGGAAAGGGAGGAAGCGGCGAAGGCACTGGGGGATGGAGTTCCAGAGCCTGGGGGCCTTAGGGGTGAGTGTGCTGCTGACTGAGCCAGGCTGGCACCAATGTCTTTGGGAAGAGAGTGGGAGTTGGCTAGCTCTGTGAGCAAAAATAAATGCAGAATGAGGTGAAAGTCTCTCTGTCTGAGACTCCCACGCACTCACTGCTGAACACACAGTGGCCCAACCAGACAAACGTGTCACAGCTCGCAGAACAGGGCTGACTCACCCCGGCCAGGGCTCAGCCTCCGCATGCGGTAGATGTGAAGTTAGAGGGGTGCCTGAGGGTTTATGTGCCTGAGGGGTCGTGTGTGGACCCTCTTACTCAGCGATTGTGAGAGACGCAGGTCCCGGTCAGCACTGTAAATGGCAATGTGGTTGACTCCATTACGGCCCTCCCGTACACATACATCCACACACACTGTGTCTCACTCTCTCTCACACACGCTTTGTCACAGAAACAGGCTCTCTCTTGCTCACACACGCCACACTCTCTCGCACACACATGCTCTCTCACACACACACGCGCACCCTCACGCGCACACACACATACACACACGTTTTCTCTCTCACATACACACTCTCCCTCATGCTCACATGCACACATGTTTTCTCTCTCTCTCTCTCTCTCTCGCGTACTCCAGCAGATTCTGTGGACACACCTGCCCACATCCTGCAGTTCCCCTGCTGAAAGCCTGAGTGTTTGCAATCACAGCCTGCTTCCTGACCCAATGTTTAATCAAACATTCCTCTCAATCCCACCACTTCCGTCCTGACAACAAACATCCCAGCTGTCTGTGAATGCTCCTAACCCACTGTTCAGATCATCACATAGCTCACCCACTCAAACACTGAGCCACTGATACAACAGACAATCATCAACAACAACCACAAGATTACATTTGTATCGCGCCTTTCACGTCGGGAGGATGTCCCAAGGCGGTGGACAGAGTACAGCATTTCAGACCTGAGCTGGGGTTGGGGGAGTAAGGGAGGGGGGTGGCCGATGGCATGGTCGTAGAGAAGGGTCTTGAGGTGGGACTTGAAGGAGGCTAAGGAGGGGGTGAGGCGGAGTGACTGGGAATGGAATTCCAGAGGTTGGAGGCAGAATGGCTGAAGGCTCTCCCGCCAATGGTGGGGCGGGTGGGTCAGGGGACGTGGAGCAGGCCGGAGCCGGCTGAGCGGAGGGAATGGACGGGTTAGTAGGGGGTTAGGAGGTCGCAGAGGTAGGGTGGGACGAGGCCATGGAGGGCTTTGTATGTGAGGACCAGGATCTTGAACTGGATTCTCTGAAGGATAGGGAGCCAGTGGAGTCGGGTGAGATTGGGGGAGATGGGGTCACGGAGTTTGGTGCGGGAGAGGACACGGGCTGCAGAGTTTTGGATTATCTGCAGCCGGTGGGGGGAGGAGTTGGGAAGGCTGACAAGCAGGGAGTTTGCATAGTCGAGCCTGGAGGTGATGAAGGCATGAACAAGAGTTCCAGAGGCCTGAGGGGTGAGGTAGTGGCGGAGTCGGGTGATGTTACAGAGGTGAGGGAAGGCAGAGCGGGTCATGGCTTGAATGTGGGGGAGAAAAGACAGTTGAGGGTTGAACAAGACACCAAAGTTCCTGACTGGTTTGGTGAGTTGAAGTGTGCAGCCATGGAGGTCGATGCTGCCAGAGCCTGAGGTGCGGAGGCGCTGGCGTGAGGCAATCAGGAGGGCCTCAGTCTTGTTCACATTCAACTATAGGAAATTTGCCCTCATCCAGGACTTGATGTCCGACAGGCAGTCTGTCAGGACAGCAGTGGTCCTGGAGTTGAGGGTGGAGGCAGAAAGATAGAGTTGGGTGTCATCCGCATACATGTAGAAGTTGACCCCATGTCTGCGGATGATGTCACCAAGGGGGAGCACGTAGATATTAAAGAGGAGAGGGCCAAGGACAGAGCCCTGAGGGACTCCAGATGTAACAGTGCGGAGGCTGGCGGAGAAACCGTTAGAGGCAACGAAGTGGAGACGATGAGAGAGATAGGAATTGAACCAGGCAAGGGCAGATCCGTGAAGATTGAGTAAAGCGGAGAGGCGGTGTATGAGGATGGAGCGGTCGACAGTGTTGAATGCGGCAGAGAGGTTGAGGAGGACAAGAAGGCAGAGGGAGTCCTGATCACAGATGTTCAGAATGTCATTAGTGACTTTGACCAGAGCTGTTTCCGTGCTGTGGGCAGCGCGGAAGGCGGATTGGAGGGGTTCAAAGAGGGAATGGCGAGAAAGGAGCGGAGATGGAACACAACAATTTGTTCCAGGACCTTGGAGAAGAATGGGAGGTTAGAGATGGGGCGGTAGCTGGAGAGAAGGGATGGATCCAGGGAAGGTTCGTGCTCCCAAGTATAATGTAGAGGGTCATAGTTACTCTGTCTCTAACCCGTCTCTGACAGGTTTAGTTACTACAGATATAGAGACAGGTATAGTTACTCTGTCTCTAACCCGTGTTGTCACTGACCTGGAAATATGGATGGACAGTGTAAAAAGTAATAATACTTGAATGAGGGCTCAATGTGATTTGTAGAATGTTACTGTAAATGTGACTATTGTAATTATAATAATTTCTATAATAATCCTTACATGATTATCCTGACATCGGGTGGACATCTCAAAGTGCTTCACTGCGAAGTGCAGAGACTGTATTTTGTGGGAGAACACGGCAGCCGATATTTGCAATGACCCACAGCCAAGAAGTGAATGAACAATTTTACCTGGAGGATTGTTGACCTCTCCAGGACACCAGGAGAGAGAAACTCCCTTCTCTTTTTGAATAGTGCTGCAGAATCTTTGACATCTACCTGAAAAAGCAGATAGGACCTCAGTTTAACATTGATGCCAACAACAATAATTTGCATTTATACAACATCCTGCTGCATCTCAGAACGCTTAACAGTGGCGGAGCCTGAGGTGAGCCGGGGATAGGGAGGTGACCATACGCACATTGAAAAGGAAGGTCTTAGGTGTGATCTGAAAAAGGGGAATGAGGTGGCAAGGCGGAGGGATTGAGCGAGAGAGTTCCAAAGTTTTGAAGCGTAGTGGCTGAAAACGTGGCCACCGATGGTGGAGCGGAGGGGACGAGGGACAAGGAGGAGGCCAGAGCCAGCCAAGCAGTGGTGTAAAGAAGAGTTACTGTTAAGCTTCTTCTATAGCTCATTTAACCCTGAGGTAAAGTATAGACAAAGACTAAACTAAGAATGTTACAATCAAGTCAAAATTTATTAGCTAACAGAAATCAGCAATACATCACAGCTTAAAGGTTAGTTATGCTCACAAACCGTGGAGGACAATTCAGGACTGTCGAGTGATCAAGCCATGTCCTGAAAGAGTTGGAGTCATCAACTTCGATGACAAACTTCCAGTCATATTGGAGTGTCCGATTGCTTGCAGTAATCCTTTGATCGACAAAGTTTTCTTGCTTGAGTTTGCTCTTCTGTCTTTGTGCTCCCAAATCATCACAGTCCTCATAGGGCTTCTTGTTTGTAACGAGTCAATTACACATTGACCTCGCCACAATGCGTTTCCTGTGTGTCCCAGATCAAGAAGTGAGCTTGAGTGGGTTAGAAGGATAATCATTTCTCTCTTATCTTGCCCTGGCTGTTCCCAGGGTGGGCTGGTGATGCAGTGTGTAATATGGGAGGTAGGAGGTTCACGTTGTTTACTGTATGTCTCAATCACAGGGAGCCAGCCACAGCCTACGTGGCCGCAGTGGGATCTCTCCTCAATGCCGCCATAGCTGTGAAGTACATCCCGGCTCACACCAAACCTCAATCAGTCACACAGCAACATAAAGCCGGTCAGTGGCCCTGAGTGTGCCGGCAACACACGGCCGCAGCACGTCAGGATGTGTGTGTGGCAGGGAGTGCCTGTGTGTGAGTGTTTCGGGGGCGGGGGCGGTGTATCACGGAGAGCCTGTATGAGTGATTCTTGAGTGCGTGTGTGAGTGAGTGTGATGGTGGTGAGTGTGTCGAAGTGATTGTGTCGGGATGAATGTGTCAGGTGAGTGTTGGGGTCAGTGAGTTATGGTGAATGTGTCGGAGTGAGTGTGTCGGGGTGAGTGTGTGAGTGTGTCGGGGTGATGTGCCTCTCTGGATGTTACAGGCCAGGCCACAGGCAGCGTGTTCAGTTTGAAGACGATTACGCGACTCATGAGCATTCCGGGAGCTGCAAAGATCTTCACCATTAAAATCATCACTGGCATTCCCTCAGGTGTGTGACTGACCCTGTGTGTTGTGTGTGACTGACCCTGTGTGCTGTGTGACTGACCCTGTGTGTGACTGACCCTGTGTGTGACTGACCCTGTGTGCTGTGTGACTGACCCTGTATGTGACTGACCCTGTGTGCTGTGTGATGACCGAGTCCCGTGTGCTGTGTGTAACTGAGCCCCGTGTGCTGTGTGTAATGTGACCTAGTTCCATCTTACAGGCGTGTTCCAGAGCATGTTCTCTGTGGTAGCCATGGATTACTTCAAGCTGGATGCAGAACACAATGGCTACCTCATGGCATACATTGGCCTGCTCCAGATGGTGAGTGACGGGGGGGGGGGGGGGGAGCGGGCAAGACACAGCCAAGCATCTGATACATGCAAACCCATCCCCATGTTTAAGAGTATCCAAACTAAGTTAAGAATTTCCTGCATCCCACCTACAAATCCCAGAGATAGATTGTTGGGGTGGAGCATCCTGCTTACCTAATTCTTTAGGGTATTAGGTGCAGGTTAGCAAGAGCTAATGCTTGGGGACCCCAGAAGGTGCGTTGGAGTCTAACATATATAGTCAATTCACTTCACAGTATATTCTGTGAAGCACTTTGAGACATCTAGAATACGTGAAAAGCGCTGTATCAAATGCAATTATTATTATTATATTATTACACCCGGCTAAAACCGCATACCTGCCATTGCTTGCACTCACTGGCAAGATTTCACACTGCTTGTCCAGCTAGGAATCACCCTACACATTAGGACTTTGGCTTGCAGGGTTAATATGAACTGAGTAGGAGGATTCCCTGCCCCCAGTGACTCGTCTGCCCTTCCGGGTCCTGCTAATAAGCCCGTCTGGGCCATGCTGTCGCCAGGAGAAAAATCTCAGGTTCTCTAGTCCCTCACATAACTAAAGTCTCTCATCCCTGTTTGTCTGTGTTTGTGTGTGTGTCTCTTTCTGTGTGTCTCCTGATGTGTGTTGTGTGTGGTGATATTTGCAGTTTGATGGTGTTAGCGGCTGGGCTATGTTGACTGGTCCTCTCTGGTTGAGAAAGCCCTCATTGTATAAATGTTGTGATGTTTCCCCCCTCATACACACACACTGGAGGTACCTCAGGCTACGTAAATAACTGCTCACAGAGACCACAAATTCCTGAGAAGTCAAACTTCTAAATAAGGTTGTGGTGCCACACAGGAATCTCAGGAATGCAACAGGAAGGAAATGATACATCCATATTGTGACTGCAGCTCCCCCCTAATACCAGCACCTCCTGTCTTACGCACTCCTTCTCCCCATGTTGCTCACTGTAGGGAGCTATGCCACTGCCTCGAAATTTACTCTATTAACGCAGCGTGTTAGAGTGGGCAGCAATTGGCAAATTGGTTGATTTTGTTTTTAATTTCAAAGCCGCGTTCCTGTTGTTCTAAGTAGAAAAGCAGCTTGAAAGACTATTTAAGAATGTGACTGGCCTCTCTGAAATATTACATTAATATAGTAAATTAATATAGCGGTGGAATCCCCACTGTATTCAACTCACTGTGTTATTGGACAGTCTATTCGAGTATATGGGCTTGACATTCCAGGCTCGAGGCAGTGATGGAATGACAGAATTTGGGGAGTTAAAGGGAAAACAATTGTATAGCAGATTATCCCGTCAGGGTTTAGCACCAGCTGGTTTCTGTCCGAACCATAAGCCAGCTCCAGCGCTCGCAGGGACGACTATATTATAAGTGAACTTCCACAATGGTGAGGCCGGTACTGCCAGGGTTTGCCCTATATACAATGTGTGTATTATATAATAAAAAACAGCCTGCGTTTATACAGCGCCCTTCACATAGGGGAATGTCTCCGGCGGACACTGAGCATGGGAGTGGGGGGGGGGGCGGGCGGGGGGGAGGGTGCGCGGTTGACCATACACACAGTCAAACAGGCAAGGTTTATTAACAATAATAATCCTTGTCATCCTAGTGACAGCACAAGTTACAAGCTCTGAGGCACAGCACTGCCAGTCTGACATACACCCATTGTCCATCACACATCCTCTATCCAGCCACAGCTTTAGTATCAGGATTTTGAAGGTCTGATAACCTCTTCTGCAGAACTTTTATCAAAGACAACAACAACAGCTTGCACTTATATAGCACCCTCCATGCAGGGTCGTCTCTCAGAGCGCTTAACAGTGGGACTCTGAGCCGAGGGGGTGGGACTGTGTGACACAGTCGAAGAGGAAGTTTTTCAGGCGGGACTTGAAAAAGGGGAGAGAGGGGGCAGGGCGGAGGGATTGAGGGAGAGTGTTCCAGAGCTTTGGGGCGTAGTGGTTGAAAGCGCGACATCCAATGGTGTTATCGCATAGCAACTTTCTCTGTTCCTCAACTCTGCTCTCATTAATCACAGACAATTCATTAAATTCCATTACAAACCTGTGCTGACTGCCCTCATCACCATTTTCTCCAGATAATCATCAAGTTCCCGTCACTGTTGCTCTGTGTAACACTCCTGTTCCCATTACTGTTACTGTGTGTAATGCCCCTGTTCTGTCACTGTTACTGTGTGCAATGCCCTGTCCACCCTGTATGTGATCTGCAGTGAGCCTCATTGACTGGCACAGTGGAGCTGCTGGCACAGTGTAATCTAGAAATGGGAAAACCTAGAGCTGGTGAACACTGTGACCAGCCAGTGAACTCAGAGAGAAACAACATCAGAACAGCTTCACCCAGAGGGTGTCAGTGTGGGCAACGTTAGAGCAGAGTCGAGCAACGTCTGATCTGTGGGTGACATCCCGAAACACTGTGTGCCATGTGTGCTGTGCTGTGTACACTGTGTGCTGTGTGTTGGGTGCTGTGCTGTATACACTATGTGCTTTGTGTTGTGTGTGGTGCTACGTACTGTGTGTGATGCTGTGTGTGATGCTGTGTGTGGGGCTGTGTGTGGTGCTATGTATGCTGTGCATTATACACTTTGGCAGTTCCCACCGGATATCAGCACGTCAAAGAGAGTTGGCATGAACCTAGAGGCAGAACAGGTTTGCTGCACCGTGTGACTGAGCTGAGAGGGAGGGGAGCTGGTAATCTGCTATTCCGGTCTGTCCTGTCACGACCCCTCCTAGACTGACAGCGTGATTGCTGCGGGCAGGTCCCAGTGTGGGAAACGAACTGACTGGCGAAGAGCCCAGAGCTACAACTTGTGTGTGAAACAGGCGGGAACCTCTCCTCTGTTGCAAGTGGTTACCACTCCCCACACACACACATACACATATACAGTTATGCCCCCCCCATCTCCCCACTCCAGTCATTGTGGCTCCTGGTACCCCCATGGTTAGAGACAGAGTAAAGCTCGCGCCACTGTCCATCCACACTCCCAGATCAGTGAAAGGACAGGTTAGAGACAGGCTGACACTCGCTCTGCACACTGCCTTACTATGCGCTGCTGTGTGATGCGAGGACGGGCTAGGGTGCATTAGGTCTCTGATGTTGCCCCTCTCTCTCTCAGGTGATGCAGGGATTGGTGGTTGGGTGGCTGACCAGATGGATTCCTGAACAAATATTGATTCTCTGCTCCATCCTGCTGGTGTGTCTGATGGGTTTGGCCATGGTAAGAATTGTCTGCTGTCCACGTGATGGGGAGAATCCTCGAGAGCCACAGCACGGTGTCAACCACATCCAGACTCTGCTCATAGGTCACACCCTGAGGATGAGTCAAGGGATGAGATCAGGCCTACGGGCGGTGCTTGGAGGAACTGGGACTTTTTCTGTTGGAACAAAGAAGTTGAGAAGTGACCTTCAAAATGATGAAGAGTCAATAAGGAGAAATTATATCCATTGGTTAGTGAGTCAGTAATCAGAGGGTGTCAGTTTAAGAGTTAGTAAACAAGCAAATGGGGCGGTTAGGAGAAATATTTTCACACACAGGGTGGTTAGGATATGGAATGTGTTGCCGGGCGCATGGTTGAGGCAGAACATGTCTATGGTTCTTACAACAAGTAACAGCATGAGAGGCTGAGCTAAATGGTAGATGGAGCAGAGGAGACATATTGTCGGCCTCCGCTCTGCCCCATCTCCCCACGCTGCCCCTTCACTGCGTCTCTGCATCACTGTCTCTGTGTTTCAGGCTATGATGACCAATGTTATCCATTTCTGTGTCACCTGTATCCCCATGTCACTGGGAATCGCTATCTTCTCCCTCACCACCAACAGCATCTTAACCAAGCTGGCGCCCGCCGCGGACACAGGTAGGTGGTGCCATCATACACTCGCTCTTCCCCTGCCTCCTTCTCAAGCCCCTGAGGTTCCTCAGCCCTTCCTCTGAGCCCCTCCTCCTCACCTCGCCTCCATGTGTCACTCTGTGTGTGAGCCGGATACTAAGTGCCGGCGAAACAGCGGCTCTGAGGTCACAGAGACCGACCGGGGGAGGGTGATCAGGGTCAGGGTGCCTGGGGTTGGGGAGGGGGTGTAGGTGAGGATCAGGGTTGGTGTGAGGGTGGAGATAAATGCTAGATGCTGTGTGTGTTGTAGGTGCGATGCTGGGGCTGAGCATGTCCGTGTATTCTCTGATCCGCTCCATCTCTCCCACCATCGGCGGTTTCCTGTTTGACGCCTACGGCTTCCCGTCCTTCGGCTACCTGCAATTCGGGGTCAACCTGCTGCTCTTCCTGTCTTTGTGCCCCAGCACCTGCTCACGGCCAACACTCCACCCAAAGCAGACAACATAGACACCAGCCAGGCACCTAGACACCAGCCTGGGTGGCTAGACACCAGACTGGGAGGCCTGGGGGGGGTTAGACACCTGACTGACTGCTGCGCAGACAAGTAGCAGGAAAACTTGCCAGTCAGTGCTCCAAATGACAAGCGATATGGTAAATTTTAGTTGGTTGGACTCCAGCGTTACCCCCACACACACTCTCGGATCCCCAAGCCTTGGCTCTTATTAACCTGTGCCTATTCCTCTCCAGAATTAGAATGGCAGGATGCGTCCCTCCAGGAAAAGGGTGAATGTGCCATTCTAACACACAGGAATTTCCATGTGCGAGAGGCATACCGGGAACTCTTAAGCACCATCACCGTGTTTAAGAGTATCTGATTTATGGAGTCCTGTAGCTCAGTGGTTAGAGCACTCGCCTTGCAAGCGAGTCACCTGGGTTCAATTCCCGGCAGGGCGAAAGCTTGGGCAAGTTTCCTTACTCCACGCCCCTAATGATAATCCCTCCAAAACAAAAATCAAAAATAAATTGGTAATTTTCAATCCACGACTGTTTGTGGGACACTGTTGTCCGCAATTGGCTGCTGCATTTCGCCCACAAATGTACGGTCAATTCACTTTACAGTCTATTCTGTGAATCGCTTTGAGACGTCGAGAAGACATGAAGAGCGCTATATCAAATGCAAGGATTATTATTATTATTTGGAACGCTGAAGCACGATGGGGATTCTGCAGGTGCCAGATACCCGGCTGACCAAAAAACTATATTCTATACACTGTGTGGCCAGGCAGACGATCATGTACTGTATTATTGATGATCTTCCAGTCCAGTTGTGCCTTACATTCTGTGCTACTGAGTGTCATTCGCAGAGACAAGGTTCGACCAGAGATTAATCTCTGCTCTGTCTCTACCTGTGACACGGTAAGAGTTTACACTCTATCATTTCAGATACTCAAATTTATATCTGATTAAATGCAATAGGTATATTTTTTCAGGTTTTCTGTGTGTGAGTTTTTTCTGTGTGTGTGTGTTTGTTTCTCTCTCCTCCTGAAGGTGCTAATTGAATACCACATACAGTAACACACATCCACTCAAGTTATGACACACACACAGTGACATGCACCTGGGCTCTGGCACAAGTGAGCTGTCGCTGTGTTAACTGCAAGTAACTAACAGAAAAATAGAAGTAACCAAATTTGTGATGTTGATAAAGCGCCTGTGGTCGGTCGGTGCTTGGCTGCTGTTTGTACAACAGCCCGAAGCTTCAACACTCTCAGCTTCAAACCTTCAGCAACAACGACATTACATTTATAGAGCGGCTTTCATGTCGGGAAGACGTCCCAAGGCGCTGGACAGTCAAGGGTCAGGACCCAAGCATGGGGGAGGGGTGGGGGCAGGGGGGAGGGAAGGCAGAGAGGGGGGAGGGAAGGCAGAGAGGTGGGAGGGCGACCGAAGACGCCATTCAGTGACCGTGTTTGGGGTCAGCCCCCGAACCTCAGCCACTCAATTCACAACAAGCACGGAATCATTGTATTGAAAAAGAGACTTTTAATAAATATGCAAACTTAAGACTATAAAATAATTTAAATGTCAATAACAGCTGAAGCAGAAAGCCAGAGTTCTGAGATTCCGCAATAGATAAATAAATAGAGATCAGGGGCTGCCCCCGGCTCCCGGCATAGCAGAGTGGGGGAGACCAGCTCGTCGCTGTGGCCGCAATTACTCCATCGATCTCCGCCCGGGGTCCCTTGGTCCAAACTCGTCGAGAGATTCTTCCTCAATAGAAGCAGTGGTCCTGTAAAGAGAGATAGACCATCAGTTCCCCCATCATCACCTACACGGTCACTACACTTGACACTGACTCCTGTGCTGTGACACATTCCCTCCTGACGTGAAAGGTGCGGCGTGAAGCTCTCACTCTCACGGATCAGCTCCAGTGCCTGGGGCTGTCACAGGTCACGCGTTGCGCGCCCCCAAGTTGGCAATCGGCAACTGTTTTTTTTGGGGGGGGTGCGATTTATTGTTGGGGTGTGAGTCTGTCTGGCTCTCACCCCCCCCCCCCCGTGAGAGTGGGAACCGACAGCCAGCGCCTGGCCACCCGACAAATATTAACACGTGGGGAATAAGACAACACGTTTCTGAACAGATCAGACTACAAACTAACTCAAACATTCTGGGTTAAAATGTTGGGGGGGAGGTTCAGGGCGCCCTCCCCAGCCGCTCGGTGTGTGTGTGTGTGTGGGAGGGGGGTAGGCACTGACCTGGTGTTGGGGTGTGTTGGGGTGTGTGTTGGGGTGGGGGGGGGGGGGGGGGTAGGCACTGACCTGGTGTTGGGGTGTGTTGGGGTGTGTGTTGGGGTGGGGGGGGGTAGGCACTGACCTGGTGTTGGGGTGTGTGTGTTGGGGTGGGGGGGGGGGCACTGACCTGGTTTTGGGGGGTGTGTTGGGGTGTGGGGGGGGTACTGACCTGGTGTGTGGGGGTGTGGGGGGCTCAGGGCGCCCGCCCCGGCCTCTCGGTGTGTGTGGGTGTGTGGGTGGGGGTGTGTGTTGGGGTGTGGGGGGGTACTGACCTGGTGTTGGGGTGTGTGGGGGTGTGTGTTGGGGTGTGTGTGTGTGTGTGGGTGGGTACTGACCTGGTGTTGGTGTGTGGGTGTGTGTGTGGGTGGGGGGGGGGGGTGTGTGGGGGTGTGTGTGGGGGGGTGTGGGGGGGTGTGGGGGGGGGGTACTGACCTGGTGTTGGGGTGTGGGGGGGTCAGGGCGCCCTCCCGGGCCGCTCGGTGTGTGTGGGGGTGTGTGTGTGTGGGGTGTGTGTGTGTGGGGGTGTGTGTGGGTGTGTGTGTGGGTGTGTGTGTGTGTGTGTGGGTGTGTGTGTGGGTGTGTGGGGGGGTACTGACCTGGTGTGGGGGGGTCAGGGCGCCCTCCCGGGCCGCTCGGTGTGTGTGTGTGTGTGGGTGTGTGTGTGGGTGTGTGGGGGGGGTACTGACCTGGTGTGGGGGTGGGGGGGGGTCAGGGCGCCCTCCCGGGCCGCTCGGTGTGTGTGTGTGTGTGGGGGTGTGTGTGGGTGTGTGGGGGTGTGTGTGGGTGTGTGTGGGGGTGTGTGTGGGTGTGTGTGTGGGTGTGTGTGTGTGTGTGTGTGTGTGTGTGGGGGTGTGTGGGGGTGTGTGTGGGTGTGTGTGTGGGTGTGTGGGTGTGTGGGGGGGGTACTGACCTGGTGTTGGGGTGTGGGGGTGTGTGTGTGTGTGTGTGGGGGTGTGTGTGGGGGTGTGTGTGTGTGTGTGTGTGTGTGTGGGTGGGTGTGGGTGTGGTGTGTGTGGGTGGGTGTGTGTGTGGGTGTGTGTGGGTGTGTGTGTGGGTGTGTGTGTGTGTGTGTGTGTGTGTGGGTGTGTGTGTGTGGGTGTGTGGGGGGGTACTGACCTGGTGTGGGGGTGTGGGGGGGTCAGGGCGCCCTCCCGGGCCGCTCGGTGTGTGTGTGGGTGTGTGTGTGTGTGTGGGGGGGGGTGTGTGTGGGTGTGTGTGTGGGTGTGTGGGGGGGTACTGACCTGGTGTGGGGGGTGTGGGGGTGTCAGGGCGCCCTCCCGGGCCGCTCGGTGTGTGTGTGGGTGTGTGGGTGTGTGGGGGGGGTACTGACCTGGTGTGGGGGTGGGGGGGGGTCAGGGCGCCCTCCCGGGCCGCTCGGGTTGGCCGCTGTGTTGGAGTTGGAAGCCCTGCACCGCGCGGCGGTTTTTGCTGTCGATCAGCGCGAGAGTGATCGCTGCGCTCCAACTGCTGTCGGCGGCGCAGCGGAAATCGGTCTCTTTGCTGTCGGTGGTGACGATGGTGAAGTACGTGAACCTTCCGCCGCGCTCCACACACTCCACACTACTGATGTCCCGCAGCGGCAGCTCCTTGGCTCGGGCTCGGGCTCGGGCTCGGCGCGGGGACAGGCGCAGACTGTCGCGGGTCAACTGGCACCAGCGGCGGCCCCACAGCTGGAACAGGTGCTCACTGCGCTTCTCCAACTCCCCCTCCATCAGCAGCTCCGGCTCCACACCCGCACTCACCCCCATCGGCTCAGCGTGAGAGAGTGTGTGTGCGGCTCTGTGTCTGTGTGTGTGTGTGTGTGTGCGGCACTGCTCTGTGTGTGTGCGGCACTGCTCTGTGTGTGTGCGGCACTGCTCTGTGTGTGTGTGCGGCACTGCTCTGTGTCTGTGCGGCACCGCTCTGTGTCTGTGCGGCACTGCTCTGTGTGTGTGCGGCACTGCTCTGTGTGTGTGTGCGGCACTGTGTGTGTGTGGCACTGCGCTGTGCGGCACTGCTCTGTGTGTGTGCGGCGACTGTTCTGTGCGGCACTGCTGTGTGTGTGTGCGGCGACTGTGTGTGTGTGTGTGTGTGTGTGCGGCGCCTCCCTGCTCTGTGCCGCTCTGTGAACGCCACTCGTGTCCGGACTCGCCCGCCCCGAGGGGAGAGGCTCCGGGAAATCCACACTGACTCACAGCCCCCGGGGGGGGGGGGGGGGGGTCGGGGGTGTTGGTTGACTTTTTCTTTTTCTCTTTCCTTTTCTCTTTCCTTTTCTTTCTTTCTCTCTTTCTCTCTGTCATCCTCTTTCCTTTCTGTCTGTCTGTGCCTTTTTCTTTCTTTTTCTCTCTCTCTGTCATCCTCTTTCCTTTCTGTCTGTCTGTGCCTTTTTCTTTCTTTCTCTCTTTCTCTCTCTCTGTCATCCTCTTTCCTTCTGTCTGTCTGTGCCTTTTTTTTTCTTTCTCTCTGTCATCCTCTTTCCTTTCTGTCTGTCTGTGCCTTTTTCTTTCTTTCTCTCTTTCTCTCTCTCTCTCTGTCATCCTCTTTCCTTTCTGTCTGTCTGTGCCTTTTTCTTTCTCTCTCTCTCTTTCATTCATGGGATTGTCACGTTCCTGGGAATCTTTTGGAAAAACGGCCTTTTTTTTTTGGTGAAGTGGGATTTTTTTAGTCCGATGAAATCCAGAGAGTTTCTCCCGGTGTCCTTCCAACACTGCCCCGATAAATGATTCACCCACTTCATGGCAGTTTGCGGAAAGTCGCTGTGTGCAGTTTGGTTGCCGTGTTTGCCCACAAAATACAGTCACTACACTTCACAATAAATCCTCAGAAGAGCTTTGAAACGTCTCAATGTTATAAGCGCTGCATCGAATATGATGATTATTATGTATTAAAGTCACCCGATCTAATACGGATCTCAAGGTGTGTGTGTGGGGAGGGGGACACCAGCTGTGACCATTGCAACCTCTGACCCTGAGACAAGAGTGTGAGCAACTGTGAGTGTGGGTAAGCGTGTGAGTAAGTGAGTCTGTGTGTGAGCGAGTGAATGAGGGAGGGAGGGAGGGAGTATGTAAGAGAGAAGGAGAGGTTCCGGTGAGGGCAATGTGTGGAATCCAGGGAGGGTTGCGGTGAGGTGGTTGTCTCGGCCTCTGACGCAATTTGAAAGATAAACCTCACTTCCTGGAATAGACGATGACGGACGATTCCAGCCAACTCTGCAGGAATCCCCAGAGCAGCCCCGCAATGTCTCAACACTGCCCGTTGTGTGTGTTGGGTGGGGGGGCTGTAAAATCACTGCCCTGTATGAGGGGGCTGTATAAACCCTCGCTGTATGACGGGGGTTGTGTAAACACTACCCAGTGTGACGGGGGCTGTATAAATGGTGTAAAGTTAAGTTGTTAATTGAGGATTGGGGTCAGGCTCACTGTCACTGCCTTTCACACCAGGGTGGGGTAGTGGAGGGGGAACCAGGAACGTGGCATTCATCAGCCCCAAACTGTGTGAGATGGGAGCCGGGCTACTCAGCACCGATCACTGTCTGTGTGGCACACAAGCCCTTTCGTAGGCGTCTCAGAGTTGGTGGGAACAAAGCAATGACACCGGGTTAGTTATTACCCTGAACGTCACATTCCCCCAGCATTAGGTAATGAGCCCCTTCAGACGCCGGGACCAGATCTGTGAGCTTCTGAATAGGGACCTTTGTGACCCAAACGGGCTCCCCATTCACAACCACTAACCCAGTACAGGACGTGGCTTTTCTTGTAGTGAACGGCAGTGAATAAGCCCTGTGTTTGCCGACACCCACTCAAAACAGCCTCAAGAGTTCAAATTCCATCCAATCGTACACTTTATAAACCCGTCCCATCTTAGAATTGGTGAAAAGTCATCTTAATCTGGAGGCCAGTCATTTCAGCTGTTAAAAGCTTATATTAATAATCCTTACATTTAATATTGCACCTTATCACATCTCAAAGCACTTTGCAGAATATACTGTAAAGTGAATTGACTGTATATTTTGTGGGCAAAAAGCTTCCGAGGCTGAATTTAAGCAATTTGCACAATTTTGCCTCTCCAACACAATGACCGTCTGCCTCTCTAAGTCCTGCCAATCAGCCAGGCTCGTCTGGGCCATTATCAGCAGTGTCCTGGAGTAGCGAGGACCCGCCTAGCTCAGGAATTGGATGAGAAACCGTCACAGAATCAGCCTCAGATGTGCTCTGTTCTTGTCCTTCCTTCACTGTACATTCAAGAAATGGCTAGATTGCTCTAACCACTGAGCTACAGGACTCCAATGTCTTCTGTTTGTACTGTGCGCGCTGGTTGTGTGACTATGGGTCCTCCGATCTGATTCACAAGATGCTGGAATGTAAAATGAATGTTTACTGTTTATCTGGGGGATCATTGTCCAGGACACAAAAACTCCCTTCTCTTTCCCAACAGTGCCCATACCTGAGCAGCTGAACAAGCAGACACGACCACAGTTTAATGTCTCATTTGAAGGACAGCACCTTTGACAGTGCAGCACTTTGCTGGAGTATCAGCCTGGACTGTGAGCTCAAAGTTCCCAGCATTGAGATTCAAAGATGAGTGCTACCAGCTGAGCCAGGCTGACACCTTTCACGTCGGGAGGACGTCCCAAGGCGCTGTACAGTTGGGTCAGGACCCGAGCAGGGGGGAAATGGTCAGGGTGAGGGGAGGGAGCGAGGAAGGGTAGAGTCGAGAGGGGAGCTGAAGGCACAGTCAAAGAGGGTATGGGCGGGTAGGTAGGGGGATAGTAGGTCAGAGAGGTAGGAGGGAGCGAGGCCGTGAATGGCCTTGTAGGTGAGGATGAGGATCTTGAATTCGAACACCACACTCAGCCGTTGGTGGCGATAAGAGAGCGACCAAAACAAAACCAACTTCACATCTTAATGTTTGCACAACTTTATTAGAATACTCTGGCTATTCTGTACAAATTGAAAACAGCATATTAAGATACATTACAACTGTGTAGAACGAGATAAGGCTGGAGCACTGGCTATGCCTGGACACAGTGCGGTGTGCTGGACACTCACAGTTAATACAAATAAAAAAAAATAGAGATCTGTGTTAACGATTTTACTTCCACAAGACACCGACAATGCCTGTCACAGAGCCTTGGCGTGCATCCTCTGTGAGGTGGCGTGGTCGTGCCCAGGTCCAGGGCGGGTGGCAGCTCTCATGCCTCCCTGGTGGCTTTATTGAACGATCTGTTTTGGACCTAAAATGGTGCAATCTGTCTGATCTGAACAACAAAGCTTTTTCAAGTTACATTCATGACTATAAATAGGAGTCTGAATGGCGAAGGAAGGGCTGTAATCGAAGAGGCTGCTGACACGGGCAGCACAGGAGAGATGCACCTCAAGACTCCATGAAAAACCACTGCCCGCAACATGGAGCAGAACTGCCCTGTTTGCAAGTGACAAGCGCATTTAACACTCACTACATTTCACACCGCGTTCCTTTGGTCGCAGAGTGCACGCTCCATGACTTTAGTCTCAAACTTGTTATTAAAGTAGAGAATCGTTGCTGTACAAGCCAAAAAAAGTAGGAAAAAAATTGAAGTTAAAGAGCAACCCATGCATTTTAACATAGTGTTTAGCTTAATAACATTGTGCTGCAGTCGGGGAGGGTGCCCTGATCTGCAGGGTAATTCGATACACTTCACCGTAGGCATCACTCTCTAGGCAATGGCGTTTCCTCAGGACCACTCACTGTTGCTTGCACTCAGCAGGCTGGTTGGGCTCTTTCTGCAAAGAGAGAATCAAATCAGTCAGCAAATGTATCTCACTCACTGTGCTGTGTCAGCCCAGCCGAAGACAGTGAGACTCCTGCAGACTGAGCCGTGGTACAACCCGCAGATATTCAGCTCCTCGGGTTTAGCGGTGAGGTGTTGGTGAGAATGGCCACGACATTGCCACGCAATGGGTCCCAATCCCAGAACACTTCAACATGCCTAATCCACACGGGGGATAACAACAACAATCCTTGCATTTGATACAGCACCTCATCATATCGTTGAGACATCTCAAAGCGCTTCACAGGATACACTATAAAGTATAGTGACTGTGTATTTTGTGGGCGAAATACAGCAGCCAGTTTCACACAGCAGGTAATCCCACAAACAGTCCTGGAGTGAATGACCAATTTGATTGTTGGCCAAGACACTGGGAGAGAGAAACTACTTTCTGTTTTCAAATAGTACCGTGGGATCTTTAACGTCCTCCTGACCAGGCAGACGAAACGTCTCAACCGAAGGAATTCACCTCTGACATTGCACCCCACGCTGCAGTAGTGTCAGCCCAGACTACGCGATTCCAAGTTTTGACATGGAGCTTAAACCACAATCTTCTGACTCAGAGGTGAGAGTGCCTCAGAGGCTGACACACAAGCTGCTTGATCCACACATTTACATCAGTAACCAGCTGGGAGCAACTCAGAGCCACACCATCCCGCCAGTCATACGGTGCAGCCTGACACTCAGCTCCTAATGAGCGACTTCCTCAAAGGGAAGGAAATTTGCAGCAAATCAAATCGACCTCCGACCCTGTTCCCCCATCGACACTGTCCCCACCCCCTGTGCCCCCTCAATCAAGAAGAGAACCAGAGTTGTCCTGGGCAGGTTATCCCAGAGTTAAGCGAAGCTACTGATAATGGGCAGATTTACGTTTTCCAGTGACTTTCACATTGGGTGGATAGTCCTGGCCAGCACCCAAGCTAGGGGTGGGAGGCGGAAAATGAAGACGCGGTCAAGGAGGAAAGCCTTGAGACGGACCTTGAAAGGCTGATGGTCAACAGTGGAGTGGGCAAGGTGGGGGAAATGAGGTAGTGGCGGAAGTGGGCAATATGACAGAGGTGGGGAAAGCTGAGTGGGTCAAAGCAGGAAAGTGGAGTTTAAAGGACAGTTCAGCACCAGGTCTGTGAGGTGGACTGCGAGACTGTGTACGATCTTAGCTGAGACAGCAACTGAGGCTACAACTGGTCTTAACGGCTATGGCCAGGCAGAGCTTGAATCAGCAAGGATGAAGGATGAATGCTTGTGTGAATGTGTTTTGGGGGGGGGGTGGGGGGGGGGGGGGCGCATTGCTGACATTGGTGAGGAAAGGTCAGGTTCAGCTGAGATGCTCCCAATGCACTTCTTTGCTCGACTCTCTAGTAATGTTCCAGGGTAGCTCAGGTCACAAAACTTTGCAAAGATATGGGATCAAGTCTGGGCTCTTCAGAGTCCTTACAGCTCAGCTGCTCACTGAGCCTTTGGCCTGCTCCTCAGCTCTCGGTCCAACCTCAGCCTGAAGCCAAGTGTATTCTCACCGAAACAGTGGAGAGTTGATGACGAGTTAGTTGCAGCAACATTCGAAGGCTAAAATGACCAGCCCCCAAACAAGTGCCAGATCTGCTATAATCCTTTCAAGGTGCTCCTCGCACTGTTGACGGGAGGATTGTCAGAGGGTTGGAAGTGATACAGGATTGTGAGCTCATTTGTTTTGGTCAGTCAATTCACAAACATGAAGGATACAGGCAGATGTTTGGCTACAAGTCAGCGATCTCCGACACATTACACCATGTGAAGGGTGCTATATAAATGCAAGTTGTTATACATTGGTAAACCTGTTCAGGTCAGAGCATATTGAAGCTGTACAGTGTTCTGGTCAGGCTGAGTGAATGAGAACAATGAGGCCAGTTGGTAGAGCTGGAGAGATGAGGAATAAACAGATAAGATAGGAGCTCTTCAGTCTCAGATATCTCAGCAGGGACAATATCTGCACTCATTGGGACCAGGAAGCAGAGCAGATAACAACAACTTGCATTTATATAGCGCTCTCCACCCCGGGCAGCATCCCAGAGCGCTTAAAATCAGCGTGTCTGGGTGTACCCTTCTGTGTGTCTCTGTGGTCTGTGTGGGTGTGTGTCTGTTTCTGTACTTACCTGATCAAATCTCTCCACCTCACATTACTCAGGTAAAATCACAAACTTAGATGCATCTAAAAATAGTTGACACTGCAGCCAGACTTTACTTCAAGGACATATAGACATGCGGACAGTCAGAGTGTGGTTAAGCAGTGTTCTACCATATATAAGGGGTGGGACAAGAGGGCACAGGTATTAGGGATGAGGGCACAAGTTTAAGTCAGTGACCAGAAAGTATTTTATACAGAGGGTAATCAATGGCTGGAGCGGATTCCCAGGGAGCGTGGTAGAGGCACTGATTTGAGAAACGGATGAAGTAATGGGAAGACAGTAGCACTGGTATCTTAGAAGAATGAGGTCTAATGGACTAATAAGCTGTCTGTGCCATGGTCCACAATTCAAGGCATATCCAATTCCAATCTTGCTGAGCAGAGCTTTCAATGTTCACACAGATAGATGTACACACCTCACTCTGTAAATGACATGGAAAAAATTGAGTGATGCCCAATGCTTGGCATCTGCACACCTACAACAACAACAAGATTCCATTTATTGAGCGCCTTTCACGTCGGGGGGACGTCCCAAGGCGCTGTACAGTTGGGCAGGACCCGAGCATTGGGGGGGAAATGGTGAGGGGAGGGAAGGGGCGAGGAGGGGGTAGAGAGTCGAGAGGAGAGCTGAAGGCACGGTCAAAGAGAAAGGTCTTGAGACCGGCCTTGAAGGAGGAAAGGGAGGAGGCGGCGAAGGCACTGGGGGATAGAGTTCCAGAGCCTAGGGGCTGAGAGGCTGAAGGCCCGGCCACCGATAGTAGGGCGGTTGGGGCGGGGGATGTGGAGCAGACCGGAGCCAGAGGAACGGAGGGTACGGGCAGGTAGGTAGGGGATAGTAGGTCGGAGAGGTAGGAGGGAGCGAGGCCGTGAATGGCCTTGTAGGTGAGGGTGAGGATCTTGAATTCGATCCTCTGGGGGATGGGGAGCCAGTGGAGGCGAGCGAGGGTGGGAGTGATGTGTTCCCGAAGCCTGGTGCGGGACAGTACACGAGCTGCAGAGTTCTGAATGACCTGCAGCTTGTGGAGGGAGGTGCCGGGAAGGCCGGCGAGGAGAGAGTTCCCATAGTCCAGCCTTGAGGTGATAAAGGCGTGGACCAGAGTTTCAGCAGCGTGAGGGGTGAGGTAGTGCCGTAGTCTGGCGACATTCCGGAGGTGATGGAAGGCGGTGCCAGTTGTGGCGTGGATATGGGGGAGAAAGGACAGCGCAGGGTCGAACAGAACGCCGAGGTTCCTGATGGCTTTGAGAGGTGGAGAGTGCAGCCTTGGATGTTGATGCTGTCAGCGCCTGAGGTGCGGAGGCGCTGACGTGAGCCAATCAGGAGGGCCTCAGTTTTGCGCACATTGAGCTGAAGAACGTTGTCTCTCATCCAGGACTCGATGTCGGACAGACAGCTGTCAGGACATCGGTGGTCGTGGAGTTGAGGGTAGAGGAGGAAAGGTAGAGTTGGGTGTCATCCGCATACATGTGGAAGTTAACCCCATGTCTGCGGATGATGTCACCAAGGGGGACCTAGTCCACAAATTGAAACCAAGTTCCACATTTTAAAAGGTAGTTTAGATTGGAGACTAGTATAGTCTAGTCCTGTCATGGGTGATTTTCATGCAGCCCAGATTGTGCAGTGCAGAGATTACCCAAGGAGGAAATGTCCTGAAAAGGTGCCCTTTTGGAATAAATAAAGCAAGACAAGTGAAGTTCAGTGAAGCACAGGTCAGTGTTCGAGTAGAGAAAGCAGCCCCTAGCTGTGGCTCAGCTTTGATCACCTCAGTTATGGGGTCTTGCGGAGAGCAACATTGCTGAACCAACTTGATTTTTTTTAAAAAAAGCAATTCACTCAGAAAGTGAGCTTCAATTTGAATAGGTCTGACAGCAACATTCAGACTTTGTGGGGGACTGGAGTAAATGTTAGTCTTTTCCACCAGCTCAATCCTGGATTGATTTGATTGAATGGCATTCAATATCAGTAACGATGGAAAGCTTGTGAAAAGCACTAAGCAAACAGCAGCGAACAGCCAGGCTGCAATGTCTTGGATAGGCAACAGGGGCTCGAGACACCTTGGAATTCTAAACCAGATGAAAAATCAAATTGGTTGAGCCTTGAACTCGGTTGTGAGGGAACAAAGGCAGAAAAAGAGCAAGATTAAAGCAAGAGGGCAGCAAGAACATGAGAAATTCCCTTACCTAGAAACGTACAATTGTTTATGAATTACACCTAAGCAGGGAAAATTCAGAACAAAAAAAGTCAACATTAATGACAGTGAAATAAGAGAACCGGGACTAGGCAAACAAGTTACGCGATCAAGCACTAATGGGCTCTGGTAATACCAGGGCCAAGGGGAGACTCCCACAGGGTGTGGAGGCTTGGCTCAGGTGGTAGCACTCTTGTCTCTGGGTCAGGAAGTTTAGGCTTCAGCCCCACGGCGGGACTTGAACTCAATCTTGCCTGACTCTCCAGTGCAGGACAGGGGACACTGTAGCAGAGATTGTCACTCAGACCAGACATTAAACTGAAGCCGCCACCCATTTGCAGGTCATTAATGAAAAAAGAGTAGGGAGTATTCCCTGGTGACACAGCCAACGATCCTCTAAAATAATTGGTCGTTCACTTCGTGGCTGGTAGTGAGACTTGGCTATGCGCAACATCGGTCTACAAAAACAGTCACTACATACGACAGTAACTAATGTGAAGCACTTTGAGACAATGGCACAGTGGACAACAAAAGTATAAGCCCTTATTTTCTCGAGATTTCCAACCAAATTCTCTATACTGGAATCAGCATGGAATACTTGGGAGGAAAGAATCAACTTCGCAATACAGCAAGCGAGTGCATCGTCAAATAAAACATGAAAATGATTTCAGTTGGTGGTTTAATACTGTATCCACACTCACTGTGAAGGCCTTCAGTAACCCAGGCCAACACAGCACACTCTTTAGATGATGCAAAAGCAGAACTATTTTAGTTGGCACACAGTCCAGGATGGCATGGGGCATGGTGAAAGCCAGCAGCACAACCTTGCAGAAAAAATTAACAAGATTTCCACAGGTAATGATGTGGTCTCAGTGGCGAGACTCACGGCCATCACAGGGTGTTTATTGTGAGGAATTGCACAGATAGCAACGGCACCAATCGGATATCTGAATAGACGCTGCAAAGGAAACTAGTGCCAATGGCACCTGGGGCAGATTGCTCCCTTTTGAAAGTCGGAACTCAGCAGGGAAAGTAAGCTGTGGAGAACCATTTGGCCCAACTGCCCCCCATACTGGAGCGAGCTGCTCTGATCCTGGCTCATATATTAATCCCTTCACACAATATAACTACTATTTCACCCGTGAAAACAGCCTGATCGATAACTCGGAGCTCCTCAGTACAGATGTTCTATGTAGGGAATCATTTATGGACAAACTGGGCCAATTGAATCAAGAGATTTGGTAAAAACTAAAAGGAGAAAGAGTTTGGAGCACGCAATTGCATTACAGTAGAAAGCTCAGGTGTGGATTTTGCACACTGTCCACATAGTGCTGAAATTCCTATGACCTAGCATTCCCTCGGATAAATCAAACCACTTTGTAAGGAAGGTAGCAAAAGACGACTGACTGATCCTTCAGTCAGTCAGTCAGTTTCACAGAATAGAGCGATCTCCATTAGCTAGACTCTGGCTGCTCAGTCCTCTCATGTTAAGCTCTCTGACATGTTAAGCCCCACACAGACGGAGGGTGAATATCTGGACACTACCTAGGAAACCAACTTCACTAACTTTCAAATACAATATTTATTAAATCAAAATATTTAATTTACAGAAGAGTGGCCAATGCTGAAAATTCACTTTGTATATTTCATTTTTTTAAAAAAACCAACAATTTGTCAAACAAACTGGTACGATAAATGCCAGTGATTGGGGTAACTCGGGAGCATTGGGATATGGGCGACAGCACAGAAAGTACGTAAGGACCACAAGTGAGCCTGTTTGTTAAACCCATTCCCCATTTCAATAGAAACTCACTTTGGGATCCGTGTCAGCTTCATCCTCTTCATCCCCGTCGTCTTCACCATCATCCTGTTAACAGTACATCACAGATCAACACAGTGAATCAGCATCACTCACCATCTACTGAAGTCAGGTAAAGAGACAGTATGGCTGGCCACTGTACTGAAAAACATTCCTTGCCTCCAACACACGGCAGCAGAGGCAGAACAAGAGCCAGGTCAGGTCTTTATCGGAGACTACAGAAGCCACAATTTACTGATGTGCTATGGCAGAACATTCTGATTATCACTGTTCTAAGTTACCGCACTGCCACCTTTGCTAGAACAAAAGTCTAGTTTAGTACCTCCCAATCAGATTGAGAGGATACAGAGGAGGGCAACCAGAATGGTTGACGGCTGGAGGCACTGGACTATGAGGAGCAATTAAGTCAACTGGGCATGTTCACACTGTGAACAGAGAAGTTTGGGAGGTGATTTGATTACGGTCTTTAAGATTCTAAAGGGACTGGATAATGTAGACCATGATAAACTGTTTTATCTTGTACTGAAGAGTAGAACCAGAGGTCACGATTGTGGATTGAATGGGGTTAAATTCAGAACAAATCTGCTGAAACACTACTTCAGTGAGCGAGTATCATGGAGCAGGTTCCCTGGGGAGACGGTAGAAGCAGAAAGTGTTGATTCTTTCAAGAACAAATTAGATAGATTTCCTTTAGAAAATAATATTTCAGGATACAGTATATAGTTTGGAACATGATGTGTGCATGCAACTGCCAGGATGGCGGATTATTTTGATCTTAAGTGGAGGTGGTGGGACTGGGAGGATTGGAACCACTAACAGGGACTCTTCACACAATGAGGTAACAGGACCAGGGTGAAGAGGAGCTCTGAACTGATCATCTCAACATGGGAACAGTGAGACCCCACAAGGGCTAAAGGCACAGTTTTGGTTAGTACAAGTCTGGGCACCAAACACTTCCATGCAAAGCTGTGAACAGAAAGCTACAGCTACAACGTCAGAGAAACCAGCGTGACTCAACAAACATTTCCTTACCTCGTCTTCACCTTCCTCATCCTCGTCCGCTTCATACTGGAAGAGAGATGGAAATGGTGAGAATATTCCCATGAAATCCCAGGACATTTTCATACAATGAGAATCGATCGTGAAGTGGCAGGACATTCAGAGTTCACATATTTAGTACACGGGATTAACAGGTCAACACCAATTCATCGAGCTTCCCGATTGCCTCATCGGCCTTGGCCTTTGACAGATTTCTCTGAGAAGCTACAAAGACGTTCACTCGGTTAGGCATGCACTAGTTGGGCCGAATGGCAAGTTTCCATTCTGTATCATTCCATATTCAAGGGGATTAGTTATGATTAGATGCTGTGTAGCCTCGGGTTACATTCCTTACAGCAGAGGTAGTTAATGAATGACTTGACTGAAACAATTAAAATTGCGAAAACAATTGACAAGATTATAATAACAATCCTTGCATTTGATACTGCAATTTATCATGTCGAAACATCTCAAAAGTTCTTCACAGGATTTACTGTAAAGTGGAGTAACTATTTTTTAGGCCAACATAGAAGTCAATTTGGACATAGCAATATACCACAAACAGCCATGAAGTGAATGATCAACTTTATGTGGGGATTGGAGGCTAAGACACCAGGAGAAAGTCCAGCAGACAGGATCTTGATTCAAAGAATGATTAGACAGTGGGCCACTCATCCCTCTGGCACAGGGAATTAATACAAGGGCAGAGCTTTAAAATCAAGAGCCAAGACAGTTCAGTTACTAAGGTCAGGAAGCAAGCCGTACACAGAGGGCTCTGCCCCAGAGTAGTAGAGGTGGAATCAATCGTGATGTTCATTTAATTTGACAGATATTTGGAGATATTAAGCGCCTTCCGATATCCTTCCAACATGAAAGCGAGTATATAAATAAACTGGTATTGTATTAAAGACCACTGTGAAAGGGCGAGGCATTGGGATCTGCCAAGATCGGAAACTTGTTGAACAGGTTGGATGACTTTTGATTCCCTATGCACCTACAGATGGCAGGAGTCCACATTCCAAACAGCCTCCATTTCTAACCGTCCTGAGCTTTAAACTTAAACAAATAACAGTCCCATCAGAGCTTCATAATCTTGAGGAACTCCATCAGGTCTCCCCTTAACCCTCTCAGCTCCAGTGAAAAAAAAGTATTTTTCATAACTGAAAGCTTTTATTCCTGGTAATGTCCTAGTGACTCTATTTTCTATTATTTTATTCCTGAAAAGGGACACACAAAACAAAATTAGACCAACTGTGGCCTACCAATACCCAGCATTGAATATAATGGCAGCCAATTTGTGTACATCAGTGACTCATAAATAGCCATGAAATTAATTATCAATTGTATCTGGGGGATTGTCGTCTAAGACACTGGAAGAAACTCATTTCTCTTTTCTAATACTGTAGGATCTTTAATATCTACCTAAACATGGCAGACGGACCTTTGTTTAATGTCTCACCTGAAGAACGGCACTTCTGACAATCTAGCATACCCCCAGCAATGCACTGGAGTGTCAGCCTAGACTGGGAGCTCAAAGTCCATGAAGTGGGGCTTGAAATAACCCAGTTCCAGCAACTAAAGGGTGTTATCAGCTCTGAGCACCACAATGAGCTTGATCCCCAAAAAATGAGCAGATCTGTGGCGCCGGTGATAAGATTTGATTGAGCAATCCTAAGTGTAAAGGGCAGGGCAATGACACGTACATTACACTGCAATGGCACCTTTCTTTCCTTAAAACAGTAACACCCAAGCATAGTTCAAAGTCCCAAGATTTGCAACAGCCCCTCTGAGGTATTTATGGCAGTTATTCAAAGAGAACCTTTAACTCTTCTTTAGGCTAGGCGTTTGTCTCTGAAGGAAGCCTACCCCTGGAGGTAGCTCAGTGTAAAATGAACAGCTGTCCACGACAGAACTTCAGCAGCCTTGCTCAGTTCTAACAAAGTCACTGCTCCGGCACTGTGACTATGCTGTTGGAATCGGGGTGGGGGGGAAAATCTCCATGGATTCTCGAGTCTGCTGGAAATTGGTGGCAGTTTCAAGCTCTGGCATTAATTAGTTCATTGTGGCATCTCCACTGTCCAAATAGCAGAGGCTGAACTGTGAAACGTGTTGGGAGCAAGTGACGCATCCCACGGCTTCTGCTGCTATTTGGGCAGATTTCACAGAACCTTTTGAATAACAATGAGCACAAATGAAAGAACATCTCGAAGATGTGAAGTTGTTGGTGTGGAGGAAACGCTGCTACCCTCCATAGGGCTGAAGGCAATGTAGAAGCAGAGTTCGGAGTGCGAAAACACTCCACAATTCAGCTCTTGAAAGCTGCTGGGTAGAAGCAGCATTCAAACAGCTCCCAGAGTGGTCAGTGTGTGTCACCATGGCCAGTGCACACACTCATTCTAAGCCACCTACAAGAGGAATGTCCAACTGTACACTGCCTCAGGTTATAGACGCTACACAGGATCGGTACAGGTAAGACAGCACCCCAACCGATTAAAGCCTGACTCTGAAAACATAACACCGTTTGGAAATGATGCGATGAAAGGACATAGCACAAGTAATTACCTGTAACTAGATGTGCAATTAAGCTCAACGTTCAATTAAGAGCTTTAAAGGTAAATCCAAATGCAATTCAGAGAATGCTGATCAAGGTACTTTAGTTCAAGGCTCACAAAGAATTCCTGGCATCTGCTAACAACTGCGGGCTAAAAGCAGCGTACCTCAGGCATCTAACAACTAACTCTCCTCCTCCGGGGCAGAGGTGGAAGTAAGGGAGAGAACAACGTAAGTTGGCTCCAAGGTGCCATTGCCTGGCAACGGGAGATAGGAATGGAGTTGATCTTGCAGTCCTGCAGCCTCCATTCAGTCACATTAAATTAAAGAGCTGAACATGCAGTACACACGGGCATTTCCCCCAAATAATCAACACAAGTCTATCCACTCCAGTGTCTGAGAAGCCCAAACAGACAAACACACACACAGCGATACATAAAGAGACAATCCTCCAGATAAATTAAGTCATTCACTTCATGGCTCTTTGTGGACATGCAAATCGGCTGCCACTTTCGCCTGTAAATACAGTCACAACACTTATAATAATCCTTGAATTTGATACAGCGTCTTAGCACGTTATTGAAACGTATCAAAGCATTTCACGGAATATACTGTAAAGTGAATTTACTATGTATTTTGTGGCCGAAAAACTTCACACTATACCCCATGAAACACTTTCAGATGCAATAAGGAGCTAAGGAGTCAAATAAAAGGATTATTTGACGACTGCTGACAGTGCCCTCCCCGGACAGACAAATAGTCCTGTCTGGTGGTTATCACAGAGTTTAGTAGAAATAGACACAATAATAATAATAATAATAATCCTTGCATTTGATATAGCGCTTTTCACGTCGGGAGGACGTCCCAAAGCGCTTCACAGAACACACTGTAAAGTGAATTGACTGTATATTTGTGGGCGAACGCGGTGAACATTATCCTCACTCCCAATGTGGTGAGAACCTGCCCTCATTGCTGGCTCGCTGCACCCTGCTATGACACAAAAGGAAAGCAAACAAAAATGTTTCAGCGTTGACCGGGCTGAGCTGTGAGTCAGCAGCAGTCCACAGTCTTGCTGTGCGTGATGTTGCACTGGAATGGAACCCGAGCAAGAAGAGACACGAGCCAGGTTACGAACAGTGCAGATCCCCGATTAATTCAATTACCTGGCACCAGCAGTCTGCTTCCCAGGGCAATATTCGGATTTATCAGGATGAAGTCACATCAGTAATAGATGTTGAGGTCACTCAGAATATTTGAGATTTAGCTGTGAAGGCCCCTGCTGCGTACAAAATGGCTGAAGTACCCCCCCCCCAGCCCCACCATGAGACAGTAACTATTATAAACTCAGACCGTACAATAGAAGTGTTTAAAAATGTTTAAGCTCAAATTGTCAGCCCATAGAGTGTCTCTTAGAAAGAAAGCCGTGTCCCATAACACTAGGACCATCCATTATCAGCTCACAGGGGCAGCGCGCACACAGTACACACACAGATTGACTCAGGGCAACACATACACACACGGGCAACACACACACACACACACACACACACAGAGGCAGTCTACACACACATACACACCTGATCTTCATGGAACTGATCCCCTCCCCACCCACCCCATACAAAACCATGAAAAAACACTAAAAACACTGGAAATGTACTCGTTTCACGTTGCTGCCCCCCATTTTCCAGTGCGTTTATGTGGGCGATGAAGTGTCACCTCTCCGGTCTGTGGGGCTGCACTCTGTGATGTTCTGTAAGATTCACAACACCCCGGAGTGCAGCCCCCATGCACACAGGCTGGAGAGACACACAGAAACACGCTGCTGTCACCAGCCTGCGTCACCACCTGCGCTGAAGTGGAACATCAAAAGGCTGTGTAACAAGTCACATAAGAGAAAAGATACTCACTTCCTCGTCATCATCAATGGCTTCTCCAGTGAAGTACAACACCGCTCGAGGGACTATCCGCTCACGGAAAAAGTGCCCAATTTCAAAATCTGTTGCTAAATTAAACTCGGAGTCTTCATCCTGGAGGAAGAGGAGAGCATTAGAACAAGACTGACATCTGTATCTGCTTCACAAACAAACTGCCAAGCCTCCATTACCAAGCTCACCAACTGAAGACAAGCTGAGTGCACAGGAGGCCACTGCCTCCATCCAATACTGCATAAAGGTTGCAAATATAAATCCTGTTTGAAATCTGTGTGCACGAGAATAAAACCATCAAGACTGAGAGGATTCATGAGGGAACATGTCACTGAGGAGCTAGTATGTGAAACCTCAAGCGCAGGGACCAGTAACTTTAGGGTAAGGACATTGTGCAACAGCTGAACTATTGTAGGGCTTTTCACTGCAAAAAATACACTCAGATAATCTTATAATCTTTATAATCTTCTTCAACTGAAGAAGAGTATATAACAAATTACATTTATACAGCGCCTTTCAGGATGACGTCCCAAGGTGTGGGACAGTCAGGGATATATGCACCCGAGCTGGTGGTTGGGATCAGGAAGGGTGGAGGGCGGGGAGGGTAGGGGTAGGAGGATGTATATACAGTTACGTTTAGGCAAAGTGACCTTTTACTGTATCTTATTGTTTAGCTTTGTTTCATCTGAGGGGATGATCCACAGCCACAAGGCCATCTCTTCCAGTCAGTGAAGGACATCTCCCCACAGCAAGTCAATCTACGAGCACTGAGGAGTGAAGCGTCTGCATGCAGTGGATTGGAATCTGGGGTGTGAATTTGGACGATGGAGAAACTGTCTGAATCGATGCCAACAATGTGCACAAAGAATGGAGAGTTCAAGGCAGGTCCTTCACGTTAAACCCTAAAACACAATCCTAGATTTCTCACCCAAAATGTGTCAGTCCTAAAATCAAATTACACTTGACTGAAGGGTTTTGACATTTGGACAATTTTCAAATGTAAGCTCCTTTACATTTTACATTGATGTCCACCAACACTGAATGCAGTCTCACTCCACTTTAACCCCGTGTAGTTTTCGTCCCTTGTATTGATCCACATGGGCTAACACCCTCGTACTAAACAAAAAGACTTCTGGCTTTCAATCCTTTGATTCTACTTATTTTGAAAACGTTGCCCCTTGTCCTGAAAAGTCATACATGAATAAATTAATCTGTGTCCAAATTTTCAAGAGGTCAGCTTGTTTGAGTCTGCTCCACGTTCTGGGATTAATCCAGAGTTCTCTCCGCTACCTGTTGTCACTCAACGCCCTCAGTGAAACCAGACAATCGCTGCCGCACACTCCCAGACTGTCTCCAGGTGATGGGACAATTAGAAAACCAACTCTTGCCTTGCACAGTTCCCATTAGCACCACATTACAATTCAGCGAGCTCAGGCTCGCTCCATGCTACATCGCCCTGCTCCAGGAGGTTATGCTATCGGATTGTTGAACAATGATCTTCTGGAGTGAAAAGAAATGTGTTCCCAAGGCTAAGCCTGTCAGGCTACGAGGCAACCTCCAGCGCAAAACTCAGTTGGGATTAATGTAGCACTGGAATGGAACCCGATGCCTGGAGATGAACAAGCAATAGGTTACGAACAGTGCAGAAGCAAATTCATGATAGTTTTCACGTAAGAGACGAGATGTGGGCATGTATACATAATTCCTATTCCGTACTTGAGAGATTTAAACTTAAATCAAATGTAAACCAGGTCAGACCCCACAGCCTGGGTTCCATAATTGCTTTTAAATGGTCAGTTCTGAATGTTTGGGAATGGTTTAATTATGGAAGAACGTACAGGTTCGGGAGAGATCACAGTGTTACACTGGGGGAAGGGAGAATGTTAAACCTACTGTTGAGCAAATAAAACTCGAACCAGGGAACTCAGTGAACGTTATACGTTCAATTTCAGTCAAGCTTTTGTCACAGTGCTGACCAAGATTGATTTACAAGGACAAATGGAGGAGGGAGCTTTGAAAGTATGTTGGAAATGTCCTTCTGACGTGAAAGGCGCTATACAAATGTAATTTGTTGTTGTGATAGATTATAAAAAGTAACAGCTATCTGTACAGGAGCAGTGGCACAACACCCACATGCCATCGTTAACAACTGTAAATGTTCAGATTTTCCTAATCTGAGGAAACCAATCTGGAGATTATAATTTACTAAAATCAAAGAGAGCAACACCAATAAAGATTGTCAGAACGGAAACAACTGTAAAGAGGTCCAAGAACTGATGGGCAAGCTCTTACAGATCTCACTGTTCAGATACCAATTCGAGCCAGGGTCCAAAGTCACTCGGCTTAAAGTAACACATTCCTTCTACACTAAGAAGTTACTGATTTAAACCAACGAAGCTCACATTAAGGGTTAAATAGCAATGGTGGACAATCAGTTTCCATTCAGTATGTTAGACTGCAGCGTGACAAAGTAAACGCAAGATTATTTAGCAAATGTGGGGAGTTCTAAATGTGTTTCAGGCTATTTTATAAAATTTTATACGGTATATAGCAGAAGCCTTCAGGATAACGACATGTGAGAAACTCTGCAGCTATTCTGAGTCAGAGTCTGATTAAATATTAAGCAACTTTCCTTTTATCCTGATAGTCAGCAGCAATTACAATTACAGAAATATCATTGCCTTCAGGTCACCAGGGAGACTGGGTGGACAAATAGTAGGACTCACGAAGGACACAAGGGCATTAATAGCATTCAGTTTAAGACCAACCATGAGCCACTCTCTCTCTCTCTACAATAAATTGCATTTACATAGCGCCTTTCATGTCGGGAGGATGCCCCAAGGCGCTCACTGTTAGACCAATCACTGGAGTTACTCTCTCTCTGTCGGTTAGGCCACCCACCAGAGCCCACCCCTCTCCTGAGATGGTTAGACGACCCGCTCCCTGAATGAGACATTTGCAAATGAAAAGCAGCATGTGCTGGACTATCCTAGTATCACAGTCGGTGCTGTGTGAACAAGGCTGGATCAATGCAACAAACGATCAGGGTGATGGATTTACTTTGTTTGTTTAAGATCAGAGCGTGCTAGAAGTCAAATCACTTACGGGAAACGGATAACAATTAATAACTTTCTACAAGTATTTACAGACGCGACACTTACATGCTGATTATACTCAGACATAAGCAGATTACAGTCTGACAAAAACAAGCAAAGCACAAGCTACTGAGCTGTAACTGTGGGGAAACGTGCAATGAAAGAATTCTCAGCAACCATCAAAATATGAACCCCAAACACTTTTTGATGCTCAAAAACTGTGAGTAGAAAACACAAAGCACTTTAAGACATTAAAACTCCATTAAGGACTTGTGCTTGGTTACTGTGATGTATGCTAATAGCAGTTAGTATTTCTATTGTTATAAATAACTTCAGGATATGTGTTGAGTCTGTAAACAGTGAGGGGACAGTGTACTACACTAACAACAATTTGTATTTATTTAATGCCCTTCATGTGCAGTAGCATCCCAGATCGCTTTGAATAGGAGGAGACAGCATACACACCAACAGTGAGGGGATAGCATACACACTGAAACGGTTCTTGTGCATGTCACCCAGTTCCTGACAGCCAGGCCTGCACCTCCATTGGGAGTTTACCACCTGCATGATCGAGCCACAGTGAAGCACCCAGAGCCTGCGGGGCTTGGTTCTTTATCAGATTCAGCAACACTTTGTTCCCACGCTTCTACTTCTTCTTGTCAATCAATATCTGCCCTCACAAATTTGCATAAATTCACTAAATTTTTACGGTGTACTGTGGAATTAAAACCATCACTGGCATTCACTGTTTTTCCATTCAGTTTCTCTATAGGCTGATGCAGTTCACAGGAGAGCTTTAATTGATTGGAATAAACTGTCTATACTGCACATCAAATGCTACTGTGACTAGAACATAAGGCATACTTTTACTCAACAAGGCGGTATTTAAGTCCACTCCCACAGACTTCATATTGCTGGCAGGATACAATGTTAGCTACCAAAGAGCAGGAAGGTATTGACCAGTGATTGTGGGATATACCAGTCCTTACTCTTGGATACCCATGGAACTGGTTAGGATGCTTCAGTCACTGTTTACACCCGCTCTGGAAACGGCACTCAACACCTTTATCCAGAATTGGACCCACTACACATCTTTTATCCAGTACAGTCTAACCGATAGGCTGCACATCAGACCACCAAGGTAGCCGGGCACTAACTGGTGGGAAACATTCACTGAGATCAGCTGCTCAGTTCCAGGTGGCTCCGGTAACGGGGAGCTCTGCTCTGCACCACTCACACCTCCTTACAGCCAGTGACCCGGGTGGTCTGAAAGCAGGACAAACGTCCCAAGGACAGCCAGAAAGACATTCAGGGGACGTTCCTTAACTTCTCAAAATATTTACTCAATCGTCAAAATAAAACAACGACAAGCATCTAAAGCAAATTGCTGGGGTAACCCTCCCTCCCGCATGTGCCCATTAGTGTAACTCACCATTTCTGCCTCACCATCTCCGTAAACTAGAGAAGAAAAGATAAGAGAATGTCAATTCTTTCTGTAGGAGATGAAAAAGACAACCTGCAGGAGGTGGAAATTAAAATAGCCGCACAGGTCAGTGACAGGTAACAAGAGGAAAGGTATGGAGCCAGAGTGTAAGGGCGTTAGGTGCTGGTGAAAGACCAGAGTGTGTCATGGCAATAGCGGTCACATTTAGAGTCAGGTTTTCTTTTAATGCTTTTAATCTTTGGAAAAGCAGCTGTTATTTTCTTGACCTGCATTATAAACATGTTGAGCACGTTTTTCTATCTGTGCACTCCCTGGCACTGGCTGGGGTGAGCAGCCCGGGTGCAAGATCAGACACCAATGGAGAGTTTTCATTCCAAGTTTCATCAACAAACAATAAGCTGTGGCAAAATGGCTTTGATAATAATAATCCTTGCATTTGATATAGCACCTCATCACATTGTTGAGACATCTCAAATCGCTTCACAGGATATACTCTAAAGTGGATCAACTGTATAATGTTGTGGGCGAAAAGCAGCAGCCAATTTGCACATAGCAATGTCCCACAAACAGCCATGGAGTGACCAATTTAATTTGGTGGATTGTGGGCCAATGGAAACTCCCTCCTTTTTTCCAATAGTCCATGGGATCTCCCCAGCACTGCATTGGAGTGTCAACTTCGACTATGTGATTGAAAGTCCCGACATGGGGCTTGAACCCACAATCATCTGAATCGGAGGTGAGAGAACTACCAGTGAGCCAGGCACAAGTGTTTGCGGTGAGAATTTTCTTTCTAAGTGAAGCTCAAAGTGGTCACCGGCACAACGCAGGAGCCAAGTGAAGACACAAGTGGCAAAGAATGGGCTTCTCCTGAAAAACAGTTTGATGGGAACAATATAGTGAAAACAACCAAATGTGACAATACTACAGGAATGTAAATGTCGTGGTAACAGGGAACAAGTTTACCATGAAATGAGGAAAGCTGGAGGGAAAGGAGCATTGCTACCTGTAGCCACTCTGCTCCCAAACGCACTGGAGTCTGGAACTTACACCAAATGCACAAGTCCAGCAGACTGCTCAGTTACTGTGCTCAACATCACAAGCAGTTTGAGGTCTCTTGTGCTACAAGCAGCTCTACCATTAGAAAAGAGATGAGGAAACAGGGTGGTCGGTCCCATGCCCTCAATCCACACCTTCACCAAATGCTGACCCTGGGTTGTCCTTTCCACCCGCAGTGTTCATCATTCTGCGGGTAATATCATCTCTGTCTGTTCACCTGACACACTGAGTCCATGCCCCTCACTGTACAGTTAGTGACGGTGTTAAACATACAGTGCAGTCCTGTTAGAAGCTGCTTCACTACAGCACAAATTCACTGAGAATGTGATTTCACTGTGGCCCCTCTCCAGTGTGGACAGAGCCTCTCGTGACTTAGGTAAATGATACCCAAAGGTGCCCCAGTTTATACTGGCTACTTTAATCTGAATCAGTTTCCAGTTCAAATCTTAATAAAGAGTCATCATCATGCTGGTCATCTGAGGCCTCATAGAGGCCAGCACCAACTGCAGATGGCAGACCTGTGTGACTACACATACCAGTGAGCACATAGTGAAAGGTAGGAACACTTGCTTCCCGTTGGCAGCCACAGGAGGATTTGTGGCTAATTACAGACATGTTAAACATTCACACGACACTCAAAGCATTCACTAAATTTCCCAAATGCTCTTTAATAAGTAGTGGGTTGACTGCATTCCTTTCTATTGTAACAAATGGGAGGGTTTGGCTGATCAAATTCCACTTACATCTCAATCAACTCCACGTTGCTAGGGCAGAGATCAGAACATCATATTTAATTCTTAAAGACAGCAATACAGTTACTCAGTGGGTGTGAACCACAAACAGACCAAACCAAGCAAGTTATAATCCGGGGTGTTAATTGAGCCTATAAAACGTCAAGATTACTTAACAGGATGAAATGAGACATTTGGTGCAACATTTGCAGCAAACAGAACAGAAGCTCAGAATCCACATGAACTCAAACTCTCACCCCCAGGCTCCCATTACCCCAGATCAGTATTTTCTGGTCAGGAAGCATCAGTGGCACAGATCCTAAGCTCCATATGCTACACATGTTGTTTGGAGTGGGTGGGAGAGTGAGTGGGTGGGCAGGAAGGGAAACTCCAGGCTGTTTAAGCACATATACCTAACTCCTTCATTAATAACTCGTTCGTACAGAGATTAGGCTGCAATCTATCTGAATCTTCATTCACTCAAAACTAATCAGACCTATGAAAAGTAACCCATGGAGTCCATTCTCTGTACCCACCAGGTAATGAATACCCCACTCTGAGTACCGGGAGGGACATGCCTGGCTCAGTGAAAGAGAGCGCACAAGTATGGACCCACTGAAGAAGCAGCATGTTAATCTGAAATCCGGGTGTTTGTGTTCAGTCATGGTCTGTCAGACGTGGACAGTGAACAGACCGCTAAAGCCAGAGGCTATCAACATCTCAATGCAATGCTCACCTCTACACAGCTCGCTCCACTCCAGTAAAATTAACAATGAGGTGGTTGTGAAGTTATAGTTCAGGTCCGCATTGTCCTTTGACAATTTGGGGCCTAGAGGAATTTGGGGGTGGGGGGGGGGGGGAACCCTCATTGGTCAAACTTCAAATAAAAAACGATTAACAATAAGAGCTGCTGCTCTGAAGGTATGTAACAGGAAGAGGAGATGAATGAAACAGCAGCCAATGTAACCGAGTACTGGCTGAACAATGAAAAGTATTAATAAAAGGCACAGGGGAGTGGTATTCTGCACATACCTGCTGCTCTCACACCTTAAAACCTGAAACACTTCAATGCATTCCAGGATTGTGCTCTCTTCTACATTAGATCTGAAAGCGCTCTTAAACCCGTCTAAATAACCATCTAATCAAACATAGCCAGAAATCTACACTCCACAATAGATACCTTCAGTTTGGGCTCTAGCTTGCAGTGTGGGCCCTAGCTCAGTGCCATGTGCAGAGAAGGCCCCCTTTGGCACTTTGGCCCCACAGTCCAGGCTGACAGCCAATGCAATGCTGGGAGAGTGCTGCATTGTGGAAGTGCCATCTTTTAGATGAGACGATAAACCTGCAGAGCTTGAACCCACATCCTTCTGAGCCAGAGGTGAGAGTGCTCCCCTCTGAGGCAGGCCGACAACAGCTCCACAACATATTCTAATGAAGGGCAGGGGAGTGAGGAGAGAGATGATCGTCTCTACCTCAGTTTGGGTGCCCAATCAGCACTTCGATACGTCCTCCCGACGTGAACGTCGCTCTATAAATGTAAGTTGTATTGTATCAGGTGTCCCACGTGCAGACTGGGCTGTTTTGGCACTGTATTCTTTATGTTCTATGTGGAGATGCCCCGCATAGCCCAAGTCCAAGGGTAATCACATGAATGATCAACACACCGCTTATAATTCTAGGCTATTGTGTGGCAATACACCACAAGCCTTTCCCCACACATGGTGCCCCACCCTGGATCATTTACAACTGCAGGACTCACTCCTCCATTGACAAATCCCAATTGCTCAATTCACCAGTTCCTGCTTGGAGCGACAGGTCAATAATACTCTACATTGTGACCCATGACTTTAACAAAACAATTTGAACTCTGCTCTCCACAGCTCACTGAGCCGTGCAGTGGGATGGTCTCAGTGCTCAGAAACGGCTACAGTCAAGGAAAGTAGCTGATTTCACAGTGGATTGAATCACTTGCAAATTTACACTCAATGACTGCAGCTGGGACTCTGGAGCCTTAGTCACAACTCAAAGGCAAATTTTCAGGTCATTACAGCTCAGGGTCTGGAGAGAGAGCAAATGAAACATGCCCGAACACCAAGGTGTGTCGGAGTGAGCAAACCTGCCTTTTATCAATGACTCATTGTACAGCAGCTATTTCCAGTAATTGCACAATCCCACACAACTAAACGCTGATTCCTTATTGAATTAACTTCACTGTAACACCACTGACCATGTAGAGGGTACAACTTATCCCATTCAAAGGCAGCTCGCCCACCCCCTTGTGTTTAAAGTCAGGGTTGGCCGAGGGAAATGTTCAGTGAGACCACTGACTATTCACTCTCTAAATCAGCTCCAGCATGGACAAGTGTAAAGCTGCCTTTATTCTGCCTCCTCACCACCACTCCCTATTACAGTAATGTCAAGGCCACTCCAATACCATAATCACTTGAGGGAACTGAATCCATTTAAGGTGTTGGATCACATGGGCTTGACGAAGGGGGAAATAGAAAGAGAAGATGTAGAGGGGCAAAACCCAGTTTATTCCCAGAGAAAGGAGAGCTTGTTTTATGGCAGTAGTACTAAATCAGACGAGACTCCACAACCCTAATAGGAAGTAATCAGTCATTAATTTCCCCGTATTTAAATGGATTTCCTCCCCACAAAAAATTCTCCTCCCAATCCCTGCCAACGCCTCACTGCCAGCCTGGGCTCACCAACTACCAGGGTTTTATGAATATGAAGAAAGAAAACAGTCCTCAGATTGCCTCTCCTCATATTGTCTAATCCAAGCAAAGTAGCTGTGCAGCCTAAATTACGGAGTGTGGGCTGCTCGCTCATTATGGCACATATTCCAGTCTGGAAGTCTGATAACTGAAGGTTGAGATGTTTAAAATGATACAAGGGATTTGATAGGGTACCTACTGAGAAACTATTTCCTCTGGTGGGGGAATCCAGAACAAGGGGGCATAATCTTAAAATTAGAGCTAAACCATTCAGGAGTGAAATCAGAAAGCATGTTTTCACACAAAGGATAGTGGAAATCTGGAATTCCCGCCCCAAAAGGCTGTGGATGCTGGATCCATTCACATTTTCAAGACTGAGGTGGATAGAATTTTGTTAGGTAAGGGAATGGGATAAAGGTGGCTTATTGAAGTTGAGGTATAGATCATCCATGATCTAATAGAATGGGGAAACAGGCTCGAGGGGCTGAATGCCCGATTCCTGTTGTAACATAGGGAAAGAAATTGGTCATTTCAATCCACGACTGTTTGTGGGATGCTGCTGTGCGCAATTGGTTGCCGTGTTTCTCCCACAAAATATACAGTCAATTCAGTTTACAGTATATTCCGTGAAGTGCTTTGAGACGTCTCGAAGATGTGATAAGGTGCTACATCAAATGCAAGGATTATTATTGTTATACTGTGCGAGATGTACACCAAGTACTATGCCAGGTAGTGCTCCAGTCCCAAAGTGTCACTATCATGGTCATGGAGTTGAATGTGAAGTTGGACAGAGGCTTTCGCACGATCGCCCAGGGTGCTGTCCCTCTACATCGCTGCTATCACTATCTCCCTGTTTTATGGTGCTGACTATCGATAATGAACATGAAACAGGAAACGATCAGTCAATGTTTAACTGGCTTCACTCAACAACTGGCCTGTTGCTGGGAGTGTGCAAACCTTCACATTCATTACATCAGCACAAGAAAAAACAAGACAGGAAGGGGCAGCGCGGCAGCAACCAGTGGCCTGCACCTCCTCCCTCCCCCCGATGCACACACACAACCCTGCCCATGACAACCCACACACAACTCAACCCCACCCCAACCAAATCATTCCAACTACCAATCAAGCCTTAGCCCAACTGCCAGTTTAGGTTTATACAGGGTTCCACTGGATTACAGCAACCCCATACTCAGCACTAATCCTCTCATCCTCTCTTTGCTAGTCTTCAGATCACAGCTTCCTCTTCAACTGTGCCTATGTTCCTGTCCCCCACCGTGGCTCGACGTCAGGTTCAACCACTGGTAAGCGCCCCAACATGTGTGAATGGCGCCATTTAAAAGCAAGCTGTTATTGTTGTCATAATCTTTAGCTGACAGATCGTCACAGGTCAGCGTAGAAGTGTAGCTGATTGCTGCCACAACACGCGGCTCATGTTAAACACCCCCCCCCAGCTTTACAATTGAGGTTGGAAATCGGAAATGGAAATCGTGTTTAACAAATCTTTTAAGAGTTTTTTGAAGATGTAACTAGCAGGTTAGATAGGGGGCAACCAGTGGATATAATGTACTTGGATTTTCAGAAGGCATTCGACAAGGTGCCACATAAAAGGTTGTTACATAGGATTAGGGCTCAGGGAATTAAGGGAATATATTAGCAAGTGGTTAACAGGCAGAAAATAGAGAGTAGGGATAAATGGGTCCTTCTCAGATTGGCAGGTTGTGACTAGTGGACTGCCGCAAGAATCAGTGGTTGGGCCTCAACTGTTTACAGTCTATATCAATGACTTAGATGAGGAAATAAAGCTTAATGTATCTAAATTTGCGGACGATACAAAGCTAGGTGGGAAAGTAAGCTGTGAAGACACAAGGAGGATGCAGAGATATAGACAGGCTAAGTGAGTGGGCAAGAAGGTGGCAGATGGAGTATAATGTGGGGAAGTGTGAAATTATTACCTAGGTAGAAAAAATAGAAACACAGATTATTTTCTACAGGATGGAGAGACTGGATAGTGTTAGTATTCAGAGGGATTTAGGTGTCCTTCTACACCAATCACAGAAAGTTAGTGTGCAGGTACAGCAAGCAATTAGGAAGGCTAATAGTATGTTAGCGTTTATTGCAAAGGGATTAAGAGTACAAGAGTAGGGAAGTCTTGCTGCAATTGTATAGGGCCTTGGTGAATATTGTGTGCAGTTTTGGTTTCCTTATCTAAGATATACTCGCCTTAGAGGGCGTGTAACGTAGGTTCACTAGGTTGGTTCCTGGGATGAGAGGGTTGACCTACGAGGAGAGGTTGAGTAAACTAGGCCTATATTCTCTAGAGTATAGAAGGATTAGAGGTGATCTTATAGAAACCTATAAGATTCTTAAGGGTCTTGACAGGGTATATTCTCCTGGTTGGAGAATCTAAAACTAGGGCTCATAGTCTCAGGATTAAGGGTCAGCCCTTTAGAATGAGTTGAGAAAACATTTCTTCACTCAGAGGGTAGTGAATTTATGGAATTCTCTACCCCAGAAGGCTGTGGATGCTCAGTCCTTGAACATATTCAAGACTGAGATTGATAAGATTTTTAAAAACTAAAGAGATTAAGGGATATGGGGATAGGGTGGGTAAGCGGAATTAGGTTAGATCAGCCAAGATCTTATTAAATGGCGGGGGAGGCTCGGGGCGCCGAATGGCCTAGTCCTGCTCTTATTTCTTATGTTCTTATGTTGGTCTCCGCTCACCTCTGACTGGGTTAAAGAAATTGAAGAAGGAATCGTTGGGTACTTGTTTGGTGATGGTTCGTACAGTGCCCCGCCCCTTGTGCTTCTGTTTCTTTTTGATGTTTTTCATCGTCACGTTCTTTCCTTTCTTCCAATCGATGGTGCACCTGATACAGGGGAGATCAGCCACTCAGTGAACCCATAACAATCTGCTCAAGAAGCCCCACCAAGGCTTGAGTTATGGTGAATATTAAGCTTTGGCCATACTAAACATTCTCCCTTTCATTAAATTAAGCCCAGGACCCGACCCCCGCTGCCCCAACCCAAAACGCACCTGCCCAACCCTTGCTCCCAACCACATCCCCACCACATCCTGCCCCCAAACCCCCACCCACTCACATCCCCACCACCACTGCACACCATGGGCAGCACCCTTCCCCAGGTTCCCTCTGGCTGTGCTGATCTCCGCCCCCGGCTGTGGGAGGCAGTGGTTCCTGCAGTTCCTGGCTAAGGAAAGGTGGCGTGGTGAAGACCCTCCCCCAGTGACGCTAGCCGCTGATTCTCTTTTTTTTAAAAATTAACAATTCTCCAATTCAGTAAAAATGTCAGGAGTTACCGCGAGTGCAGAGTTTATGCCAACACAATTTCTCTCGTGGTAAATTGTCCAAATAAATCTTGTGTGCACAGCAGTGAGGGAACAGAGTCTGGTATCCGGGTGCTACATCATTGAAGAAAGCACTATATTGAGCATGAGGCTATATATACACACCAAGAACTCCTTCCCTCCAAGCTGCAGTACTCATTCTCACACTGTCTCCCTCTACTTGTGGCTTCCTGGTCAGCGCTGCTTTCAGCCAGAGATCAACAGGCACGTCAGTGGTTTCATCACAAGCTTTCCTCCACATCCAACACAGAATGGCAGCTTCCCATAGCATTGGGGTGGACCCTCAACTCAGAGCCCAGACTGACCTCCTCCACATAGTTCCATTTCTACAAAATACCGCCATTATCCTGCACCACAAACCAACCCAGTCAGTGATCAATACTGAGTGAAGTCCCTGTGCGGGAGCTCGCCCGGAGTGAGAGAGGTGCAGGCTGCAGGGACTGGGATAAACGTAACCCCATTTCTGCCCGACCTACACCAGCACACACACTAATAATCTCACACAGATCCTGACGGGCTGCCATCAATCTGCCTCACATTCTACACATGCGTGAACATTTACCCCGAGTCTGTGTGAGTGCAACTAATGGGGAAAGCACAGTATTTAGCAATGCTCTCAGACCGTGAAGCAGGCAATGTAGTGAGTCACACCCAACAATAAGATCTGTCAGGATAGAATCATGTTCCTAACTGTGCCAAGACCAGGCTATGTGGCAGCCTACAGTCTATGGTTAATTAGGTTTTAGTGTAGCACTGGAATGGAACCCAAAGCCAGAAACACACAAGCAACAGGTTATGAACAGTGCAGAAAGTAGGAGCCTATGTCACCCCCTCCCACGTTGGTCGCTGGCTGGCTGCATGTGCTTGGTGAAGGAGGGAAGGAAAATGTGACCCCATAGTTTACAAGTGTGAATTTTTGATATCAAAGGCAATTAACAACTAGGCTGATGGACATCAGCATTTCAGCCATGAGCTCAAGAGAATTCAAGGTTCACGCAGTCCAGTGCATATTCTACAGCATGAGGAGCAGAGACTGAGGTGGAATAGAAGATTCACATCATGTGCACCAGAGGGTGATGTGGGCCATGTGCACGAGATGACGTGTACACCAGAACTGTGCTAGCAGCTTGCTCCCTGCTAGCTCACTTGTGAATGCTAACCCCAACAGACCAGCAACTTGGTGCCAAGATTCACTTACCCCACAAAGTCAACTATCTCTGGCCCTTCGAAGGAGAAAGGGTCCACTTGATCGGGTTCAGACTTCATCTTGTACGTTTTGGTTAATATGGAGTTTGTGAAATAATCATTTGGCTCAAAGTGAAACTCTAATGTAAAATTCTGTGGGAGCAAAAGACCAAAAAAGAATATTAAAACAGGTCCTGAATACATTCAACCCTCCCCGCCCACGGCCTGAACCAACAGGCAGAGCTGCTAATGCCTCCATTCTTAGCTCACAAAAAGCTGAAGCGAAATCTCTTCCACCTTCACTTCACAGGTGAGTCACTGCATTAACCAAGAACTCCCACCTCCATGGTTAATTGCTAATGACTCAGAGTTGAGACAGGTGAATTATAGCCACAAGCAGTACTGTGACTCAACCCAAGGCGAGCCTGCAACAGGCCACGGAATAAGCCCTGGGATTCTGAATCCTCCAAATGAACGACACACCTGAAATTGTTGGTGCTGGGTGTTTCTGCTCAGCCCAGTACATTGGCCTCATTGAACAGCCCAGCATCAGGTAGCGCAATGGAGGAGAGAACCTGCTACTGTAAATATTAATAATCCCTTTGTTTGATACAGCGCCATATCACGCCATTGAGACCTCTCAAAGTGCTTCACAGAATATAATTGTAAAGTTTAGTGAATGTCTATTTTGTTGGCGAAACCCGGCAGCCAATTGTAATAGCAGCATCCCACAAACAGTCGTGGATTGAGGGGGCCAATTATTTATTTACTTTTTAATGGATTATTATTACCCCCTCACCAGGCACATATACAATAATGGATCAACATGAGTTTTGTCTGGACGATGTAGCTGGAGTAGAGGCCAGAGGGGCAATGCCTTCAGGATAGATTAAGCTCATTTAGATTTGAAACAAAAAGAAAAGGATTTCACAACCAGCGTGACCCTGCTAGGAAATGGAAAGGGGAAACAAAGGTTTATGAACTTAGTTAGGGTATTCCTAACATCCTGTTTATTGGGTTTTTACTGTTGTTATCGTATGTGTGGTGACAGGCCCACTCCAGCCTGTGGTGTCACCTAGTGGTGATCGGATAAAAGACCAACAAAGATTTTTCCTTATATAGAGAATGAGGCTAACATGTGTGTAGTCTCCCCGAAGGCCTAAACTCCACTGAAACCCCCAAGTCCTGCAGTCTAGAATCCTGGTTGAGGCCAACAAACAAATCATTCTGGGCTCATTCAGGCAATACTGGAAGAGCGCAATGAACGCATTCCCACTACTTGTCCAGCTAGGATCAACCTACCCATTAGGGCTTTGGCTTACAGGTTTAACAGCTGAGTGGAAAGAGATCCTGCCCCAAGCCACTGGTCTGCCATTCCAAGTCCTGCCAATGAGCCAGGCTGGCTGTACCATCATCAGCAGTGCCCTGGAATACTGCGCACCCAATTGGTTTAGGAACTGGACTAGAGACCGTCACAGAGGGTGGACTTGATTCTGACATTCTGTTGCAAAGCACGTCACCTCGGAGCCAGTTCAGCTACAAGCAGACCCTGCTTTACCTCCCCTCCAAGGAGGTTAGTGGATGAGTACAAAGCATCAGCTTTCATTAGAATCGGGTCAATTGAGTTGATTTGAGTACATTTAACTTTGGCTCCCTGCCCACCCTCCTCCCTCCAGTATAAAAGCTTGCTGCCATCAGCTCTCTATCCACATTGTGAGACGTTATATATTTACAGCTTCCCCAGTTGTATGTTCCCAGCTCTGGAAAAGGTCAGGTTACAGTACACCACCTACCCTTCGTTCCAGTGGGGTTTAATGTGGCACTGGAATGGAACCCGAGGCGTGGAGAACACAGGCAACAGGTTACGAACAGTGCAGGCAGATTTCACTGGGCTGGAATCAGCTCTGTGCCACCCCCCACCCCCCCCCCCCCACACACACACAGGGGACCTTGTCCCAGCCCACATGCTGGTTCAGTTGTGAAAGGCTCAGTTCCCACCAGATGGTGCTAAAGAGCTGCATAAATGCAAATAGCAGCTACATTCACTGAGCAGGAATAACCCACAATTAATCCCACCATTTAATTCAGGTGAAGAGCGCCTGTGGGTCCAGTCTCGAGAGCATCACGGTGGGATGGACAAAGAGAACACTACGTTCCGGATTCAGACAACCAAGTCAGCCAGGCATCCGTCTGGCTCAGTAGCCACCCACACACATGCTGACATTGCAGTGCCACACGGCGCAGTGCCACCGACCGCTAAGCAAGACTGACACTTCGTTGGCTGTTTGTGGGACATTGCTCTCCAAATTGGCTTTTACATTATTTTACAAACGCAGTCACTCTTTACAGTAAATGTTGTCAGGGGCTCTGAGACGAGTCGATAACGCGATAAGGCATGATATCAATGCAAGGATTAAATAATAGACTGTGACTCGTTTCCCGTCAGCCACCGACCTCTGTAATGATCTACACTGGCGAAATGGAGAAACGGTGTGAAAAACTGAGAGAAAATCCTTAAGAAAGCTCCCCCTCAACCGTGGAGGTCAGCGATATCCTGTTTATAAAGAGCCCCACGTAACAATGAAGACGAACGGCTAGTCTCTCTTGGACTGTGAGTCGTAAGCCACCGGCGATGGACAATGTGTGACGGCTCTGCGAGGCTGGCTGAGAGTTAGTGACTGCCCTGCCACACTCTCCATCGGCCCAGCCCCCTGCGCTAGGTGCCACCCGCCCACCAGATACAGAGCTACAACACACCGCGTCTGTGACTGCACCGTGCGGGCTGTTAAAGTTCACTCTCAAGCACTTTCTCTTTCGAGTACTGAGCTTGTGACTCTGCTGCCTATTGTAGTTGTTTGTGAGCACGGCTGCTGCTCACCACAGACTTTAATGTAAAATAGTTACCAGCTCACGTCACCTGCACACGATACTCACCATTGGCTCGTTGGGCTCAGAAAACTTCACACGAACATCCTGCAAGTGCTTCAAGATAGGCTCGTCATGTTCCTGCAGAGAACAGCAAAACCAAGACAATTTCAGTCAGGCTCTAGACACCTTTTACACACACCCCTACACACACACACAAGACATTATGCACACCCCAACACACACACACACACACACACACAAGACTTATACACACAAACGTTCTTGACAGTGATGGCCTCACCTCCACAAGCTCACTCAGCATGTCTACATTCCTGAAGATGGTGACCCAGAAGTCAGGAATTCCTTTGGGACTCTCCTCCTGCTCTGATCCTTCTTTATTTTCCTCTACCGTTGCTTTCTTTTTCATCTCTTCCTGTACGTACAAAGCAATTGGAAGATTGGTGAGCTGCAGCTGGACTGAAAGCTCATCGCGTGACCATGGAAGCTCATGTGGTCAGCACTCGGGTGCAGGGTCTCCAGCTGGTTCGAGCTGCTGTCCTGACCAGGGGACAGGAGTGCTCACACGCGCCCAGTACTGGTGACAGGACAGAAAGGCTGGGTAATCTCCCTTATTGTGGAGCAGGACGTCTGAGAGAATGAGCTCACTTATTTCAAGATTTCCCAAACAGCGAGACAGCATCAATCATCAGCGAACAGCAGCACTGTGTGAACGAACACATTCCTGGCCGTTAATGCTCAGTCAGGTAGGTGGCACAACCTCACAATATGCAGTCCATTAAGAAAGCACAGAGGGTGGTTATAACATGGAATGCTCTGCTACAAACCACTGTATTCATAGCGAGTCAGAGTATCTTGAAAAAGATGATTATTAAAGGGTAAAATGAACAAGGAAAGGATTATGGTGAGGAGAAAGACGTGCTGGGCTGACGGTTGTCTCAGCACCGTGCTGTTGCACTACAGTGATCACATGAGCAGCAAGATGAATTCATATTTTCTACAGTGACATTCAACCAGCATCAGAGCTATAAAAGGCCCCTCACTCACAGGATAAGTGGATCAGTGTGACAGGCGGGGGCTGAGCTGCTGGATATCTAGTATAATTAATAAATAAGCAAGGGCTTGGGATATTACGTGTAGCAAGTGCACTGCTGCATTCAACATATGTTGTAAATTTGTCTCTGTTCTCATAGTAGTGCAATTTCATAGATTTATTAGATTTTTAATTAGAATTCAATTTGCACTGCAGTTATTTATCCGTTTGTGAGAGACTGCTAGGCGCAACCGGCTGCTTCATTTCGCTCACAAAACACACAGTCAATCCACTTTACAGTATATCCTGTGAAATGCTTTGAGATGATTCAACGATGTGATAAGGTCCTATATTGAATGCAAGGATTATTATTTTAAAATGAATGGCTGGCGAGCACTAACCAGGGACAAGTAAAACAACAGGAGGTAGCGACACTCCAGTAAAACCAGCAGAGCTCGGCATCCTCACCGTCCAGCACCATTGAAACCATGGCAACCTATTACCATCAAGTCTTTCCCAACAGTGTCAAGTTTCCAATGTTGTCAATGGGATGTTCAGCTCGGGGCAGGGGGCGGGGGGCAGAAATTGTACTATCTGAGACGGGCCACTGTGTTTCTGAAGCCTCGCTAGGGTTTAATTTTATGGGTAGGAAATCAAAACTCACTGCTAGCTCCTCCTCCTCCTCCTTATCGCTGTGCCACTCACACTCCGAGTCTGTGGGTTCTACGCTCCCTGTTATTACTTCTCGTCTCTGTAAAAAAGAAAAAGACAGAAAACCATGAGATCACAGCAACCCATCCCTGTCCTCGGCCAACAATCCCCCACCAGTCCAGGGTCTGCAGAGTGATTAGGAGCAGGAAACCTGGTTTATGCTTCTTTCCCTGTTCCTGGACAGTGAGATCAATGTCACCTGTGGGGGTGGGGCACTAGATGATAGTCGTGGGACACAAGTGATTGAAACTGTGATCTATGAGTCTGCAGGGCTCAGTGGTGTCCTGGCAGTGCCTTCTCTCAGATCAGGGCAGCTCAGGGCTTTATTTTAACATTATAGCAGAATCTCAATTTTGAGTAAGAAGAGTTTTCTGAACTCAATCTGTAAACATCCAGTTCACCCTCACGCTGCAGACACCTGAAGCACGTTTGTCTGGCTTACAAATGTCTCTCAATCCCTGTGCCAATGTGGACTACAACATATGTACTGGGTGAGATGGGTCAGTGCTATAAACCTGGCTACAGCGGCCGCAACATGACAGCAACCCACAGCTCTTGGAGCCACAGAACTGCGCACCACAGGAGACAGCTGCTAGGCCCATCACTGTGCTGATCTATGAAAGAGCAATCTGTTCCATCCCATTAATTAATTACCCTCCCATTGCCTTGCAAATAACTCCCTTTTACATATCTTTTCCCCTTTTAAGTTTCCCTGTATAATCTCCCCCTTTGCTCCATTACTATCTCAATCTTTTGCCCTTAAGTCACTGACCAGTGAAAATAATATCTTCTGCAAACCCCTTTGTCGCTTTACGTCCTGAAGCCAAGGTAAGTGTCTACATGGTACAGGCATGTCAGAGACAATGAATATACACTGACAAAGCCTGTAAGCATCGATACTCCAGAGAATGTGACATAAACAGGCAGGTTTAGCCTGACTGCAGCATGTATTTAAAGCTAGGTACCTTTTCAAAGTATGGCTGGTAAAGGGCTGCATATTTCCGCTCCAACTCATGAACTTCCTCATAAAACTTGGCTTCTATGTGGGCACACGTGACCTGAAGATTTTTCAAGGCATTTATTCTTCTCTTTACAACTTTAGGCAAACTGGAGGAAATGCAGACACAGAAAACACAATTAACACAGGAAACACAACTCCACACAGTGAGTAACATCACAAGGTACCCTGAGAACACACTTTAATTCATGCTACACCAATGTCAACAAACCTCACTCCAGCTCCCTTTACATCTCCCCTTTTCAACCTGATTCAGTCAGTCACACTCACGTCTAGGTCAAAAGGCCATGGGCTCAAGCCCCATGTCGGGCTCATCGACTAGATGGACATGGCAGTACAGTACTTGGGGAGCACTACATCGTTGAAGGTGCCGTCTGTCAGATGAGATGTTAAACCAAGTCTGTTTTCAAGTGATCATTAAAATTCCCATGATGTTATTGAAAGAGAGAAGGAACTCTCTCCTTGTGACCTGGAAGGGCAGACCAGTCACTGGGGGCAGAAAATCATCCCACTCAGCTCTGGTTATCCCTGCAAGTCAAAGCCCTGGTCCTAACTGGACAACAACAACAAAATTACATTTGTATAGTGCCTTTCACATTGATAGACATCCCAAAGGCTGGACAGGCAGCGGGAAAGCTTGCCAGACAGCGATGGCAATGGCAAGCTATGCAGTTTTAGCTGGTTAGACTCCAACAGTTACCCCAACGCACACTCTAGAGTCCCCAAGCCTTGGCTCTTGCCAACCTTAGCCTAATACTTTCTGAAATTATGTAAGCAGGATGCATCCCTCCAACGAGAGAATGCGCATCCCAATCCAACAATCTAGCTCTGGAATTTCCACGTGTAGGTGGAATGCATGGAATTCTCAGATTGTTTTTGATACTCTTAAGCACGGTGATGGGTTTCCGCATGTGTCACCTGGCTGACCAAACAAAACAAAACCGTCCTGGCTGACAATCTTGCAGGTTAAAATCAGCCGTTCATGGACGACTATGGCACACCGTTTCCAAAATAGCTGCGGCCCAAACCAGTCACGACACTTGTCAGTAATTACCATAAAGCACTTTGAGACATTTCGACACACAAGCTGCTGTAAAATACAAATTCTTTCTTCGTTGTCCAATTAACAAGGCAGTGTAAGGGAGCTGGCAACTGCCTCACCTGCCACCAGGGGGGACTGGATACACCAGCAAGAGCAATCTGGCCCAAAAGACACTGAGCCCAACTGTGCACAATAGTGCACACCAACTCTGCATCGCCCTATGCAACATCTATCAACTTTGGTTCTTTACTCATTTAACTGCTACAATGAGCTGAATGCACACCAAAGATAAGTGCGGTGGTAACCACAGGTCAACCCACAACCTTATCCTGTGTCGAAGCACGTTCTGTAGCATGCTGAGGGTTATGTGGCAAAAGATTGCGATTTTATTCAGCATTGTTAAATGAACTAGAAAGCTGCCTACAAGCGACAAGCTATTTTTAAAAATACTGTAAAACTCATTGCGCTAGCCACATTCTGACAGTTAGGTGATGTGTGAAACAGAAGCAATGTATTGTTGAGAGGATTCTGTGTTAAAGATAGATAAACTTTTAACCACACCCTCCGCTCCTACATAATTCACATAGGCACGTTATGCTGAAACATCTCTAAGCCACTTTGTTAGCAAATGAAGCAGTCAATTTTCAGAGCATTATTCTACAAACAACCACGAAATGAGTAACACTGAAACTAGAGCATTTTTAGCTGGGATACCAGGGGAAACTACCTGCTTCTTTTGAATAGTTTCACAGGATCTTTAACGTCCACCTAAAAAGGCAGATGGGACATCTAATGTGCAGGATGGCACTTTGAAAGTGCAGGTGTCCGTCCGCCAGGACTGCACAGCCTAGACTGTGAGCTCAAATCCCAACATGGGGCTAGAACCCACCACTCTCTGACCAGAAGTCACTGAGAACACTCAACAGGTCAGGCTCCTTTCATCATCGACCTGAAACGTTAACCCACTTTCCACTCTTCATAGATGCTGCCCGACCTGCTTAGCGTTCCCAGCAACTTATACAATCAATTCACTTTGGTATATTCTGTGAATGTTTTGAAATGTCTCGAAGATGTGATAAGGCGCTATATAAAATGCAAGGATTATTATTTATTATACTTATATATAAAACTTCTGCTTTTATTTCAGATTTCCAGCATCTGCAGCATTTTACCTTTTGGTCACACCCGAAGGTATTGTTGAGCCGTATCGCAGGGCAAGTTGACATTTTCAGTTGGAGAACACACACGCACACACCTACACACAGAGGTGGAAGAGATACTAAGGAGAGCCATTGACACAGGAGTATCCGTGGCTTCTAGGGACATGTAGCTGTACTCCTGTCAAAAGGAGCCTACGCCACATTACTGGGTGGTAACGGGCCCTTATATTAATGACAATGAGAATGGTGGTGAGACGCTGCTTTCTCTACAGCAGTTTACTTCCGTTGTTTTTATGCGTTTGAACCATTGAGGTGTTACTCATACCTTATCTACAGCTCTCTTTGTCCCCATTAACTTCCCCACCTACAAAGTACATGTAGAATGTTCCTCTGTCTGCAATGTGCAGAAACCCATTACAGGCTCTTCACTTTCCAAATTGGAAATTAAACCCACTTTATAAACATATCTGCATTCTGCAAACAAGCCTGATGTTGCTGCTGAGCTAGTGAGACATCCTCCGGTGAAAGACGCTACAGAAATGTAAATTTTTATTACATTGTAATAACAATCCTTACTGCAGAGTTCATTTTGTCTCTCGGTCGGTCACTGGCGCACTCACGTTTCAATGTAGCTGGAAGGAGTGTGCTCCACATTGTCAAGCCGTTCCTGTAGGTCTGCCAGCAGCTGTGGGTTTTGCATCATCTGGGCTGTCAGTTTTCCTGTAACACAAAGAAAGAGTCAGAATAACTGCACCAATAGAGCCCCCAGGCTGGTACTGAGAACAGCAACACCCAGAGCCCATTGAGACCACTCCGGGGAGAACAACCCCATTTCACTTCCTTCCCAATAATCTAACTACGCTTCTCTCTTGTTGTCAATCAGCCAGTTCTCTCTCCCTCCCAACAGCCCAGCTCCAACCGCACCCCCCTTTCAGGTTCGATCCCCAGTTATTGCTCGTCTCTGACAATACCTCACCCCAAAAGCTACCGAAACCCTTGTCCATGCCTTAGTCACCTCTCTCCTAGACTACGCTAATGTCCTCCTCGCCGGTCTCACCCTTCTCCACTATTCATAGAATTCAGCTCATTCAAAACTCCGCCACCCACATTCTCACCCGCACCAAACTTCGTATCCCGATTACTCCAGTCCTTGCCAATCTCCAAGTGAGTCATTAAAGTGTGAACCCCAGTGCTGTTCGTTTAGTTTCCTCTTGTGGTCAGGCCCTGGAATTTCTCTGCCAGCTCACCAGCACACCACACAGGCAGACAGACAGACACGACCACTTCACACCGCCATTTATTTTTGAAATGAGACACCGATAAAGTTTTCAGATCAATAATTACATTAAATTGGGAATTCTGACCACTTGTCCAAGCTAGTCATGTAAACTGTCACCAATGTTCAAGCTTTTGGTTTTTGACTGACTGAAACGGAAAATCAGGAACTGGAAAGAAACTGACACACACAGAGAAACCAAGAGGTGGCTGGCATGCCCGAGAGCAACTGCTGAACCCACAATTCTGGTTTCAAATGGGAGCTGTGAAACACCTCACATGGTCATTGATGTCATTGACACACAAACTTGCTCAACATTCCCAGTCACTTCCCTCTCACTGCCAAGCTTCCTCCCCAGCCACTGGTCAGCACACTCACCCCATTAGAAGACTAGCACACAACCAGAACCATTTATACCCAATTCTGAAAATTACCAATGTTTCCCTTTCAGTATTGAATTCTGCACCATTTCTTGTACTTTTTTTCCCTCCATAGCTCACTCAGAACATTTCTATGCTGAAGAGATGCAGTCTATAACCAGGCGATTTAAGTTTCCATGATAAATTAAAAGTCTTGTGGCTGAGTATTCTCCATCACAACATAAGAACATAAGAATTAGGAGCAGGAGTAGGCCATTCGGCCCCTCGAGCCTGTGCCCCGCCATTCGATAAGATCATGGCGGATCTTCAGACCTAACACTAATTACCTGCCCTATCCCCAAATCCCTCTATTTCAAGGACTGAGCATCTACAGTAGCGAATTCCATAAATTCACTACCCTCTGAGTGAAGAAATGTTTCCTCAACTCTGTTTTAAAAGGCTGACCCTTAATTTTAAGACTGTGACCCCTGGTTATAGATTCTCCCACCAGGGGAAACAGACCCTCAGTGTCTACTTTATCAGCCCTTTAAGAATCTTATATGTTTCAATAAGATCTCCCCTAATTCTTCTGTACTTTAGAGAATATAGTCCTAGTTTATTCAGCCTATCCTCATAGGTCAGTCCCCTCATCCCGGGAACTAACCGAGTGAATCTACGCTGCACCCCCCTCTAGGGCAAGTATGTCCTTTTTTAAATATGGAGACCAAAACTGCACACAATACTCTCGGTGCGGTCTCACTAAGGCCCTATACAGTTGCAGCAGGACTTCCCTACTCTTGTACTCTAAACCTTTTGCAATGAACGCTAACATGCCGTTCGCCTTCTTAGTTGCTGCTGCACCTGCAAACTAACTTTTTGAGACTGGTGTACAAGGACCCCCAAATCCCTCTGAACACTAACACTATCTAATCTCCCCCTCTAGAAAATGATCTGTTTTTCTATTTTTTCTACCTAGGTGAATAACTTCACACTTCCCCACATTAAATTCCATCTGCCACCTACTCGCCCACTCCCCTCGCCTATCTATATCCCGTTGCAATCTTTTTGCATCATCCTCAGAGCTTACTCTCCCACCTAGTTTAGTGTCATCCGCGAATTTAGATACGTTACATTCAATATCCTCGTCTAGATCATTGATGTAAATTGTAAATAGCTGAGGCCCAAGCACTGATCTTTGTGGTACTCCACTAGTCACATCCTGCCAATTCGAGAATGGCCCATTTATCCCTACTCTCTGTTTTCTACCTGTTAGCCACTCTTCAATCCATGCTAATATGTTCCCATTAATCCCGTGGGCCTTAACCTTATGCAATAGATCTTCAATGCTAACAGCCTCTACGTTAGCTCAGACATAGTTCCAGGGTACACCAGAGGAAAGAAATCCTGCACTTGGGATTTTCATTTTCTCCCACTTAATGGCATGAGAGTTAAGTGTATCCCCCACGTTCCCAATTTACACACATCACATTTCATTCAGGAGGACCGTACCTTTCCCTTTGCCTTCAGCCATGTGCTTGTCCATCGCCAGAGGCTCCACAGAAGCATCGTCTCCTTTACTGAAACACAAAACGGATGGTCACAGTGTCTGGATATCAGCAGATTACAACGACCATCAGATTTTGCCCAAAAACCTTTAATTATTATCCTCTCATATTTTACCCGTGTCCATGCGAAAACAAACTAATCCAGGGAGGATCAGCTGGCGACCGGTGAGCCACACCGGTGTGTGGAGTCCTGTAGAAGACGTGAAAAGCGCTATATCAAATGCAAGGATTATTATTATTATTATCCAGCTCGGGGGATGATTTAATGTGGCTTGTGAACCATTTACAACCGTTCTTCTCTTCTGCTTGGTCTCTTCATATGAGGCAGCAGGAAGATGTGCGGAATGAGTCATGGCTCCCACTCCGCTGTCTTCCCGTCACTCTCTGCGCTGTCCTGCACAACCTTGTAAGACAATGCAGAGAGCAAGGGGAAGAGAGGTGCAACAGGAGTATTTTAAAAAAGTATTGTTGCATTTTTGCAATTCTAAAACTACACAACTACGAGTCTCAGTAACAAATACAAGGTAGTTGTGAAAAATAGACATCATTGGAGCTCTGGTACAAGAGAAACATTTTCCACAGTATTATCATTATTTTGTTAATTGTTTCTGGATTTAATGATTATTCTTGCATATATGTATTACATGTATTTTATTGTTTTAAAATTTGTATGAATCTTTACATTGCCCATTTGAAATTTGCATTGTAACTGAATTATAACGAAATTAAGTAATGCATTTAGTTACACCATTGAAAACACAGGATTGCTCTATGATTATTATGGGTTTTGTTCCTGGGAGGGAAACGCAAAGTATTGGTTATGCAGTCCCCTGACATTTGTCAAATCTGCTATCGGTCCTCAGCAACAAAAATGTTGAACTCGTGCAAATTAAAGAGGAACATTGAGATATGGGAGCAGGAAGAGAAAGTCATACATGAGCGAAGCATTCAACAGGACAGCTATCAGGCATTAGGGCTGACAATCTCTTGCACTTCATTCGATTTTCCAGCTCCACGCTTGTGCTGGAGCCCTCCCTGCAGTAAATGCGGGAGTCAAAACATTAGGAATTACTGGCGTGCAGTCCTCAACTTACAGAATTAAAAACTAGGTGTGCCATCAACAGGAAATGTTAAACAGCTTTCAACTCTTAGAGCTAACCTGACCCCCCCCCGGGCAAACCAGACAAGTTTAAGCTTGTCACGATAGCTCAAAAAGTAAACTCACCTCCACAATCTCTGTGAAGCGCTCCGAAACCGTACCCTATATGAAAGCGCTATATAAAGCACAACGTTGTTATGAACCTCCCAGCTGTTTGTGAGCCTGGCTGCCCATCAACTCAGTACAAATGAAGGATGGGGGAAGGACTGGTACCATCAGGTATTTCTACATTCCTTACCATGAACCGAACAATTTCACCTTTTCACCATTTTAATTCCTTGAAATTCAGATTGGAATCTTAAAAACACTAAATACTAAAATGGTGTCTGACTGGAGCCCTGATTAACCCTATACAACTTTGATCTTCAAAACTAAAATCAGAAAAATCATCATCTGTATCATTTCCATCAAGAAATCGGACAAAAAAATTCTAGTCACGAACACATTCTTGTCATGATCGAATGACACAAGAAACAAAAAGGAGTTTGTAAAAACTGAAGATACATAAATGTAAGTTGTTGAAGTGGTTGAAAGGCTGATAGTAAAATAGACAGACATAAGTCCCAGGTCTGATCACTGGTATGCACTGTTACAAAATAACCCTATATCACCAAAAGTGGTATTTAACACCACATACTGTTGCTCCAAGACTTTTACCTTGTGTGTGAAAACGAATCAAAGGTCTGCTAGCAACCAGGTATGTTAGTGTCTTCAGGGGATGGAAGAATGAAAAACAAAGTGTGTGCTGGCTTATCACAGTGCCATGATTTCAACGGATGAGCTGTTTGTTTTGTCTGATGATCCACTATGATGTATGGTAGTTTTTGTGTACAACGAGTAGCCAATCAGCTGCTAACTCCTTAATCCAATCTCAGGAAGACTCTTACCTCGGGTTTGGTGATCTGACATTTATACTGCATTTGGAAAATAGAAAGTAACTTTATATTTTTAAACAAGGGGTTCAGAGTGCGATACGTAGTGAAAATTAGGTGTTCAGGGCCTGAATGGTCAAGCTGGTCATTGCTTGTCCACATCAAGTCTGGACAGAAATCATCTGTTCTAAAGTTCATTTCACTCAGCTATTAAGAAATCAGACTATTATTATCCCAATGACTAGCATTCAGTACTGTTATTTGATACTATGATTATTGTTATGGTATTATAAACCACCTCTCAATGTCCACAGTAATTCAATTAGGCAGTTATACAGTACAATTTACACAGCGCCTTTCACGTTGGGAGGACATCCCAAAGTGCACTCACAGTGCTGGCTGGGTACCCGAGCTGGGGAGGGGACGCAAGGAGGGTGGAGAGGGGAAAGATGACTGAAAGCGCAGTCAAACAAGTACATTTGAAACTGGCCTTGAAAGAGTGGAGGGACCAAGCGATTCGGAGAAACACTGTGATGGAGTTCCAGAGAGGTCAGAATGGCGGATGGTGGTAACCCAGGGGATATGAAGCAAATCCCGAGGACAGCTTTGCACTTTACTGTTGTCAGCGCCTCGAGACGCTCTCCTGTGTGAAATGTGCAATATAAATGCTACGTGTTGTGCGTATATTTTTGTACATTTTCACCAATCTGGCTTACCTGTTCTTATCAGCCATCTTTCACCTTGATCCACCTGGAAAGAGAGAGGGATGTCAATGCAAGCGAGAGACCTGGGTTCAATTCGGCAGGGCGAAATTTTGAACAAGTTTCCTTACTCCACACACCTCTGCTTACCTAGCAGTAAGAAGGAACCCGGATGTTAGTCGATTGGTGGATCACTTTTCCGGGGATAATAATCCCTCAACAAAAAAAACAATAATAATTTGGTCACTCAATCCACGACTGTATGTGGGACTCTGCTGTGCGCAATTGGCTGCTACGTTTTGCCCACAAATATACAGTCAATTCACTTTATAGTATATTCTGTGAAGCGCTTTGAGATGTCTAGAAGATGTGAAAAGCGCTATATCAAATGCAAGGATTATTATTATAATACAGCAGGTGCAACTAATCACACAAAGTTCTGATAAGTGTGATTTTCCTACCTTTCTGAAAACAAACAAGTTCCTCAAATCTTATAAAAGGGACAATTCCTTTTACACCCATCAATCTAATGCCTGGAATCTCATTCTCACCCCTGCAATTATTGTGAAAGTTATCAGTTGTCTTGCACAATAGTCCAACATAAACATCACATCCTGAACCGCAATCTCCCAGTGGCTGAGTGTTAAAGCATACCATTGAGCCATATGGGACAGAAAGGCCCAAGTACAACTATGTCTTGCTCTGATAATGGCTGAGCCAGGTAGTGGTATCCACTAGGGAAAAAATACTTCAACGGCTATGCACACCACCTTCGATGTACCCAGTGACCCCGGCCCGAGTGTGCAGCTTCCATTGTCCAGGCTCACACAATATTCACCAGGGCCAGATGATGAAAAGGCTTACAATTCTTATTGAATCCATCATGTCGAACACCTCAGAGCACTTTACAGTAATTGTTGTTAGACGTAGCGACTTATTTGGTAGCAGCCATTTTGCACAGAGCAAGGTCAAACAAACAGCCATGAAATGAATGCCCACACTGATCAGAATACTGGGGGAAAAAATACTCTTAAGGGTGTCACAGGAACTTAAAACTCCCACTGAGGACAGACAGTTTAACATCCCATTCAAGGAACAGCACCACTAAAAAGACAGCGCTCCCCCAGTACTGTACTGGAGCACCAGTCTAAAAAAACCTTCACCCTAGAGGTGAAACACACAATCTTCTGACTGTCAACTTTCAACTCAATCATGCTGACAGCCTCGGGATATCAAAGGATAACTGTATCCCAGACTGTCTCAATAACCTCATGCTGAATATGAACCAGAAAAGAGAAACCTGACGATTCCTCTGCTTCACTTATTGGCAGTTCACTGGTCCAGGCCAGTATTAGTTTAACAATTAGCTAAATAATTAAGCCAATGTCTTTCACAGTGTTACACAATTGATTCAGTCATTCAAAGCCTATTGTACAGCTGAGATTGTCACAATAAACTGCTGAGAGGTATTGGTGCCCTGTGGCTCACGTGAAATTAAAGCACACGCTGGCTAAGCAAAGCTCAGCAGAAACAAGTACATCTAACCTTTCATTTCAATGTTTAACTCCTAGTGTAAATCAGCTCACTCAATCAATTAACTTCTAATTTCTAACTATTTTGTCACCATTTCTTTTATTTTCCATTCTTTTTCTTTTCACGTCTCCCATTATAGTTTGATGGCAGGCAGTAGGGAGGGCCGGGGGCGGCAGGGGAGATGGGCAGGAGTGTACTATAATAAAGTTGAAGACTGACACGCTTCCTGCAGGATTTAGTTGGTCAATCTTCAGATTCCTTTCTCGCAGGCAGCAAATCAAGCGAATTCAGCCCGCTTCTAAAATGACTGACAGAAGAAACAAAGTGAAAGTTTTGAAAGGGAAAAGGTTAGACTGGGTTAAAGAATAGGAAATAAACCAAAACCCAGGGTTTTCAATGCATCAAGCTGCTCTGTGGAGAGCTGGGGTTTGTGCTGGTGTGTGGGAGAAAACGGTGCAGGACACAACGTCCCTCCCCAGTCAGCCCACGTCAGCATCAATATCCAGAGGTTTGAAGGGCAAATGTTCCAATGTAGCTCTTACATGATTACAGGTCACGCTCTTTTACGCAGTATGGGCACGATACAGCTCATGTTACATGAACATTCTAAGACCTGCACACCTTTGCAGTATAATAATCTTTGATATAGCACCTTATGATGTCTTTGACATGCTCATCAGTCAACTAGCGCTAAATTTGGTGCAATCCAACAACAACTTGCAACCTATGTGGAGGGCACTACTTATAGTGCCCTCCATGTAGGTAGTGTCTCAAAGCGCTCAAGAACCTAAATGATGAATTAAACTCCAAGTGTGGATGGTGCGACTCATGAAACTGAGGGGCCACCCGACCCAATTCTGAAGCATTCTTCAAACTTCACAACAACTTGCATTTATATAGCGCCCCTCATGCAAACACCATGTCGGAGAGCTTGATAGTGGTGGAGCACAATGCCGAGCTGGGGGGAGGTGACCATAAGTACGGTCGAAGAGGAAGGTCTTCAGGCATGACCTGAAGATAGGAAACGAGGGAGCAAGACAGAGGGATTGAGGGAGTACTCCAGAGTTTCTGGACATAGTGAGTGAAAGTATGGCTACCAATGGTGGAACAGAGGACACAAGGGACAAGCAGGAGATGGAGGCAACAGGTAGTGGGTTGGGGAGTAAGCAGGTCGGAGATGTAGGAAAGTGCCAAGGCATGAAAGGATTTAAAGCAGAGTGTGATAGGGAGCCAGTGGAGCCTAACAAGAACAGGTGTGAAGGGGATATGGAGTTTAGTTGCTAGTGAATATGTGGGCGTAAAAATGGGAGATTTAGCGATTTGCAAAGAGAAGTCTCCCCACTACGAGCCCTCACTTGTTCCCTCCCCCTGGGACTAGTCTGAGGGATTATGGTTACTGTATGTTCTCAGTGGCTGAAGAACATTTGCCTGTAATCCCTACAGAACAATGTGGCTTTATACAGCAAAATACAAGTCATTGAGCACAATTTGAATTTGGGTTTATAAAGCATTGAAAACAATTTGCTCCAAACACTCACTACTTTCTGGGCAGAAACTTGCCCCAAACATAAAAAAGCACCTTCAGACTGCACATGTTTAAGCCATTAGGATTTTGGTCCAATCTAATTGGAGATCATTGTGAATCACAGGATAATGAGTTTGTTGTTAACATCCAGGTAGCTGAGTCACTTAACACTTGGGACGAGAAAGGTAGGTTCAAATCAATGTTGACAAAACAAGCATTTTTTATAATAACAAGTTTCACATGCAGGGAAGAAGCAGATAAGCAGGTGAGGAGGTAACCTGGTAAAAGTCAGGCAGATCTGCAGGAATCCAGTACATTTTGCATAGTTAACCAGCCGATTGGGCTGCCTGCCAGAGATCCACCATGAGGAGAACGCTCACATTTGGACAAGCAGCGTAAACTTGCAAGTCATTAGCTGCTCACAATCTCAGTGCTTTGTTCAACCGTCAGCTCTCCTTTCAGCCTTTCATCTGATCATGGAACAGCCTGCTTTCCTCCAGTCCTACCCTCCTCCACTTGTAGCTCACTCCCCAACACAGCCAACACCCTCAACCATACAAGTCACCTCCAGACTTCACTTCTCCAATTCTCTCCTCAATAGTCTTCCTAACTCAATCCTCCACAAATTAGAGATCATCCAAAACTCCACAACTCATAGCCTTTCCCATATCACATTTCATGAATCCATCACCCCCATCGTTGCCAGGCTCCAGTGGCTTTCTATCTCCCAGCAGAATGACTCACACTAACTTTCAAATGTCTCCATACCCTTGCCCATAGTATTTGTGTAATGTCCTTTATTCCGACTTCCACTCTCCTTAAATCCCTCTGCCTTGCACACTCGCTTACTGCATTCAAAACTCTGCCTCTGTCACATGCTTTCCACCTTAGGCTCTAACTGGAACTCTGTAAAGTTCTTTTGAGACATGAAAGGCGCTAAACAAGTATGTCTTTGCAATACGCTTACCGCAGTCATTATCCTTAACTAGTAAGCTGCATTTCTCATTAAAGACCAGTCTTGCATTGGAAAAATTCTCTAAAATCGATAATATTTTGTAATGAACTAAATACAGAAAACTTCTAAAAACTGCTTAGGACTAACACATCACCCAGCACCCTCAGATAAGCACAGACATTGTAAAGCTGATGACTCATCACAGTGTGTTTAACACATGACCCAAATTCAGCTTTAGGGCAAATCTTCTGTGTAGAGCATACATATGCGGAACTCAATCTGTATCCCACCCTCATCCGCAACCACACCAAACTCTGCACATCCATCACCCAATCCTCACCAGACTGCACTGGATCCTGGGTCTCAGCAGTTCCATTTCAAACCCCCAAAAGCAACTCCTACCCACTCATTCGCCTGTTGGTTAATTCATGACAGCTGTGCATCTCTGCCACCATTGATAACTGAGCTTTCCAAATCTACAGCCCAAACGCCTGCAATTCCCTCCCCCACCTCCTCTATCCGTCTTCAGATTCCAGCAGGAAACCAACCTCTTTGACCGTCATTATGGTCATCTCTCCCCGCTCGATGTCCACCCTGTCATTGTAAAGTTCTCCAAGATGTTTTTCTATGTGAAGGGCACTACCACAATGCAAGATATTGTGGTTGGTTTGGATACTCTTCAGCATGGTGATGGGTTTCCGCATGCGTCAGTTGCCCAGATGACCAAAAAAAAAATCGTTTGCACTAATCATGTACCGAATTAAAATTTACCCATAACCCAGGGTAAAGATGGAGCAAAACAATCAATACATTAGCCATCACCATATATGAAATGTATATCACGCTGACTTTGCTACTTGGCTCATGCCCACGAGCTCCAGCACAAGGAACCCTTCTGATCAGGTCAAGTTACAGGGCAGTGAGCTGAGCAGAATATCAGTATCTGTGTGAACAGCTGCTAATTTCACCAATGCAATATTGTAAAAGTGCTGTAATTCTCTCTCCATCCTCAATGTGCCACACTGGCCAGATACACAGAAATGATCAGTTAATCTGTATCCAAATATGGAAAGAAATAAGTCCTTCCAACCAGTATTCTAACACACACCAGATCAATCTCTGCTCAGCATACATATATATTTTTCTACAGGGTCTGAACGCAGAAATGTACAGATTGAACAAACCATTGGGTTTGGTCTGCATATCACACATGGGAAATAATAACCCAGGAAAACCACAGGATAGGGAGGCAGCATTCCTGAGTCTTTCACTACACCGTTACTGAATGGAAAATTAACACACTTTTTTAATATCCAAACTTTTCTGGTCAATATATGAAGTTAGGAACTTGTTAGAATTGTAATATATTAGAATACATTCGAATGTACAGCATGGCCTTATTATGGCCTTATTAACCTGTGTTGCTACTTTCGGTGAATTGTGTATGTGTAGCTCTCGATCCCTTTGCTCATCTACCCCATTTAGGTTTTTATTTTCCAGGATGTATGTGACTTCCTTATTCCTTCTACCAACACGTACCACCTCACACTTTTCTACATTGAAATGCATCTGCCATCTAATAAATGTATAGGGTATTTTACTGCACAAGATTTCCTCTAACGGCTTCTCATTCTGGTTCCCCAGAGTTACAGTTGTACACTGTCTCATCCCTCCTGTTACCTCAAGCCTAGATTTCTCCAGTCTCTCCACCCTATATCAGGCTCTACACACCCGTTACTGAGTCCATATCCTCTCCTGTACCGGGCTCGACATACCCGTTACTCAGTCCCAATCCTCCCCTGTACCAGGCTCCACACACCATTATATAAAAGTAAAATTGCTGTACTCCTATCCTCTACTGGCACCCGATACCCAATCCAGACAATCAACTTCAACATCTCTATCTTGACCTTCAGATCCCCTCATGATCAAAACCTTTCCTACCTCTGCAATGTCCTCCCATGCTATTCCCCAGGAGGTCCCCTCATCTTTCTGATTGGGCTCCACTGCTCATTCATCACTCAGAGTTCAGCCATGACAACAACAAATTGCATGTATGTAGTATCCTTCACACAGGGTAAGATCTCGGAGCATTCGTATGATCACACTCCTAATTTTCTCCCCAAATCCCTTCACCCTCACCACGGGTTCAAAAACATGGTTTGCATACCATTCTTTTTAACCTAAATTCCCCTCCTCTCCTTACCGCTTGGGGCTCACCCATCATTTAAAGCCATTTCATAGAATTATACGGCACAGGAGGCCATTCAGCCCATCGTGCCGCTGCCAGCTCTTTGAAACAGCTACCAACTAGTCCCCCTCCCCCGCTCTTATCCCATAGCCTGGCAATTTTTTCCTTTTTAAGTACTTTCTAATTCCCTTTTGAAAGCTATTATCGAATATGCTTCCACTACTCCTTCAGGCAGTGCATTCCAGTTTGTAACAACTCTCTTGGTAAAAAAAATTACATTTTAATAACAACAATTTATATTAGAAAACTGTACAAACGTACACACTACTTTAGGCCACATTCCCAGTTTACATGTGGACTCTCAGGGTGAGGCCTAGCACTATATCTCTCTCTCTGGTCAGTGGGAGGTCTGAGGGTCACTCTCTGGTCAGTCTGAGGCCTATGTCTCTCTCTCTCTGGTCAGTGTGAGATCTGGCGCTCTCTGGTCAGCGTGAGGCCTATCTCTCTCTCTCTCTCTGGTGAGCGTGAAGCCTATCTCTCTCTCTGGTCAGTGTGAGGCCTATCTCTCTCTCTCGTCAATGTGAGGCCTCTCTCTCTATCTGGTCAATGTGAGGCCTCTCTCTCTCTCTCTCTATGGTCAGTGTGAGGCCTCTCTCTCTCTCTCTCTGGTCAGTGTGAGGCCTCTCTCTCTCTCTGGTCAGTGTGAGGCCTGAGCTCTCTCTCTGGTCAGTATGAGGCCTCTCTCTCTCTCTGGTCAGTGTGAGGCCTGAGCTCTCTCTCTGGTCAGTATGAGGCCTGAGCTCTCTCTCTGGTCAGTATGAGGCCTCTCTCTCTCTCTGGTCAGTGTGAGGCCTGAGCTCTCTCTCTGGTCAGTATGAGGCCTGAGCTCTCTCTCTGGTCAGTATGAGGCCTCTCTCTCTCTGGTCAGTATGAGGCCTGAGCTCTCTCTCTGGTCAGTGTGAGGTCTGAGCTCTCTCAAGTCAGTGTGAGGCCCATCTCTCTCCCTGGTCAGTGTGAGGCCTATCTCTCTCTCTCTCTCTCTGGTCAGTGTGAGGCTTATCTCTCTCTCTCTCTGGTCAGTGTGAGGCCTGAGCTCTCTCTCTGGTCAGTGTGAGGCCTATCTCTCTCTCTCTCTCTCTGGTCAGTGTGAGGCTTATCTCTCTCTCTCTCTGGTCAGTGTGAGGCCTGAGCTCTCTCTCTGGTCAGTGTGAGGCCTGAGCTCTCTCTCTGGTCAGTGTGAGGCCTCTCTCTCTGGTCAGTGTGAGGCCTCTCTCTCTCTCTCTCTGGTCAGTGTGAGGCCTCTCTCTCTCTGGTCAGTGTGAGGCCTGAGCTCTCTGGTCAGTGTGAGGCCTCTCTCTCTGGTCAGTGTGAGGCCTCTCTCTCTCTGGTCAGTGTGAGGCCTGAGCTCTCTCTCTGGTCAGTGTGAGGCCTCTCTCTCTCTGGTCAGTGTGAGGCCTCTCTCTCTCTGGTCAGTGTGAGGCCTCTCTCTTTCTGGTCAGTGTGAGGCCCGAGCTCTCTCTCTGGTCAGTGTGAGGCCTCTCTCTCTCTGGTCAGTGTGAGGCCTCTCTCTCTCTGGTCAGTGTGAGGCCTCTCTCTCTCTGGTCAGTGTGAGGCCTCTCTCTCTCTGGTCAGTGTGAGGCCCGAGCTCTCTCTCTGGTCAGTGTGAGGCCCGAGCTCTCTCTCTGGTCAGTGTGAGGCCTGAGCTCTCTCTGGTCAGTGTGAGGCCTGAGCTCTCTCTCTGGTCAGTGTGAGGCCTCTCTCTCTCTGGTCAGTGTGAGGCCTGAGCTCTCTCTGGTCAGTGTGAGGCCCGAGCTCTCTCTCTGGTCAGTGTGAGGCCTGAGCTCTCTCTGGTCAGTGTGAGGCCTCTCTCTCTCTGGTCAGTGTGAGGCCTGAGCTCTCTCTGGTCAGTGTGAGGCCTGAGCTCTCTCTGGTCAGTGTGAGGCCTGAGCTCTCTCTGGTCAGTGTGAGGCCTGAGCTCTCTCTGGTCAGTGTGAGGCCTCTCTCTCTCTGGTCAGTGTGAGGCCTGAGCTCTCTCTGGTCAGTGTGAGGCCTGAGCTCTCTCTCTGGTCAGTGTGAGGCCTCTCTCTCTCTGGTCAGTGTGAGGCCCGAGCTCTCTCTCTCTCTCTCTCTCCGGTACCTGGCTGCCGGGCTGCGGCTCGGTTTCGTGCCGGGATGACGGGCGGCGATTCTCCCTCTCCCTCACGCGGGCTGGCGCTCCCTGTGGCTCCCGCGCCGGCCGGCGGGGGCAGCACTGAGGCGCTCGCTGATTGGTCCGCGGGCCGCCGACCAATGAGCGAGCGCCTTGCTGCGGGGTTGGAGCGGCTTCTTAAAGGTGTCAATTACCGTCCACGGACCGAAATGCACCCACGTGGGCAGAAGGTGTCTGACACGTGCGCAAACCCATCCCCACGGGTCAGAGTATCCAAACTAAACTGTAGGGTCAGTGATGGGCGGAAGGCTATATAATATATATATATATAATTTGGTAACTCTATCCACGACTGATTGGGGGATACTTCTGTGCGCAATTGGCCTCTGTATTTCACCCACAAAACACACAGTCACTGGATATATAATCCAATAACAATAACACTTTACATTCCGCGAAGCGCTTTGAGGCGTCTCAAAGATGTGGCAAGGCGCTATCTCAAATAATATTAATATTAATAACGCAAGGATTATTATGGTGGTGGTGGTGGTGGGTCATGGAACCACTGCTGTCCATTGCTCTGACCGTTGAATATTTTTATACATTTCGTGGCTTGACAGGTTTGGTGTGAATAATGGTCGCCCTGACCATTGCGATGCTTCTGTGCATCACGGACCGTGGAGAAACACCAGCCTGTTTCAGCACTGTACCGTCTAAGTGATGATATTGCTGTTTCCAGTTCCTCTCTCCTGCAGATTCGTACTGTCCACAGCTTCTATCAAGTAGACAGTGAGCGAGTGGGAAGCGCATGCGTGTGTGTGTGTGTGCAAAGAAGTTATCCCACCCAACTCCAGGCAACTTGCATTTATATAACGCCCTTCACATGGAGTAACATCCCAGAGCGTTTAACCTTAGCTCTACACTCACATTCTAGCAGTGGCCCATGAATGCTGATCAGCATTGGGAATACTGGGTGTGCAGAGATCATTTGAAGGTAGTTGTGGCTGATTTGGTGCTGATTTGATGTTTTTAACACGAGTAACCAATCTCTCTCCTCTTGACCAGTCCCACTCACCCTCAAAACCGCAGTCATCAACCCCTCCTTAAAAAACCTACCTTCAATCCCTCCAACCTCAGCCACTACCGCTCTATCTCAAACCTGCCCTTCCTTACCAGAGTTCTGGAACGAGTTGTTGCCAACCAACTCCGCGCACACCTCTTCCTCCACACCCTACTCAAACCACTCCAGTCACGTCCTGCCCACAATACAGAGATAGCGGTCGTGAAAGTCACAAACGATATTCTCTCTATCTGTGACCAGGGCTCCCTCTGCCTCCTCGTCCTCTTGGACCTATCTGCCGCTTTCGACAGTCGATCTCGCCATCCTCCTCCATCACCTGTCCTCCATCATCCTCATCAGTGGGACTGCACTTACCTGGTTCGAGTCCTACCTTACAAACCACCAGCACTACATTTCTGCAAATGGTTTTTCTTCTCACTTCCACCCGGTCACCTATGGGGATACCCCAGGGATCCATCCTTGGTCCCCTTCCTCATCTATACACTCCCTCACGGTGATGTCATCTGCAGACACGGGATTAACTTCCACATGTATGCGGATGATACTCGACTCTACTTTTCCACCTCCAGCTGCGACCCCTTGTCCCCTGATGTTCTGTAAGTTTGTCTGTTGGACAACAAGAGCTGGATAAGCGCAAATTTCCTGCAGTTAAACATTAACAAGATGGACATTATACTCTTTGGCTCCCGCCGACGTCTTCCGACCTCCTCTACCTACCCAACCTGTCCTTAAAACTCTTAGAACCCATGTGCAACTTAGGTATCAGGTTCGACCCCCAGTTATCCTTCCTTCCCCACATTCGGTCCATGACCAGCACCGCTTTCTTCCACCTCGGCCACATTGTCCGTTTCCGACAATACCTCATCCCAAAAGCTGCCGAAACCCTTGTCCATGACTTTGTCATCTCAACTGGACTACTCTAATGCCCTCCTCGCTGGTCTCCCCTCCTCCACTAGTCACAAAATTCAGCTCATTCAAAACTCCACCGCCCACATTCTCACCCGCACCAAACTTCATACCCCGATTACTCCAGTCCCTGCCAAACTCCACTGGCTCCCTGTCACAAAGCGATCAACTTCAAGATCTTCACTCTAGTGTTTAAATCCCTCCATTCCTTGGCACTCCCCTATCTCTCTAACCTCTCTCCCCACAGCAGTACCTGCTGGCTCTGCTCTACTGGGCCCGGCCTCCTCCGTGTCCCCGAATCCTCCGCTCCACCGTTCTTTTAGCCACTACACCCCGAAACTTTGGAACTCCCTCCCTCAACCCCTTTGCCTCGCTCCCTCCTTCCCCATCTTCAGGTCATGCCTGAAGACCTTCTTCTTCAACTGCGCCCACGGTCACCTTTCCCGTCCTCCTGGCTCAGCCTCGGGGCTCCGCCATTGCTAAGCGCTCTGAGACACCGCCTGGCGTAGAGGGCACTATATAAATATAAGTTGGTGTTGTTGATGTAAGGAAGAGCATTGGAGCAGTCTATCTTCGAGGTGACTAAGACATGGATGATGGATTCACTGTGGAGAGGATGAAATAGGGATACAAGTGAGCTGGTGGTGGAAGTAAGCTTAGTCTTGGTGATGGGTTTGAAGTAGAGCTGGGGATGTCCATCCGTGGAGCACTAACAACAAAATTACATTTATAGAGCGCCTTTCATGTCGGGAGGACGTCCCAAACCACTGAACAGTCAGGTGTCGGGGCCCGAGCATGGGGGAGGGGGGGGATGGTGTAGGGTGAGGGAAGGCAGAGAGGTGGGAGGGAGACCAAAGGCACGGTTGAAGAGAAAGATCTTGAGACTGACCTTGAAGGAGGCAAGAGAAGAAGCAAGGCAAAAGGACTGTAGGATGGAGTTCCAGAGTGTGGGGCAGAGAGGCTGAAAGCCCGCCACTGATGGGCGGGTCGGGCGGGAAACATGGAGCAGCCCGGAGCCTGATGAACGGAGGGAGCGGACAGGCTCGTAGGGAGTCAGCAGGTCAGAGGTAGGAGGGGGCAAGGCCATGGATGGCCTTAAAGGTGAGGACGAGGATCTTGAACTTGATCCTCTGGGGGATGGGGAGCCAGTGGAGTAGGGCGAGGGTGGGAGTGATGGGTCACGTGCGTGAGAGTACACGAGCTGCAGAGTTTTGGATGATCTGCAACTTGTGAAGGGAAGAGTTGGGAAGGCCAATGAGGAGGGAGTACCCTAAGGAAGCATTCCCAAGTCTTTGCATCAGGGTCCTGACCAACCGTTCCTCCAATACCCAGCTCTGTGTCAGACAGCTCAGAAAATCTGTTTCTGATCCCCCGCCCCCGAGGCTCCTCACCTACCTTCCAGCAGGGGATATCTGCCAGTGATCAGGAGCAGGGAACATTGGCGGATTTCTCTCACTAACCCAGGGAGCGCAAGCCAGGAGCTAAGCTGTGACCTTCAGGCATTTCTCATCAGATTAGTGTGTGAGGTATAATAACACAACTGCGACTAGTAATAGTATTCCTATTCATCAAAGTTCAAAGCTTCATTTATTCATTATTGCAGTTGCAGTGTTTGTCACAATCAGATTGACAAATACATCAAAAGCCAAATGTCTGTGTGTGAGCTGGAGACCAGACCCTGCCACAGCCCTCAGCTGGACACCAGGGGCAGGGAAAGCCCTCCTTCATTGGAATTTTCATTCATGGTTTGCCTCCCCAATCAAGAGGTTACAGTCAATGGTCAATGGATTTACTCACTCGCTCTCACATTTACCTAATTGGTATGTTCACACTCACTCACTCACACACTCCACTTTGCTGCCCCCAGTCTCCGGTCAGACGGCTGGCAAGCGCTGCTGACCTCAGCTCTCGCTCTGCAGGGTGTGGACGTACTCGCTGTACAGCTTCTCCTGCGCCTCATATGCTTTCCTCAGCTTCTTGCTCTGCCCTTTGCTCAGCTCCTTTCCCTCAATGTCGTGAGTGGGGAACCCTGGGAGAGAAACAAGGGCGTGGAAGTCAGACTCACTCTCACACTCTCTCCCCAGAGGGACACACCCTGCTTACCTAATTCCAGAGACTTTTAGGTGCAGGTTGACAAGAGCCAGTGTGTGCATTGGGGTAACTGTTGGGAGTCTAACCAGCTAAAACCGGATAGCTTGCCATTGAGAGTTCTGTCTTACAAACTTTCCCACTGCTTGTCCAGCTAGGACCACCCTACCCGTTAGGGCTTTGGGTTGCAGGGTTAACAGGAGCTGAGTGGGATGGCTCCCTGTCCCAAGTGACTGGACTGGTTTCACATTGGAGCCTATTAATAATAATAATAATCCTTGCATTTGATATAGCGCTTTTCACGTCGAGAGGACGTCCCAAAGCGCTTCACAGAACACACTGTGAAGTGAATTGACTGTATATTTGTGGGTGAACGCGGCAGCCAATTGCGCACAGCAATGTCCCACAAACAGTCGTAGATTGAAAATGACCAATTTAATTATTATTTTTGTTTTTTGGAGGGATTATTATTAGGCTCTGTGTGGAGTAAGGAAACTTGCCCAAGGTTTCGCCCTCTGCCTGGAATTGAACTCAGGTCTCTCACTTGCAAATCGAGTGCTCTAACCACTGAGCTACAGGACTCCAAATGGGAAGGGTATGGGGATTCCAGCGAGGTCTCCTTGGAGCTGAACAGCCAAATGTCCGTGTGTGAGCTGGAGACCCGACCCTCCCCACAGCCCTCAGCTACCCATGGCGGGTAGTTACCAGTTTATCAATTGACATCCGACAAGCGCAGATTTGATCCCTCACGGGGTGCATGACAGGTAGCAGGAACTACCTGCAAGCTTCCAGCTCAGCATGAAATATGTGAGAGCATTGCCACCATCTTCCTGCCCACAGCTCAGGTACACGTCCCTTCCAATTAATGGTTCCATCAGTTGGAGGTGCGGAGCTGAAGCAGCAGCTGCTTATCTCTCTGCAAACCAATCAGGGTGGGTTCCAGGTGCTGATTTAAGAGTCAGTTCATAAATTCGGGCACCAGCGGCTGTCACCCCAAGACTGTTTAACACGCTGGGTGTGAGA